GTAAACTACTTCGGCTACGACCTTGTTTTCAATGATCCGATAAAACTTCCGAGTGCGTGACAAGTTGGACGTGATAATCATTCTCCAAAAACTTTATCTACTGTAGTTGCGATTTAATGAAGAGTCGTATGCCGGCAGTTTCACGATCTAATGCGTTGTAATGAAACGTGAGTAAGGGGAGTGAAGATCTTCGGTGTTCATATGGCCTCATGTCGGCCTCTTTTCGACGGGTGAATAGAAGTGGCATTACCAATAGCGGGACTTGTTACTATGCCGAGTGCCAATGATCGGCCGCGACGGCCATATTGCCGCCGGCACTGGAGTCGAACATAGCTGGTATCCAAGGAATGGAGATGCGACTGGGTAATATTTCCAAGCTTGTCTTTGATTCGCTTTTCCGTACGTACTTGGTAACGAATATGCGAAAAAGGAGATCTCATGGTTTGCTTCGCGTTCGTCAGCAGCATCTAAATGTTTGTCTAATATACTATTTTTGACTCATGGTCTGACGATAGCAAGCAATACCGTATATTTAATATGGATGTATGATGAATTGTGTGTCAATTGTTGTGACCGAAGAAGAATGCTGCAAGTTTTATGGAGCCAAATAATAATAATCGGATTACTCGGTGCCCGCATAAATCTCGGTAAACGGCACATATACCGCATAAACCGATAACCCACCATAAAAGCATCATGACAACGATAAAGCCGCTCAAATACTGTAGCTAAGCAAATATTGAGATTTAAGATTGAACAGACAAACTTATTTAGGTAGGTAATTACCTAATACCTACTTCGTATATGATTACCTATCAGAGTTATTTGGATCTCGACTTCTATGGTGGCGTGGTAGTCCAGTGGCGTATTCCAAATATGACCTACTCGGTCCATAGCTTTTATCCTTGGCGGCTATTCCTATCATTTGGCAATATGGCACAGGTCGTTGGCATGAAACTAATATTAGACTTGATCCGCTATGTCGAGAAAAGTGACCCGGCGTGGACGAGGCACCAAGTAATCACCAAGGGACTCACAACATAGCAACTGATGATGTGAGGTCCATGATTGTGTCGTGTAACCTGGGTCCTCGAGGGAATGTTACTCGGAGATGACAGATGAGACGGACTTGAGTAAAGGTTATACTCAAGTCATACAGAATGCCGTGCTCATCTCAGCACGACAAAATAGGCAATGAGCCCCCGAAAACGGTTGCTTCCTGTCCGAGAACGACAGCACCAGGGCGTACAGGAACCCAAAAAGGGATCCGAATAGTAGGACAGAAGATGTGATTAAACTGCGGCGACACAAAGGCTTGTTGTGATGCGTCTCAGTGTTGGCGAGACGGCCTTGCTCGACGGAGTTTGGATTGGCGGCTCGACAATCGAGACATATTCTGTTTTGAACTGGCCCGTCGCTCCTCGAGGCTACCGAGCTTCTCTCACTCCTGAACCTCGCATGGGAAAGTGGCTGTGAAGATACTATGTAGGCTGCGAACTGCACTAGCAGGACATGGACAGATCTTGCCTAGCTAGTCGATATGATAGCGTCAATGATCTATCTCTTCCATGTTCACACGTGCTGTGCCTCGCCTAACCACTAGCGAGCCTAGACCGATCTGAGGTGATCCGCCGCCGTTAGGGTGCTATGGATTGTATCTCAGTGAAATACAGATCATCAAATGCATTTCCTGTAAGGTGTATCCTAGCTTCTAAAGCCAGAGAAGACCAAGTGCAATAGTTGTTCATCAATTGGCGTAGAGCCTTGAGCATTGACCATGGCGGAGAATCTTAAGCGGCGTTGCTTGAACTTCCATGTGCCCCGAAGGCTTGTGACGGTGCCATTAATTATGACTGTGTTGCTTCGATATTCTCGGTGCCACGTAATTTGGCCAGTTTTCCGTCTGTCGGACGTCCTTGCTATCATTTCAAACGACAAAAGAAAAGGAGGGGATTCGATGGACTGGTTTCTTAAACTTCTGCCTATTTGTATTGATTAGTGCATAGTAGATACTAAGACCCCTTCCGAAGCATAACTAATGCCATAGTTGAGAGTATGAGGAACATTGGCAGGCCGGTAGAGGAATATGTGTAAGCCGATAATCGGATAAGCGAATTTCTAATTTCCTTATTCGGCATGATATATAATTACACCTTGTTCAAGATGGGATACATCAGGCGAATGATATTTGCCCTAGAATTATGAACGAACAATGAATAATGCTTCATCTAAAACTATCAGGAGGATTAGCTGTACGCGATATTTCGGTGGCCGCTATAAGTATGAACTAAAGCGAATGCTCGTTGGTCTTTTGCCGTTTGTTCAGCCACGAAGCTCAAGCAGCACCTTCAGCACATTTGCGTAGTACAACACTAAATTATGACTGCACAGGTCAACTAGTGGCTTTCAGATGATAAAAAGGACAGGTGGTACTTTTGTGAACTTTCTGCATATACGTACTGAAGTACCTATATTATGGTGAGAAAGTGCTATAGGTACATGAGGTAATAGCCCATGCATGTAGTGCTTAGCGCAATGCTCGGTATCTCTTTCTTTAAAGTCCCAGCGTATGAAGTATTGGAAGGAAGTACTGAATACGGGTTCCAAGCAATCCAAGGTTGTATGTTGGTACAGGCTACTGGAGCCTTAAGGTCTTGGCAGCGGGCGCTAACAGGCCCCTGCAAGGTCAAATGAGTGGGTATATAGTACCTAAGTACTTGCGCTGCTGCAAGAATGCTGGATCGTGCAACCGTGCCCTTGCCGAAAAAAAAAAATCTAAAATTCTGGAAAGGACGTTGCAAAATAAGGTAATAAGCTTGAATTGATTGGGAAGCTTAATTATTCTTATTATTATCGTACCTAATATCCGTTTTCTTACTTTGCTACCCGCACTTTCCCTTACCTAGTACCTCAAAATTCAATCATCTCGTCATAATTTAATACCTTTTTTCCCACCCCTACCACCCGTTCACTCTATTTCTATTCTCACCACCTTATTGCTTCGCTACTTCACACATCTTTTCCCACTAGACCTCTCTACCCCGATATTGGTTGATTAATCGACCATCCAACTGAACAAGAGAGGCTCCGCGTCAATCTCTTCTTATTTCATATATCGCCACTACCGGTCATTTCTCGATCCCGCCCGAAGGCTGAATATCTACCTGCAGCCGCAGGCGTAGGATAATACTAGATCGGCATTAGCAGGAAATCCATGGTGCAGTGCGTCTTTTCGGCATCTTCACGAAAACTTAAGGTGCGTTGGAGGGAAGACAAGAACTAAGCCAGTAGCGAGAAGAGGGGGACCATTATTAGTTGATCTAAGAGCCGTCGTGTGAGAAAAAAAAGAAAAGGGAAAAAAGATCCAATCTGGCCAACTTCCAAATCTAGCCAGCCCTCATTAGATCTATTTTCCTTTCCCTTTCAACGGCCAAGGGTCCTTTTAGGAGAGACTTCGAACTATCGTCTTAGTTCTAACTTCACACGTGTCCAACGACCAACCAAGCTTAATTGTTTCCGCTTAATAACGCCATTCCTGACTTAAACTTGAAGGATCAGGTCTATCACTCATCAACCAACTAACCGGTTAGCTCACCATCCAACAACAACCGCGAGGCTTCCAACGTCCGCAGAGCTACTTCAACTTAAATCTTAAAAGAACGGGGTATCTAAACTCAGACCAGCAGCCACTCGCATCTCTAGGTCACTTTTACAGCCGCACACGATCTAGAATTCTTAAACTCTAGGCCATTTAGACTACTTCTTACCTATCAATCCTCCAGCCCGTCACTTACAAGAGCCGCAGAGTTCTTTATCTTTTGAAGTCAAAGTCAAATTACTTGACCCGGGCCACTAATAAATTCATTGGTCACGTTTAACTCTAAACCAATATACCCTGAAAGGACGCAAGCCCGCGCTTCGAAAGGTTACCATTGCTTGGTTGGCAATTTAACTAGGAGCAACGAGATCGAGAAACCTTAAACCTCATAGAAATCTCGCCATCTTCAAATTTCCTCTCGGCCTGGTTTTTTATTAAAATTAGGCAGACCCACGCATAGAACTCGACGTGGAAATCATCTTTTACACATTCAAGTCGATTCTTGACCCAACTAAGGTATGTTTATTATTTTGCTATTTCGCTTTATTTTCCGATTTCCTTCTTAATTCATGCGTATCATGTATCAAATATCATCACCACATCTAGAGTGAGACGACGATCTAGTGGCTATATGAGGAAAGTCTTCATAATCATTTTGAGATCGTTGAACAGTAGTCGCCGTTCATTCTCATCAATGGGTTGCGGTTTAATTATACGAGGTTCCTCTTGAATCTATGAAACTCCCTTCTCTTGGCACAGCTAGACCTTTGGTCTGGGTAGCGTTCAAGCGACGACTACATGCTCTTTGAACTCGGTTTTCACTACAAATGCATCTGCCGAGTATCAAGTACCGCCCAAACAGCACTGTTCATACCCTGCGCGTCTCGTTGGCATGCCATAACGCACAAACCACTTGCCAGTCTACCTGCGAATGTCACCACAGATAAGCGTTTCGATATTTTTAACCAACCGATTCTAACTTCGGGTACCTCGATCAAAAGAGGATATAGGAGACGAGTGAGGTATCCACGAGTCTGGACACGGATCTAGTTCCGTAACGCTTGGCCCATTAACAGTATAAGGGCCGGACTATCGACTCGAATTGCCCGCAATTCAGAAACGCCAAGACAGCACGCGCATCTCACATCCTCAGCTACTAAGACCAGGGTCGACTCCAACCACGCAAGCTTCTCCATTACCCACTTTGAAAGTATCCTCAGCTGCCCACAGTCTGGATGACCCACCATTCAAGCTAAATGTGCGGAGCTGATATGGTGGAACGGTAGGATTACAAGACCTAATTACCTTCCAAGGAATAAAGGGAGCTTCGCTCAATTTTCCCCTTCGATTCTAAATTTACCAACTTCTTGACAACAACGAACTTCGATCACCATCAACAACCATGGGGGAAATGGAGACTTACCACGGCTATGTGCGTACGCCTGGAGACGCTATCAAGCTCTTCGAGGCGTGCAGATTAGGTTTACTGCCTCGAGTGCAGAGGCGGTTATCGGAAAAGGAGCGACAGTCCATCAGATCGGGCTCGGTTTTCGTATGGGATGAGAGGGAAGCTGGTATGCGTAGATGGACTGACGGGAAGTCTTGGAGCGCAAGCCGAGTTTCCGGTAGTTTTCTTACGTACAGAGAAATGGAGGGCAAGCGAGGAACCACGTTTGGCGCTTCGCGACGAAGTAATGGAAGGACGCCGGATAGCGCTGGTCGGCTTAGTGACGACGACCCGGACGGCGAGCCTGAAGGTTACCGTTATAAGGCGGATGGACTGATGAAACAGTCGTTCAGCATCGCAACCCAACAAGGCCAACATCTTCATCTTATCTCGTACTATTCCAGACCCCACGCCGGGGCACCCGATCTACCTCAACCAAGCACCGATCCCCAACTTCGACACATCGTCCCCGCTAAGGGCATGTACCCCGAGTCAAGCCTACACGACACCAACCCGCCTGCTTTAACAAGAACACCTATGCAATCGTACGCCACCCATAACACCGCGCTTGAGCAACCATCATATAACGCGTATGGAGCTCCTTGGGGATCGCCGGCATGGCAAGGACCTTGGCCGCCTTCCCCCAACCAGACTCCACCTTGGACACAGGGGAAGCTTACACCAGAGATGAAGCCTCAAGTTCGGCCTCAACCACATCAACATCAACATCAGCACCAACACCAACATCAACATCAACATCAACACCCGCATCAACACCAGCACCCACATCAGCCTGTACAAAGGCCACCCCAGCTTCCTCCACTGCCGCCAACGTCTACACCATCTGCACAGGCTCCCATTTACCCCAAGAGTCTCGGTAGCTATGAGAGCGAAAGGTTACCGCCACCTACTATTAACAGACCGTACCCGATGCCCGTGCGTGCTCCGAGCACGTCTCCTCAGTCGCAACACCTTCAAATCCAAGCTGCTGCGGCAGCACAGGCGGCACAAGCTGCGGTGGCAGTTTCAGCCGTGATAGATCCTCGGCTATCAGCAACAAGCGCACGCAATCCTCAAGGACCACTGCCGACGATACCATCAGCATCTCGGGGATTGACGCCTCCGAGAACCCATTCTGTATCGCCACCGAGGCCGACAGGTCCTGAGAGTGCGAACGGCAACGCGAATAAGGCAAGCTTGTCGGCGCTTCTTAACATGACCCCGGCAAACTCGGAGCCGAATAGCGCGAACCCCGGTAGCAACAATAGCGCTGGTAGTTCACCTCGAGCTCTCTCGGCGGGAACTACAGGTGTACCGCCGCAACCCGTTGATATGTTTAGACGGGAGGATAGTAGAGCCATTCGATCGCTTGATCGAAATCTCTGCATTTGAGGATCCGTGGACGGAAAGTTGCATCAACCAGGAGTCTAAAAATTTGCATATCTAATTCACGGTGGCCTTTTTTCTTTTCTCTTTAGTGCGAGCGTTTCTATTACCAGTATCTACAGGTGTCCCCGATGGGACGGAGTTACGGATTCCTTTCACGATGGTCGCGAAAGGGAGGCGGATAATCACATATTGATCTGATGGCTCCATTAAAGTTAGGAGCAAATATCAGATTATGGCGCCCTCGTGGGCCGGCATACGTAAAGGGGCCTCAAGGCAAAAGGAGGAGACTACGGTTCGGATAGTAGATAGGCAGCGTTGCGATACCATGAAATTTAGAGCGACAGAATTATTCTTTACATTACTTCACTCTTGTCCCGAATAGCTACAGTGTCGTGCCAATTTCCCAGTTGCCCGTGCCGTGGAAGGTATTGAGATTATAATTTCTTGGTAGAGCGTATGAGGCTAGGGAGGTTTACAGGGATTTATGATCCGCAAAGATGGACCATGCGGATTGCGAAGTCAAACACGATACCCCCCTGCAACGCATCCCGTTTATTCTTGCCTGGCCATCTGCGACATCCATGTCGGGATTCCCACGAAGTTAAACAAGGTTTTCCAAGGGTCGTCTCCATCTCTCTCTCTAAACTCAAACCCGACCGCTCGTGAGTAACCGAACGGACGATGAATCTGGGTCCACTGCTATTTTTTATTTTTTATTTTTTGCGGCGTGGCTGCGTGGGAAGCATCCTACCTAGCACTTTTTCCTAGCCACCAACGGAAATTTTCCGTTATAAACGTTTAACTAAAGTCGATAGACATATCTAGGCATGTATGCATACGTACGGCGTACGAATGCTTGGAAATGCAAAGACCATCTGTTCTAATGCCCCTGTACAACCGTCGTTGGCGATTACCGGGTTTCTGGTCTAGCTTCCAGGTATACGTGACGGGTACCTAATGCTTACCTGGGTGCCTAGTACCTAGCTTCGCTCGCGGGCGACAACAACGCCGGCTCCGAAGATGAAAAAGTTAGAAGTCAACAGAGTTGGATAAATCTTACCGCTATTATCATGGTGCGGTCATCGTCCGATCTCGTGCTGTGATTGTATGATATCTGCGACGCACACGCGGTAATCTCTGAAGGAACTCCTGTTGCAACATATGCAGGCTATGCAAGATTCTTTCCCAACATAGATAATCTCCGAAGGGTACGTTTCGTTTCACTTTGTTCTTCGTACGTTCCAATATTCGCTGGGCTGGCTGCGCAGGTTTTGGCCCCACAATCGAGACAGAAGCCAAAACCAACATGTGGATAAGTTGTCGTATGTGATGGATGTTAATGGTCCAGGGGTGTTCCAGAATACCTTATCTTAGGTAAGGTTATTTCTCTATTTCTCTTGGCTTCGGTTACCTTAACCCTTTTTCGGGTCCTACATAACGTAATCCGAAACTCTGAAACTCTTGTTATGTCAATATTGCTCAATAACCCGATCAAGCCGATCCAAAAAGACTAAAGAAACTAAAAAGGACTAAATGGCATGCCTAGAAAATATGCAAGGATATCTGGACAATGCAATCTTGACTGCCGAAGACCCGGCAGCGGTAAGGTTAAGGTAGGTAGGTCAGGCAGGGACTTATGTAATGTTCACATAGGCTTTTTGAGTTCAACCAAGCGATGATCCTACCCCTTAACTTTAAATTTTTAAAGGTTAAAGTTAGCGCCGCAGATCAATTACGATGACGTTCATCCTTGTGCGACCTAACCGACGTCCAAGGTCGTGGTTGGCTTCAAAATCCGCAGCGAACCCTAGCGCGCGGGCCAATCAGCGGCTAAACATTTGGGTTTAGCCTCCATAAGGCCAGAAACTTTATTGTTTATTTAGATGTTCTCCACACCACAAATTTGGCGACCTAGATAAGAGAGCATGGGTAGGGGAGATTGAGAGTTCCCTCCACGTGATTATCTCGGGGTACGGAAGAAGTACCCGGAACATCTGTTTAATTGGATATCAGGACGGAGTACAATCTAAGTATTTTTTTTCTCCTCCATACCATCGCAATCTAGAACCAGCCTTACGTCAGCTCGAGTACAGCGGCACATCGCGGTTCCCATCCACGTGTGATTACTCATTATATATACGGGATCTGTACACTACCAAGGTACGCTAGCTAAGGATCTGGGCGCCGATAGCCTTTAGGTACGAGGGCTATGTGGGACAAAAGCATAAAAAACCACTTCTCATATAATGAACTCAATCTAACATTGGCAAATGATAGTCTATTCACTTACTGAATGGGATCACCGATACTAGGGTGCAACTATGGTTCTTGATCTAACTTGCAACATAGTCTCGTGCTCTCATTCTTGGTTTTACCAGACTAACATCGTCGGCGGCAGATCGGAAGACGAAAGGAGAATTAATTGTTTAAGAAAAAATTATTAGGTAGGTAGTTTCGAAGTTATTATTAGTATTTTCCCAGATATGGTTAGTCATCAAGCGGGATGGAATCGGCATAGGAACGGAATAGAGTCGCGGAACAGGTGCGATGCAGCGAGTATACCAAGGTTAGTCATCCATCGCGCGGTGGATTGAACGGGTGCGTCATCCCAACTTTCCTAGTTAATAATATTATTTGACTTACCTGGTATTGTACCTAGGAGAAAGACACATCGCATTAGCGCTGCCGGGGAGATTAGCAGGTACGATATGATACTAACTAGAATAGCCCTGGAAGCTTTAAATCCTACAAGGCACATACCGTAGATATCCTATTAAGATATCCCATTATCTAAGCACTTGCATGGTATCCCTACGCACATGAAAATGTCGTATGGGAAATGGAGTCTTCCTTCGACCAACAATACTTGCTAGTATTCAATACCGAGCTACACCGCCTCAATCGACTACTGTGTATTTCCCCGTTCGGCGAACGGGTTGCGGCGCATGGCCCATTAGGTTGGTTTTAAATTTTTTCAAAATTTTTTTTTTATTTCATTTGCTCATCTCGCTCTTTTTCTGCCTCTTCGTCTTAGCCTACCTGGTATGCATCTTCGGTTCCGAGATGTGTGCCGCGACGGCACAGGCTGAACACATGAACACAATTGCCTTGGTTTGAATGTTGGCGGTTAAGCGCTTGGCTTCTTGGTAGCGAGAAGGAATAATTGTCCGTTTGGTAACTTTTTTTCGATAGCGACCTATCCATTCGATTGGCATGAAGATGCAACTATATTTAGTCTTTAAGCGAGTTAGGGCTTGGTTTCCTAACCACCTCATGAGTGGTATAAAATACGTCCCACTGTGAAGAGTAAGCCGTATACTGTTTCTAGCTAGAGCTTCGATTTGAAGTTTGGTACATAGTAATAGGTATTTACTCGGTACGCGGCTGGTATAGACTATTGGAACTACCTACTCCATACCAAAGATCAACGTTCATGCTAAGACTTCCAATGACTAGTATTCAAGGTGCAATGAAAACTCTTCTTGACCGAGCGTGAAAAAATCATGATAGGCTATATATGACAGTGATGCCTTGATTAATGAAACCTGCTAGAGTGAGTATACCCAGTTGTAGCTCAGGGAAGCCTCTTTTGGTAAATTGAACTTTTTATGGCTTGTGGGGAGGATATCGAAGCCTATGCTGAGTACTTTTATATTACTCCAGATAAATTCACATGATGCTCCAATATAGACCTTGTCGACTTATGTGCACTACCTTACAAAACCTTTTTACTCGGTACCTAGAAAATGAGACGCAATGAGGATGAGTTCGTTTTGAACATGCCCATTGTATGCAACTGTAAAAATAGGTACACCAAGGGCCAATATCCGTTGATATCATTCGCAGATGTACCAATTTCTCGCCAAACACATTCTCGTGCCTCCTTAAATGTTAATTTTTATCAGGTTGAAGTTCATATTGATATGTTCAGAATTGTTTATCGTATATGAAGCTTTGTTTGACGTTGTCCTAGGAGCAAAGACTTATGTACTTTTGTTGTGCATAGGCATTAGTAAGTGCCTAGGTGGGTATCAACTTCTCCTATTGAACCCCCTACGAGTTGTCTTTGGAACTACGGTGAAAGGTTTCTCGGTCTGGTTCCAACGTTATTTACGTTTGTCCTGGTAGATTCTTTCTATGCATATACTATCTAGTCCCGATATATACCGGAGAAAAGGCAAGTGATCCACCTGTGTGCCTTCTCCAGAATTGGTAGTCCTATTATCTCTAGGACTTCTTGCTTTCGTCGCTGAGACGTAAGCCGGCACACCGACTTGAACATTCGGATGCATATTCGGTTCTTAAACAGCTGATTCATCACTCTGCATGCAGAAGCTGAGTGTTAGAAGAAGGGAAAACCCGGAGCTAAGATGCCATCCCCATATCTCTAATTCCCTCCTGAAAAAAAGGCTTTTTTTCCCGTTTTGTCTATTTTTCGCATGTCATTGTAGTGGATCATAGAGGAAGAACTATATTCTATGTTCCCCACGCCGTGTAGCCGCCTTTGAAAACTCCGTAGGGCTCTATCCGGGAGCAATCGAGCTATCCCGGACCAGATGTGACATGGCCACGTATATCAATCTAGATTTTTCCCTGCCAGTGTTACATAGTATCGCGGGCGTTGCCGAGCCATACGAACCATGACTAACGCGTATGCAGAAACTCCCGTGGTAGGGTGGTGTCACTACTGGAGCTTGAAGGATGGCTTTTTGTGCCCCCTCCTTTAAATCCTTCACCCAACCACAATAGGAAAGTCCCATGAAAGCGAGAATCGGCTGAGCGGTCTGAATAAACTGTTAGGATCTAGATTCGTCTCAAATGCCTAAAAAGCTTAAAGAAGAGCCGCAGATGCCAAAGAGGGAGTCTTGGTGCTTTTATAATAGACGCGCGCCCAAGGCTAGTCCCGGATTCAGCAGGTAGTTGACACCCCAAGATCCTCAGCCTTGTTTTTCTCCTCAGGTGTTTCTAGGCATGTTTCCAGGCGGGTGTAAATAGTATCTAAATTTACTAAGTAAACAATAACCAACTAATTGTTTTACTATTGTCGTGTTATTAGGTATCCAACCTAGCACACAAGGGTGACAATATCCAAAGGAATACCTTGGTACTCTGTAAACTCAGGATAATATTTACGGAAGAGAATATGGAGTAGATTTAATGTTTTCTTGCGTGTACCTAGTTATAAAATATGGATTATGAGGCCTTGAAGACATTGTAGAAGATATGATCTCCATTCTTCTCTTGCATAAATCTCCAAGATTGTTCACTTAGATAGGTAGCAAATACAAATTCTAACAAATCAAAGGTTTATCTATATGTATATGAACACAATAACATCATCGTGGGCTCTAAGATTTTTATATAAATTATTAAGAGAGTTTCTGATATTATAAAGTAAATAGGTATGTACCTAGGCTTTATATTCTTCCTTTGAGCAAACATCTTTCACTAGTAGGAAAATACCTACCTAGGTAGATAATTCGGAATCTACATTGCTAAATTCCATAGACTTAACCATGAATTACTCCTCAAGTGCATGATACACAGATATACGTGTATCATCTTATATATAAATGCTCTTTGCAATGTTAATAAGCATTATACTACCTAGGTACCTAAGCAGCTATAGTTAATTACGATTGTAATGAATGTAAAACTTTACACAACTATCTTTAAGTTACTTACCACCTACCTAGGTACCTAGGGAGGTACCTAATATAACCAATCTAATGTGTAGAGATCAATACCTACCTGGTAGTAATCGAGTGACATATCCGATATGTTATGAAATAAGATTACTGGGAGAATCCATTATTTAGTTGACTCTATCATGACAGCCCCTTGAATACCTCTCTTATGCACCATGACTTGATATCTGCTCATTTAGGACCTGGGCTGGACTACTATGAGGCATGTACAAATGAGTGCCTTTGACAGATATCATAACTAATGGCTATCCCAAGTAACTCTTAAGAAATTACGTTTATCTCAAAAATGTCTATCTATGGTCAACTACATAACCCTTGATGAATAGGTACCTACCTATTTGTTGGAGGCAAGTTTTCCTAAAACAATGGTGGCACTCTTCACATCTAGGTACCTAGGTACCTAGATACACATTACTCTAAAGGATTGAAAATTTTGTATTGCACTGTATGTTCTTTTCTATATAGCATTGTCATTTGTATTTTATGTATGTGTCTATCCTGACGAGTAGGATATATTCGGCACCCACGATGTTTCCAAAATTGCCCATTAATAATATATTAGCGGCATATATATTTGTTTCAACATGTGCCGACATAGCCTCAAGAGCCGGACAGATGAGCTGTATAACTTCATGGTATACATTGCCGGTTGTAATGATTATAATCAAGCGCGTCGAGTAAGCCGGCTAGGTGAACCGTCGTAGCCATCACGACGAGAATGTGGAATATCTGGTGGGATGATCCGTATATGTCGAATGTCCCCGGGCGGATACTTTCTGGAAACCTTGTCTGAAGTCGGCCATGGTCTAATTAGTGAATTGGTCCTTCTTGCCCTTCATCGGGTGGGCATGGTAGGCGGCGTGATTCTAAGGAAATAGTAGTGATGACAGTTTGAAAAAGGAATTGGGAATAACTCACAGCGTACACAACTGCGCCGAGTAGGAATAGACCTCCCTCGGCTAGGTAGTAAGCTAGGCCGGCCTGCTTCACCATCTGAGCAAAGCCAAACATGCAGATCCCGTGAATGATCGGCGCTAGCCCCGATAGTCCCGTAGAGACAAACGTCAGCAGGCGTAAAGTGCGCCACCGAGGTCCTTGAAATGTTGGCGCCAGCACGATGACAATGGATATCGCAGAAAAGGACCCGATCTATAAGCAGGCGTAGGACGAATAGTTAGTCCCAAACCAAGTTAACTCGGTCGATTGAACCGTACCGAACGGGAGTCCGATAGCCGAAGTATTTCTTTTGGCGCAAAATACGCGTGGGGTGTCCGGCAAGGAGTTGGTAAAGGAACTTATTGCTTACCATTGCCCAATAAATCTTCCTTTCTACCATCTCGCACCAGAAACCGACGTAGATGCCTGAGATAAAAGACCCCAATATCAAGAGAATGATGCCGACAAAGTCGAGGCGTAACCATAGCGCTTCGACCTGACTGGAATGGCACATGAGCGTGTGATATGCGCTTGAGAAACCGAGACATGCTACCGCCGCGACCATTTGAACTGTAACGATACCAGCATCACCAGCATCACGATCCCTTAGGCGCGCAATGATATATACTAGGCTGCTCACGAGAAGTGCTGTCGCTGGCACGAGGTGAGTGTATATGTTCATCGTCTCATTATGTATGTATATCCAACTACCAAGACAGGCTCGTGTTGAATGTGACACGGGACGATAGCCATTTCGAATGTATGGGTTATCTTGGTACCATCCCGGAATTTCTTCGAATGAGAGTAAAGGATGGTGGCAATCATGACTTTGACATTCGGAACCTCTCGTTGAGCTTTCGGTGATGCCGAAATTTGGTTGTTTTTCATCCACCGATGATCGCGCTTCGGCGGAATCGTGGTCGGCATTGAGTTCAGTTGATCGCGGCGCCATCACGTCCTGCCTTTCCCCGAATGCATAATAAGAAAGTGAAAGAATAACTTCCTTTCTTCTCCTCTAGTTTTTCAATTTCCCTCAAGTCGCTCTTCTAAATCACGCGTCGTCGTCCCCTGTTTGTATTTTTTTTTACCTATGCGGGGTCGGTAATCTCAAGTAATGCTTGGAATTTGCAAACTTATGCGAGCTGGTCCAAACGCGCTATTAAAGAACCAAAACAAGAAATCCCATTACAAGATTAATTTTCAATTGACTCGATTTTACTCAATGCAGATAAATGACATCACTTAAAGCAGGGTGAAGCCCCTTTAAAATCAAGGTGGCCCACCTCAACACTTGTTGCTATGTAGGTATATATCTCCGAAGATCTCGGGTCGACATAGGACCGAGGCCAGATGCTCTGAATATCTTGCCCGTATCGGTTTTGAGTATCCGTAAAATCTGATCGTTAGGTAATACGATGTGCTTGTCTTCTTGGCGTGGGTGACAGCACCAATGTTATCGCCGAGCTAACTATCCAATTACATGCCGGCATAGCTATATGCAGGTTCAGAATCATGTGAATTGCGAATAGTATGAACTCTTAGCACATACGTAGCCGATGTGATGCCGACCATCTCAACAACTTTTGAGAATATGATCATCGGTCCAGGTCTTTACTTTTGAAATATATGAAATTTCAAACATTAAACCTCGTCCCAACGCGCTGAGGCCACGGAATTGCCTGTATGCGACATGAAAAAAAGGAAACCATACAGATAGAGGCCTGACTGAGCTCATGCGAAGAGTAACCGTGCTGTATGCTAACTTACCTCAACCTACCTCAACCTAGACAATTTGAAAGGAGTCGCTGCGGGTTTTCTATGGCTCAAAATGTTGTTCATTCTGGAGCCATGATGCGAAACTCGCAACTCATCTGAAAATCTGCAAACAACCGGCTAAAATGCGAATTGACTCATACAAAAACGAGTCGGGTTCCTTGACGCATCTGAGGGTAGAAAGAAGGCGAATTTGCTCGAAATTTCGCACGTGCTTCTGGCGATCAATTAACTATAATCGAACGAGAAGCCCCATCCGTTAAAAATGAAATCGAATTTCGGAGTCTGTAACGAATGGTCGGTGATGGCTATTCCTTGAGTCCTTCATTGCAATGAACGCGCATTGATAGAATGAAACTAGAGTGAATCATGGCGTCAGATGTCCATCGGCTTTGATCGCGAATAGGAAATGTTGAAGATATTCGCCAATGTATATGGTTGCTATGTTCCAAAGCAGCACCTGGTAAGGTAGCGCCACCGGGCTTTCTTGGGTCGCGCTCCCACCGCGATAGGGGGGTGCCCACAAATAAGCTGGAAATTGCTTCCTGGGTTGGGTCGAAATTCGCGCATCTAGAACTTTGCACCCTCCTTACTCTCCCGACGGATCGAAAATCCAGAAATCCGGTGTTGAACACTCCATGCTGTTTCGAATGAAGTTGGATAATATTATTTCCAAATGCCGAGGAGGATATAACTGTCGCATGAAAGTCCGGCGCTGCGACCATTCAATATTCGCCAATGACCAAGTCCGCGCTGCAATTGAAATTCTGCGAACCTGCAGCGCCCAATAACCAGAGCAAGATTTCCATTATCAATGATGTCGTTTCGTAGAATGGTTGTTAGTTTCCTTGGACATATCCGTGCCTGGCTTCATTATCGTAGCCCTTTAAGGTGAATATGAATGCCATTCTAAAAATCGTGCTTGAGCAAGCAAGTCCTCTACCTTCAGTAAATGGGTAATGATGAGTTTAACTTAGCAGTCCTTTGTGATAGAAATGCTTTGCGAGCCACCATCCCATCAGCGAGAATGTCGTGGTCATGCTGGTCGGATGAAAACGTGTTTTCGGATTATATGGGTGACGTGGACAGCGTGATCACGAATCATAACCCAGCAACACGGTCGTACGTACTTGACCCAGAAAATACTAGGCGAAACAACTGATAGCTGAGAATCCAGCGTCGCAGAGTAAAATCTGGAATGACGTTGAAAAAGGCGTGGTGCTTATTCGCGTTCGAATATCATGTTATTCTGCTTGCAGCCTCCTGGTATATGTGGGGATGTGCTTCGCTGACACGCGCCGCGATGCGTGTACAGCTGTCCCAAGGCGTTGAATCGTGGTTGTTAATGAAAATCCCTAAAAGCTGGCGAAACGTGGAAACTCAATGTTTCACTTATTGGACCAGAGCTACCTGGAAATGACTTTGTAACCCGGGTTTGGGGTTGTTGCTGTCATGATATGCAGCGCGATCAAATCGTCCTCCTGAACGCGACTCGCGATGAATATAGTTCATGTTAATCATGCTCCTTAAAAAGAGTGAAAATGGTTATGAAAATTTGAGAAAATAACTTCTATCGCCTCCTGAAGAACCAAATAATCTTAGGATTAGATGAATCAAAGAGGAATAAGAATTGCGTGTTCGGGGGTTGAGGTTGTGCAGAATGTGTGGATAGCTTCATGTTGTGGCGAGTGGGAGCTCAGGTAGTAAAGGGGGACCTAAATCAAAACCAACATATTTGTTGAAGTTGCAAAAAGCAATAAACTACAATTACAGCTTAAGAGATAGCTGAATGATTGAAGAATCACATATAATAAACTTTTGAATACAATGCAAGGGTTGCGAAGTCGACAATTGGAATGCGACCGAAAGTATCGGAAGATCAAACTGTTGAAAATACACGAGATATGCTTCGGGAGATGTTAGATGTCATGGGTATACAATCGGTATTAAACTAATCACTTTTCTTCCATTGGCTAAATTAGCTTCTATTATAGAATTGTTGAAAATGACTCAATCGATCGCCTGATCGAAAAAAGTGTGGGATCAACGATCAAGAAGAGAGAGAAGGGGAGAACGAAAAGAAGATGGAAGAGGGGGGGGACGGTAAGAGGGTTGGGTGCGAGAAAGGGCTCGAGTCTCGAGTAGAGGCGCATGATTTGATTCGAGTTGAGGTGTAAAAGGTAACAAGTTCAAAAAATAATAAAATACAAAATAGGGAAAAAAGGTACTTGGAGCATGAGCTGTTGTTGAGCTTCGACCAATCAAAAAATTCGACAACAATCGATCAGCTCTATCAAACTGGGGAAATGTTCTGGGTACCTCTCCAGAGCCAAATCAGTAACGAATCAGTCCTTCCAAGCCATCTTACTGGCTAACGGCAGGCTGTGCAGCAGGGTTCCATCGGTCGCACATGGACCAACGTTAAACTTAATAGGGAAAGAGTTAAGACGTTTCAGAGACATAATGCAACCTTAAATGCTGAGGTAGGCATGTTATGTAGAGTGCGATCGGGTCCCAATGTCGTGTTGTGCCTGCCCTGCTTCCATCAAATCCATTTTTATTATTATTTTAGTGCCAAAGAATTTAAATAGATGGGTATTTTTTTTTCTGGAGGGGGAGGGGGAAGGCTCTTGCCGCACAGCTGATTGTATCAATGTACCAAACTAAGGTCCTTACTGATTGTGCACATCCCCCCCGCTATTATATAAACGGACTCACCTTTCTCGCTGTCGCGCCCCGACCGAATGCCTCCCTCCCTCCCGTTTCTTCTCGTTATTTCTCAACCCACGTATCATAAAGCATTCTTGTCACGTTCGTATTCATCAAAAGTCATTCGAAGCTTAATTGGTAAATCCAATTCCAACATCCGCATCATTATTCAAGCCAGATATCTTAAGTTATCAAACCAAACCAACATCAATCGCAATGGGTCCCAAGAAGGCAGACGGAGCTCCCAAGCCCAAGAGCACTCATGCTTCTTACCAGGTATGCTCTACCACGAGCTTCATCGGCTTTTCATTGGAGCTTATTTGATACTAACGAACTATAGGACATGATCACTGATGCTATTGTTCATGTAATTACTCCCATTCCTTCGCTTCCGGCGCATCATGTGTCGCTTGGCTGGTGTCGTGGGTTAGGCAACGTGCAAGGCCGTCATTGACTGGCACTGCTCTCCAACCCTACTCCAGAATTACTTTAAACTCATCAGATCTTTTGCTGACGCGTGTTTTTCAATCGTACAGCTCAAGGAGAGAAATGGTTCCAGGTATGCACTTAATTTTCCTGCTATTTAGGCACCCACCCGTCCCACTTGATTTTACTGTCGCGTCCACCGCCCTACATGTACTAATCATCTCACAGCCGTCAACAATTGAAGAAATATGTGAAGGCCAACAACACCATCAACGTCACAGACAAGATGTTCGACTCATTGTTTAACAAGGCCTTGAAGGCCGGTGTCGACAAGGGCATCTTCGAGCAGCCCAAGGGTATGTCGCCTCTGATCTCACGAGACTACCTAGTCATGGAGTTTTCACGTTCATATACTAAATGATTATAGGTCCTTCTGGCGGTACCAAGCTCTCCAAGAAGTCCAAGCCTGCTGCCACTAAGCCTGCCGCCAAGAAGGAAGGTGACAAGGAAGCCCCCAAGAAGGCTGCTCCCAAGAAAGAGCCTGCTAAGAAGGCTGCCGCACCAAAGAAGGCAGCTGCACCCAAGAAGGAGGCCACTGAGAAGAAGCCTGCCGCGAAGAAGGCTGCTACTGCCGCCGCCCCCAAGAAAGCCCCTGCTACTAAGAAGGCCGCTCCCAAGAAGGATGTAAGTTTAATACTACGACCTTAATCATCTATCACCGTCTAATAACTATAGGCCCCCGCTGCCGAGGAGAAACCTGCTGCATTGACGAAGACAAAGTCTGGAAGAGTGGCGAAGACCGCGTCCAAGCCAGCTACGAAGAAGGCAGCACCCAAGAAGGCCGCAGCACCTAAGAAGGAGAAGACACCAAAGAAAGAAGCGAAAGCTGAAGCAGCTTCGTAGATGTTCTGATTCATGATTTGTGTGTTCTTCGGCTTGCGTGTTGGGGTTTGGCGGGTCTACTGGCGTTCGGGAAACTGGGTACAGAGTTACGCGTGCGCTCGTTCAATGCGCAGTGGAATTAGGTCTTGCTTTTCGGTCATGCTTTCGGCAGGGTTTGGTTGGGACTTTGTCAAGGGGACGGTAATGGCCCTGGTGCGTTTCGAATGTTGTCCAACATCATACCCTCTGCGATGCTAGCTACCGTTCGTGTGCATATGTTACGGCCCCTCGCGGAATCACGGTTTCGGTTGGATTGCACATATTCCCAGTCTATGGCATCTATTATAGGGAGGGTTAAAAGGACTGACGACGTGATGAGTAAAATTTTTTTGACCTTTTTTTTTATTTTTTAAAGTACGGCCCTACGCGAGCTACGGGGACTTCAAAAAACAAAAAAAAAGGTCAAAAAAATTTTTCCTTGCGGAAGGCCATATATGGGGGTTTTAAGGGAAAAGGGGGTTTAAGGAAGAAGAAAGTCAGGTAAAAACAAAAGGTAATATCCGCCCGAAGGACCTGGAAAGTTTCCTTGCGATGAACAGGTTGAAAGGAAGGTTCAAAAGTCAGTTGATCAGTTCGTAAATCAGTCCCTGATCTAGTCCCTGGATCAGTTCAAAAGGCCAGTACAACGATTAGTCAAATCAGTTCTTAGATCAGTTTTTATATCGGTCCCTGATCCAGTCCCTGGATCAGTTTAAAAGTCAGTTGAATAGTCAGTAAATCAGTCCCTAATCCAGGACTTAGATCAGTTCAATAGTCAGGAATTCAGTCCCTGGACCAGGGACTGAATCAGTAATTCCATCACTTCAACAGCTAATCAACCTGTCTGTAAATCGGTCCCTAGTTCAGTCCTTGTATCAGATATTCGATCAGTTGAATAATCAGTTAAATAGTCAATCAATCAGTCCCTGATCCAGTTCCAGGATCAGTTATTTAGTCAGTTCGAAAGTCAGTCCAAAAGTCGGTAAATGAGTCCCTGGATCAGTTGTTCGATCAGTTCAACAGTGAGTAGATTAGTCAGCAAATCAGTTCAACAGTTAATCAAATAGTCAGTAAGTCAATCCTAAATTCAGTCCCTATATCAGTTCAAAGTCACCAAATCGGTCCCTAGCCTAATCCCTAGATCAGTTCAACAATCAGTAAAGCAGTCCCAGTTTAACAGTCAGTAGATCTATCTGTAAATTAGTTAGCAAATCAGTCGAAAAGTCAGTTCAGGGATTAGTCAGATTAGTTCCTGGATCAGTTCAACGGTCAGTAAATCAGTCAGTAGATTAGTCTGGTCAGTCCCGAGATCAGTTCAAAGGTCAGTCCAATAGTCAGATCAGTCCCTAGATAAGTTCGAAGTCAGTAAATCGATCTGTAAATCAGTTAGTAAATCAGTCCTGGATCCAGTCCCTGGATCAGTCCTTCGATCAGTTCAACGGCCAGTTCAACAGTCAGTCAAATAGTCAGTAAATCAGTCCCTAGATCAGTACAACAGTCAGTAAATCGGTCCCTGGTCCAGTCCCAAGATGCAATCAGTACACAGCTAATAAATCAGTCGCCGGACTGATTAAATAGTCAATCGAATAATTGATTAAATCGTCAATTGAATAGTCAATTGAATAGTCAGTTCAAAAGTCGGTTCAAAAGTAGGTTCAAAAGTAGGTAGCTAGGTAGGTAAATCAGTTCAATTGAAAGATCAGTCGAATCGAAGCTGATGTAATCAATTGAAGGGGATGCACCCAATCAGAGACGTGGATGAATTTAAGGTTTTGCCAAGGCTTGGCAACGCGCTAGAGAAGATTTGAGCCAATCAAGTGCGCCGAAATCTCTTATCAATTACTTATCAGTTACTTACGTAATATTGCGTAATTACAGGGGGGGTTTTATGAGTAATAGGCAAAGTTTGAGCGTAATAATGTCCTTCGGACGGACAATTGTAATTATACCAACGACGAGGGGCTCTTGCATGGTTTTCAATCCATATTACAATTTTGCCGTTTATTTTTGGTGCCTGGTCATCGCGACAATAGGATGTGAAATGCACACTTGACGCGTCTCCGCCATCAGACGTATTCGTTTTGTTTACGTATGCCTAGAATGGGTTGTGGGGTCAAGTATCCGTGCTTACAGCGTAGGTGCTGATAATGGATATCACGTGCTGACAGGGGTAGTATATGCTGGATATCCACTAGTGAATTTCTAGAGCCCTTACAGCATTGGCCCCCTTGACCTTGATCTTGGACAAGTCATAAGCTGTACCGAATGCCCAACATTTTTGAGTGGATATCAATGACCATGTTGCTCCAATAAATAGTTTTCAAGGTCATGTCTGCCTGGGTGGTTTTGAGATACACTATGTGAGAAATGAAGATCTCCAAGGTAACCCGTGGAATGGTTCAATTCGTGAGTTGGCGCACCAAGTTACGATGGTATATTGAGTCTGAGAAATGGCATGACAATTCATCCAATTGTAGAAGCATTCACCAGTATATCAACGTCTAACTCGGGTTGCTATATCGTTGCATATGAATTAATGCATTATGCATTCTTAACCTAAGGATCTAAAGTTCCGGTATATCTTGCCGCAAATCCGAGATCACTTGTCAATTCAAAGTTTAAGTTATCCATATCAACAACATTAAACAATAAGGTCCAGAGGCTATCTCGGCAGGTATGTATAGAATTAGGTGGTCGGACATTGAGGCTCCCAACACGTTTTCAAACGTCACTTGACTTCCATGTGACTTACATGCTGAGTTTAGAGTAAACAACGGTACGAACGTTGGATCGCGTATTATCACGAATCTGAATCGAAGTCTTCGTAACAGATCGGAAATAAATCGATTGAATTACACCTTAATATTACGTAGAGCTTCATTCTCATTACACATATATATACATATATAGGTATTTATATATATGCAGATAAATGAGATTAACTTTGATCTAATACAAGTCGTTGTTCCTTCCTACTCCTTTCACTAATAAGACCTCTGAACATCGATTAAACTCGGAAATTCAGGTAACGGCTACTGTTACCCCTGCTGTTACTGACGCTGTTATCGTTATCAGAGGTTGCGACCTGACCCGATCACCCGTTACCGAAACTTCCGAGATCCCAACCCCGGCCAACTCGTCTGGACCAAGCCTAAACCGAATCCAATCCAAGCCAAGCCCAGGCTGACAATACAACAATACAGTCAAAGAAAGCTACTTTTCACTGTATGTCGTAGCCTAGGCCCAGGAATAGAGGGGGATCTACACCACACGATACTGCAACACCGATACCGACGTCGACCCGACCGACGACCCGACCGACGACTCGCAGGACTCGCATAATCGTATCATGGCCAGCCTCATATAGCTTCCATTGCCCATTTGCACAATCTCTTCAAATTGTGCTTTTTGTCCGGAGTCCTGCCATCTCATCATGGCTTCTCAAGACCAATCCTTCAATTCCAATAATCCCTTTAGGCGGAAGCTGGGCACACCTACGATCTCTACCGAGAACCCCGCTGCGATACCTGCGACCAGTTTCGACGGACATTTCGATTCTATTCCACGAGTGCCATTCACCAGCTTCAAGTCAGACCAACCAAATAATGATAGGCGGGAGAGGGAGGATAATGAGGAAGTGGTACCAGCACCGCCAAAGCCGAAAAAGGTTGTGAAAAGAGTTCGGGTCCAATCACCACCTCCGTCTTCGCCTGAAGATGCAGTACCTGTAGCCCGATTTCCACCCATAAGCGATGACGAGGACGAGGACGACAACGAAGATGACGACGATGATAGTAATAGTAGTGATTCAGAAGACCATGATGAACATATTGGTCGATACAAAACCGTTTCGTTCCCCGCCCGGGATAATGATAGCGTTAGCACCGAGCATACCCAAACAGGGCCACCACCAAATCCATTTTCCAAAACGTTGCAGGACTTAGAACAGACGGGGCAAGACCAAGATACCAGTATATTTGCAGCTGGTGCCACGGCAAAAGGAGCCCTCGATGTAGACTCATTCAAGAGATTGCTATTAACTGGCTATGCGAATATCCCGGGACCATCATCTACGTCGGCATCCGGTACGGGAGGGAATTCCGGGCTCTCAACAAATTTGCACGCATCCCTGCATGATGGCGCGAGTAATACGGATGCTAGTTCCGTATCCCGTCAATCCATCTTTGATGCTATATCAGATACACCTCGAACATCACATGAAATCTCCGAGCCGGAAGATCCTGAGGAACGAAGAAGTATTCTTCCTACCTCACCCCTTTCGTCTATGACGTCCTCTTCTACGAGGAAGAAGCCACCACCTCCTAGCTCGAGGCATGGCAAGCTTATAAAAATTGAGTTGGGAGCAGATGCGGATTCTCGTACTACGAAAACCTCTACCGCTCCTATATCTATCAGCACCACCTCTCTTCCCTCTATTGCTCCACCCCGTAAATCTAATCTCCAGCCCATAACCGCACCATCACAATCTCCTTTATCAACAGATGTGAATAAACCGCTTCCTCTAACCCCTTTCCGCCCTTCCGTGGAAGAGGCCGTCGATTCTCCTTTCGACCGTGAAGCTATAGGCAAAGGCCCCGAGCCTTTCGCTGACATACAATCAAACCCTCGACCTCCAACACCCCCTGTTGTCACACGGAATCGCTCCGCATCTAACGGTAGCACGCAGACTCGCAAGCCAGCAGCACCTCCGCCACGCCGGCACGGAAGGAGCGATAGTAGAGCACCTTCCATCCATACTGGCAACCAGGATGACGACACCCCTCCGAGGTCATCCTTGGACTCGAATCGCTCGCGGACTGACAGCATACGCACAAGCACCATAAACGCACCCGCACCACCACCGCCCCGTCGACCAAATCACGCCAGGCAAGGGAGTTCATTCACAAGTCCGAGCCAAGCAAGTTTTACTCCAATACCAGCACTAGGACCGGGTATTGGCGAAAGCCTACGGAGTCCGACGGGATCGGGATTTGGCCCCACGAGCAGTACCGGGCCGATAGAAGACCCAGGTGCGGCTAGTCTGGCCACAATCACCACATCTAAAGACGGTCAACCCAAACTCTCTCCGCCACCTCCACCCCCTACCAGGTCGGCGAGTACCAGACGTCCACCCAGCGTCCGGAGTATGGACGCGGGTAACGGACTTGGCACCGGCACAACGAGGCGCGTGAGCAAGGAGAAAGAGGGAGTCGCGATACCACCCCCGCCTCCACCCCCGCCCAGACAACGCGGCAGCAGTCGCGCTAGCGTGGAAACGCCCGCCCCGCCTGCCACGGACGGAGTAAGGAATCCAAGCGGTAAAGCGGGACAGGGACCTACCGCTGCTGCTCAACCCGAAGGTGACGTCAAGCAAGGAGCAGAAATCCTGGCCGACATCGATGCGTTGCAGAGAGAGGTCGACGCCCTGATGGGACGTGTTGGGAAGACCGGGAATTAGCGGGCGTATGTTGATATGGTCTAAGCTCGAACCTTCAAACCCGGATGCTGTCGAATAATACATCAGGACACAACTTGGTCGAAGTAGGGATTAACATTTGGGTCGGAGGGGAGATGAGTATAAGTATAAGTATGAATATCCGTACATATCACACGAGATATCCGGCAGTACGAGGGCGAACCGAACGCGCTTGCAATTGGGGCTGGGCATGAGATACGAAATACGCGTCACGTGGGACCGTGATATGCGAGACTTGTTTGTATAGTAGGTAGGGAATTGGTAATGCGGATGGGGTTTGGGTGAGGGGCTACATATACATATGTATGCATGTCGATGAGTACGAGTACGAGTGCTTTGGTTACTGGTCTGGTTAGGTTAGGTTAGGTGTAGGTAGTGACGCGCAGCGTACAGCGTTTTGGGAAATCGAATTGGTTGAGAATGAAGTGGTGTTTGTTCAGATGTGAGGTGAGGGTAAAATGGGTATTGAACATATTCTTTCTGGGGATGCTTCAAAGGAAGCCCTGCCGAGGTACATGAAGAAGACCTTGGAATGTTCATGATTGGTTTTTAGTTGTATTGATTCTGATTTGAGCAGCTTGTTGATACAATTTGTCTAAGTCAGTATATAACACCTACGACATGTCCCATGGACTACCTATCAAATAATTGAGTCAATTGCGAACAACTCGGATTGAGTGGTTTACGCTGTTCGTGGCTAGGTATGGGGTGCTCGTATATGGTTGACATGTTGCTGTATTGAAACAGTTTCTGTCCACCAAGGTCCTCATTTTATGAGAATATTTATATATAACGCATAGAATCTACAAGAACCTTATTGATTCCTATTTCTTTCTTCTTAGTTATATGAAATTCACTCGGGTACGAAGCTGAGAGGATCACCGTTTCCACGTGTCCAGTTTAATAGACTGAGATGTGATTTCTAAGCTTTTTCCTTTATTCCTCTTATTATAGTCGGCCTTGCGCGGCAATCGGCGGTTAGCTATCTACCTTGCTTCCTCCCCTTGAACATAACTCCGATGAATTATAGTTCCCAATTGTAGTAGGTGCTATTACTCACTTACGAGGCAATTGGATATCGGCATCTCGTACATTTCCAACTTCTCACATATCCATCCTATAGCCGGCCTGCAATAGGCGCTGAAACGGGAAGTCATACTGGTATGGACATCCAAAGTGTATCGGCGGAGAGTGGGCTGCCTCTCGACTGATCTGTCATAGTATGACCTTCCAAATGGTCCACTATTCTGCCGAAGTTCCGGAGTCGAAATAAGCCATCCGATTGAACATAGACGATAAAGGGGGGCGATGCCGAGCGCAGATCTGAAAGATGAGGCGTTCTTGTACCTGCCGATCGAGGATGTTGGTCGATTGGCTCTGTATCGCACGTGTTACTACGACCGGACCTTCTAGAAAACGAAGCCAATTGCTCATCCTACATCATTCTGCAAGATGTATATGAAATCACCCGAATTAAGGCGGTTGCCCAGAAAGCTTGAATGGCTTGTCTGCCTTGTCAACGGCAGCTATTATGGGGAATATGAGAGCGGAAAAGCTAGTCGAAATAAGTAGGTGGTAGCACCGACCGACGTTGTATCGAACATGAGGCTCGAGCTTAGAGCCGGTCCTTGAATGGAACCGGGATCTGAAATGCCCTACGGCTCCCGAACCCCAAACAAGAGTTTATTAGGAACTTCCCCGCCGCCCCAACGATTCGTTTCGATTCCAAGCTTCTCAAGCCAAGACAATGAGCCAAGAAACCCGATGGCCAAATAAGAAGGTCCGCATACGAGATGGTAACAAGACACGGAAATCTGACAGATTGATATATTTCAACTATATTGTGGCGAATCTTGACGAGATTGGGAAGGTATCGTATGTATGCGTTGAAAACGAAACTCGATATCTATAGGACGTGGAGATTATCAAAGTTGGTCAGTCGCATGACATCGAACTGCTACTTACCTGGCTCCTCGATTTGCAATTTGCAATTCAGTTTGTCGAAGATCCGGCCACCTCCAGAAGGGGTTGGAAAGCTGATAAGCATATTAATCGCCAAGACTATCAACACTCCAGATCCCTGCATTCTTATTTTCAGATTTACTAATGCGCAGGGATCGATCATACCCAAGATCGCGACCTTAATGCCCCCTCGCTGCCGGGTAAAATGCTCTGAATTTTTCCGGATCATGAGGGCCTCGTTACTCGCCGTGTTCTCGAGTCGTTCGATGCGCCTGCGAGAGGGTTGTCGACGCGTCTTTGTGAGAGGTCATAATCGTCGTTAATAGGCAGCAAATATGACAGCCGATTCCGAGAATCCGCTACTCCGCTACGCACTCTGGCGAAATGGCCGCGGCTAAGGTTACGAGGAGAAACAAGATATGAGCTGGAATTGCTATCTTGTCCTCCCATCGGGGCCTCTGATTGCTCTCCTTCCAAAGTTGGCAAAAAACATGCTATCGCCGATGCGTCACCTATTCTCCCCGGGAGTGTTCCTTGCAGACTCGCTTCTGTGACATGCTATTAGTCTGCCGTGTTGACGTACCTTTCTCTGAATTAGGATCTTAATTATTGGTTAGAATTGATCGCGTCGACTACCGGACACGGGGTACCTTTCAGTACCGGGTTGCTGTAGCTGGGACGGGTCAAACCGCCGCTGAGAGTGGGATCCATCTGCTTGGCGCCTTAATTCCAATGTTTGCGAGTGCATGACATTGGCCTACCATGTTTGCAACTTCCTGATCGTGTCTAGATAGAACTGTTCTGGAAATATGCCTCGGTCAGGAGAGTAGAGGATCGCTGTCGCGTAAAATAGTACCGAAGCCGTAAGTCCACCGGCTATAAAGAGATTTCGTCCGCTCATTTTAGTTGTAAGAAATCTCGTCATCACCAGCACGCAGCTCGCAAGATCCATAGCTACAGTTAGTTCGACGCAAGTCTCGCAGCCTTCCTTCACAATGAAGTTCACCGCCGGTGTCTCCCTCTTTGCCGCTGTGGCCAGCGCTATCTCGGTCGACCTGACCAAGCGCGACACCCCTCTCGATGTTAAGCTCGAGATGGTTGGCAACACTGCCGTCAAGGCCAGCATTACCAACACGTACGTATAATTATTTTTGGCAGGCCACCCACCACACACGTCATATATAGTCATGAAAAATACCCATTCTTGTCCTGGAATTTGGATGGACTTCAAGGATCAATGTTGACGATGAGTCTCTAGTGGTGCTTCTGACCTGAAGATCTTCAAGACGGGCACTTTCCTCGACGAGAACGCCCCCACCGAGAAGGTTGCTGTCTACCAAGGTGGTAAGTCTTTCTGAGATGCGCCCAATGTCAAGCAATGTGAATAACCGAGATATATTAGGCAACAAGGTCCAGTTCGATGGTGTCAAGCTCCGTGTTATGACCACCGGACTCGGCGAGGAGGCTTTTCAAACCATCGCAGCTGGTGAAACCGTCGAAGCTACCTTCGACGTCGGCCAGGTCTACGACCTCAGCGCCGGCGGTAACTACGACGTCGTGTCCCTTGGCGCCATGTCCTTCGCCGAGGCCAACACCACCGAAATTTCCGGCGTGGTCCCTGTATCCGGCAGCACCGTTAGCGCCCAGATCGACGGTGCCGCAGCCAAGGAGGTTCGCCGCCGCTTCCACGCCAAGCGCATTGACGTGCAGTCGGACTGCACAGGCACTAAGCTCAGCCAAACCAACACGGCTATCAGCAACTGCCGTGCTTTGGCCTCCGCTGCCGCGACCGCGGCCTCATCTGGCTCCGCCACCAAGGTGACCGAGTACTTCAAGTCGAGCACAAGCTCCGTGCGCAGCACCGTTGCTAGCGTCTTCCAGAGGGTAGCCAGCGAGTGCGGCAGCACCTCCTCCGGCGTTTCCGACCTGTACTGCTCCGACGTGTACGGTGCCTGCTCATCCGGTGTTCTGGCCTACACCCTGCCCTCGCAATCGTACATGGTTAACTGCAACCTGTACTACACCGCGCTTTCGCCCATCACCAGCACCTGCCACGGCCAGGACCAGGCCACCACCACCCTGCACGAGTCTACCCACTTGACCCAAATCAAGGGAACCGATGACTACGGCACCTACGGATACAGCGGTGTTCGTGGCCTCAGCGCGTCCCAGAACCTGAACCACGCCGACACCTACGCTCTCTTCGCTAACGCCATCTACGTCGGTTGCTAAGCGCGTCGATCACTGCCACTGCACTCTCTTTGTTTCAGCTTCGGATGAAGGATGAAGAGGGGAAGATACGAGCCGAGGTGTCTTGCTTTGCGATGGAACGCTAGTGCCTGTGCCGCAATAGAAAAAAGGGGGGGTTAAAGTTAGGAATATTGGAGCAACAGAAAGAGCAGGAGCCTAAAAAACAGGAGGAGAAAGCTTCTTGTTCCCCTTGCTTGATCCCTCCTTTTAAAATAAGCTCAGCACAAGACAATTCGTTGTTTCATCCTGCCTACCACTTTCCTTCGATCTTCATCTGACGGTGGGACAAAGCCCGCAAGAAGGCGGGGAGGGGAGAGTCGTTAGGCGACAAAGCGGGATTCACGTGTCATTTTCATGATTGTGTATTGTGTAATTGAATGTTTAGCGTTATGTGTTAGAATATGGATATCAAAAAATGAATGTCTTTTACGTGGTATGACAATACCTGCCTAGTATGACAAGGAACAAGGCGATTGTCGATTGTTTGTCAATTTGTACGATTTATTCAATCATTTGCTTTGCTGTTCAAATGCTCGCAATATGTCTCCCTAGGTACACGTTAGTAAGTGATGCGCTTCAAAAGATACACGTGTCCCAGTGTATTAGAGTAACCAACGTAACCACCACTGTCAACATTGGAACCACCACACATCACCTCACAAACCACCAGATCCGATTATCTCTGCCACCTTTGGCTGGCCATTGCGCAGCTTCGAGAATTTTCTACGTCCTCCAGGAGGATAGCTCTTTCCTTTTGTTTACTATTTTTACAAATTTAAGGTTCGACCAGTTAGAGATTCTCGTTTGACCCGCGCGAACTGGTGGTTTGCTACTTCTCCTTTTTTTTTTCCTGATTCCTTTTTTAATCCGAACCTCGTATCAACTTTCCGCAAGTTCCGTGCCGAGCATTGCACTGCCTCGCACCACAACGTTTACAAACATCGTACCTATTACACATGCGTCCCAGGCACTTACATATAAAACCCCAAAACAAGGATTACGATCGCCAAATTGAGGTTGCAAGAAATACCCTGAGACAGATATGTCCAGACGATCCAATGGAGGATTTGCGTAATGCGGTATGATGAACGAACTTACTGGACGATTGATTTGATTACTGATGTATTTCCATAGAAAGATACGGTCGCTCTCTTCGCAGACCACATCGATGAATTACGAGTAAAAACCGATCGGCCAAAGAGTGCCGAGCTTCTCCGCACCATCTCGTCATCCTCAGTCCAGCGCCATGGATCCAACAATTCGTCATCGGACGGATCATTCCGCAAGGGAAGTTCGTCGAAATGGAAGAACCGCAGCGTAGGCAAGGAGTGGGCAGGATCGAAGCCGGGCAGCATTTGGACGACGATCAACAGCGAGCTCGAGGATGTGGCGAAGCAGTTTCCGGGTCTATCAGTTGCGGCCTTTAACGAATTCATTGGCTCCCGCGAGATTCTAGAGCTAGGGGCCGACTTTGTTCGCATTTACCACGCGCGCGGGATCGCAGCCGAGAAGCCGTATTGGGCGGCCGAGGACCTGTTCTTCGACCTGCAGGCAGTGAAGCAGGGAGACGCACCGGCGTCAAGATGGACGCAAGCCCGTTCCGAGCGAAGGGCCGAGTGGGATCTCGCGGACCATCTCACGCGCTTCGTGCTGATGGCCGATAGCTTCCGCAGACGGTCGATCGAGCGCGAGGATTGGGGCGTCTGGGCCGGGGATTTCGTCACAAATGTCCGCTTCTACCTGCGCGTGCTAAGATGCTTCATCAAGAGGGACGCGAAGCAGAGAGAGGAACGTCGGGATGCGATACGCAATCAGAATCAGAACCAGACTCGGAGCCAAAAGTCGGAGGGTTTGGAGAAAAAGAATTCCGGCGGCTCTCGTGGTAGCAGGTTCTCTCTCGGTAGCAGAGGAGGATCAAACAAGAGTTAGGAAGGGAATGAAATTGACAAGAAAATCTCTGGGTGGGGTAAAGGCGTTAATGTCTCGCCCGATAGGGGCTCTGAAAGCATCATGGTTGAGGAACGCAACTGGGCATTTGGCTTGGCGTTGTTATGAGAAAGGCGTCTGGTTTTAGCTCATGGATTGATACCCAGCATAATAATGCTACAGACTACGAATTTATTTTGTTATGCATCGGGCTAGATTAGTGATGATGAGTGTGCTCGTGGTTGTAGGTGTACTTAGCGACTTTCAGCTTTGATAACGCGTCTTTGATTTGGAGATACGCAATTGTGAGCGCCGGGTCTATTATGAAATAGGTACGTACTTATCGATTTAGGAAATGGGATCACGAATTTAAAAGAAATCTTACATATCGAAGATTTTACTTTTGAAATGTACTGTATGAGATGATTTGAGGATTTGGGTTCAAAATAAAAGGGAATGTTCATGGAAGAGGGACCGTGCGAATAAAACTTCATAGCCCAATTTTGCCTTCCAATTTACTACGTGAGCACCGTGTTCCTGCCCGATGCGCACGTAGTTGTCTTAGATGGTAAGCCACACCCATGGATTAATTTAGCGTTTGCGGTCATGCCTACCCTGGTACATTACTACCTTGCCAATCTTGCCTTCTTAATCTATCGCATTCTAATCGTCAACTTACAACTTAAACGCTTCTAATTCAGATATTCATCGGCCTTCCCTTTTCAGCGTATCCGATAGACCGTTGGATATCTGATATCTAATTCTTATGAATTTTGACTCTCTAAGCACTTAATCTCACATCTTTACCTGATAGGACTAAGCGCGATTATGTCGGACGAATCCGATATCGAGAATCGCGTCGCGTCTGAAGAAGATGGCAGCCTTGATGAAATTGACTCCGAAGAATCTGGTTCGGAAGATGAGGCGAATGGGTTTCTAGATATAGAAGCCTCCGAATCTGATGGCGAATCCGACAATGGAGATAACGAAGATGGCATACTTGTGGATGATGATGATGAACCACTTGAGTTCCATAAGTTCATGCAATTACCTCCTGAGCTTCGCGCACGCATCTGGGACTTTTTTGATCCGGATTCGAAAGAAAAGGCGCGAGTGCTCAAGGTCGTCATACCAAACTACACGCATACGGTACCTGTCATTTGGGAAAGCGAATTTCTCGAAGAGCAGACGGCACCCTCCAGGGCGATGTTAGCTACACATCACGAGAGCCGTGAGATAGCTTTGAGATTAAACCCTGACGTGTTTTATCTTCGCAGTGGGGGTTACAGTATTCCATTCAACAGGGAGAGAGACATCATTCTTCTCCAAACCGATCCTTACAACCGAAATAACCACGACATACGGGATATCCTTCAAAGCCTTGGAAATCCTAGATTCGTTGCTTTAGAGGCCAATTTCCCTTTATGTGAAGATGAAGAAGAAGCATTAATTTATGGGTATGAAGGAGGCCCGACAAACATACTCCGCTGTATCGATGAATATGAACTTCCAGCGCAGATGATGCAGTGGTGTGTATCTGATATCGCCAACACATACCTCGTCCAGCTAAAGGAGGATTTTGCGGGTATACCCCATTATACGGATACTATGTACTGCTGGCCTGATTTCAAAACATCTCGAGAGCTTCTCGTGGAACATAATATTTTGGGATCTGACACTGAGCGCCAAGGGCTTGAGTGGTGGCCTATGATCGAGTTCCAGAATCTGATGCGCTTTTCTAAACTGCAAACCGCAGTAGCGACCGAGGGCGAGTGGCGCGATAAATGGGACTCATCATCAGTCGAATCGGAAGACGAGACGGAGGACGAGTACGAAAGCGAGGGAATAGACGATGCGACCATCGACGACGATGAAGATTCGAGCGAGGATGAAGACGGCTTGATTGTGGTACAGTCTAACTCCGACTCTGAAGATGACGCTGCGTCTACCTTCGATGGGTTTTCCCCACTGCAAATCGCGATTTCAGAACAAAATGGCGAGGGAATAGAAGTCGGCAATTTCTCTAGCCTTGAGCCTGAATCCCCTGTCCCCGGGACCTCTGCCGATCTTCATGCCCATGGGTTAGATCATGATTCGGAACAAGCACTCTCTGATGAAGAACCTGTTCAAAAGACTACTCGACGTAAACGGCGTATCATATCTTCGGATGATGAACATGACGATGAAGATGAGCCTAATGAAGAGGTTAAGTTTCCATCGCGACCTATTAAGCGCTCTCGGGTTGTCCTCTCCGACAGCGAAGACGAGGATGAAGAGAATGAAGATACGAAGCATGACCAGAAAGTGGTTGATGGATCCGAAGATGGCGAAGACTCCGAAGAGCAGGAGTCTGATGAGTCCGATGATGAAGAACCTGAGCCTGTAAAGGCGAAGCCAATGTCTTTATTTGAAAAGTTAAGGCAATTTCGCGACGAGATTCCAGTCTCGCCAGATTCGGGTGCTGGTTCCGATGCCGGTTCCGACGCTGATGCATTGATGGACAACGAAGACTTCGACGAAGGCAGTGAGTCTAGATTTTTGGACGGCGAAGCCGATGAAGATGACATTCTGGATGATGGTGAGGGAGAATCACAGGATGAGGGCGATGATGAATGGTGATGCGTGGAAGATATTGTGCCGCTATTCGGACTGAATGATAGTGATAATATTCCCTACCACAGCTTCTGATCTAGTTGTATTCTATTTCGAAGCACCTAAGTTACGCTATTTGGGGTTTACTGAATGAGCTTACGCCGAGGCTTGGGCTCTAATGGGATTTCGCTCTGAATTGGCGACTCTTTGCTATCGTTGCTCACAATGTGGAAATAACGAGAAACGCGTTGTACTTAATGGAAGAATAGGTATTCGTTAATGATGACTTTAGTGGACACCACGTCGCCTGGCTTATTTAATGATAGCGGAAGATGCACCCGCAAGGAGCCCGCATATCTTCACTAGAACGAAATCATTTGGTCCTAAGCAGTGATACCTAATTTACAATTCAACTGCATTATCACAAACCACGGCGAAGATTAGTCATACTACGCCTACCTGTCAAACTAATAAGTCAGAAGGAAGCGCAATGGGTTGTTAGTTCGAGCCGATGATATCGAGAGCGACGGCCGCAGCCAAGATTAAAATTTCATTCGAATTTACTGCGACTACTCCGCGGCCTGTCTTCATCATCTTCATGTCTGCCCTCGGTCACCACCATACCAGCTCTTCTGCCAATAGTCGTATGATCGAGGAGCACCCAGAGCGCAAACACAAGCGCGGTAGCGGGTAGCGTGAATGCCCAGTAGATCCAAAAGTTGGGCTGTATGATGGAGCCGTCGGCATGCCAATCGAGCGAGGGCACCGAGAACAGGGCCGCGAAGAAAGTGGCGGGTAGAAATGCCATCGTCATGATAGCCACGGTCTTCATGCTCGAGCTGTCGCGCTTAGACGCCTCGGCTATCTTACGGCTGGCGTCTGCGAGCTCTGCGTGTATGGCCGAGTCTTCATGCGTTAGGAGCGCGAAGAGCTTTTGCGGTGGAACCCGGGGTTCTCGTTAGCGCTTAGGTATTATGACATTTTAAAGGTATAAGGGGACGGAAAGGATTCATGAGGGAAAGTGAATAGGAGGAAGGTGATATTGAATGTACACTTGTTGTCATGGGACCTTACCACCGTCGATAGCCGTTCGGCCCTCTCTTTCAGATATTTTAAATACTCCTGTGAAGCATGCATTCTTTTCCTCAGCAGCGGAACCGCCTCGACTAGTTTCCTCGTGCTTTCCTCATTTACAACTGTCTCCTTAGAATTTATTTCAAGCACCGCGTTTTCAACAATAAAAACCAAAATCCCTTCTACAAGCCGGAAATGCCGTTGCTTATTCGCAATATGATTTAGAACTTCGCCGACCTCCTTTATTGACACCGTCAAAGACTCCATTCCAATCCGCTCCTCAATGCTGCTCGAGTGTGTACTATACCCTGTCTGCCGCTCGATGAGCCGGACTACGTGCGCGCGATATGTGATCTCGCCGTCGAAGGTACAGCAGACGCTCAGCGCGGCCACGTACGCAAGGAGCGAGGATGAACACACGTGCGACTGGTGCCGCCGGAGAATGTTCACGAACCAACCTGCCGGCGCGCTTTGGTTGGTGATGCCATGCTGTTGCCGAAGGATCCACAGCGCATGCGTGTGTTGGTTCCGTCGATCGAACGTCCACATCAGTACGAAGTTTGATGTACCGATATAATATGTATCGATATCTGCTGCTTCCACTTTACTTTCTTTCTCCTCCCCCTCTTCCCAGTCTGGAGAGAAAAAGGGTTCCGACGGGGGGAAGTGGTGGAACCCGTCGTACTCGCTACGCAACAGCCACAACGCTGCTGGGTTCAATCCCATAGAATCGACGAGACTGAGGAAGACGTCCTTGGTCACCCACAGAGAGGAAGAGAAGCTAGACCATGACTCCAACCTGCTATCGATCACGACTAGCTTAAGGGAAGCTACCGGTGGCACAGGTCTTGTACCCTGATAAACGCCACTGTCATTCCTAAGTCGAGCCTTGAAGAAACTCGGCAGACTGTCAAGTTTCATATCTTTCTCGATATATGTCGTCGGTGAGCCGGGTGATGCGTAAATAGCAATGGCCCGGTGCTTGGGATCGGGTCCAAGCGAGGCGTCGCCGTACCTCTGAAAGACCTCGAAGTTCTCCCGCGACAGCTGAGCGAATTCGTCCATGATTGGGGCAGTGCAAACTTGGAGACTTCATCCACCTCTGCAGATAGGGAATATCATAGCTTATTAAACACTCATTGGGTTCTAGATTCCAGGATATTAAATTGTGTATCATGAGCATACCTAGGTAGCTGTCAAAGATGCTGGAGGCAATCTACAATTGCCAAATCACATCATAAATGCTATTTAGATCGAAGGATCATATGCAACAGGGTAAAACTTCAGCTGCGACACGCCGAATATCCCTGCCCCATGGCCTAGACCCAGTAGAGTTGTAGTCATCGCCGCTACTATGTCCCAATTAGGAGGCCTTCCCTAAGTTCCCTTTAGGTAGCATAAATCGAAATATTAAGGCGACAACAAAGGAAAAAAGAAAAAGAGGTAACTGAGATACACTTGACAAATCTAGGAAGAGAAAATCGCAAAAATGAATGCATCAGCCGCGAATCGAACGCGGGGCCCATCGATGGCAACGATGGATTTTACCACTAAACCACTGATGCTTCTTATGCTTATAATGAAGCTCTACAATAGCTTACTATATAGCTCGTCAGTCAATTCGGCAATTGATTGGCTGGTGGGGTTGCGGATGGAATCACGGTCGGCGATTTGATCTCCACCTATAAACACTATATTTTACCGCTAAATCCCCTGTAACAATAGGGGACTTAGCGCTGTTCAGCACATTCAACCTTTGGAAGTGGCAACAACAACGGCTGTAGGTCCTGATTCTATGTAGGATCTAATAAGTAAAAACCATATCATTCAACTTACTAAAGCGCTTTAACCCAAGCGACCTTGCAGTCTATAATCGTACCAAATATATCACAAATATGATTAAAGGCTTTGTTGTAAGCTGTTGCTGAAGAGGCCCTGGGTCTACAAGGAACACTCGTTATTTGGATCGGGTTAGGCTTTCCACTATAAATATGCGCTATACGCCTTATAAAATCAAGCGCCTCTAGGGCTATCATCAAAGTAACCTTAGGCGCGTTTTTGGGGAGTGGGGGTCGCGTAGCGTAGGACTGGGGTACTAAACAGCTCACTATCATTCCTATCAAGACGCGACCGCGACATCGCGACAACCTTGGAACTCAACCAACAAAAAGAGACCGTCTATTTATTTCCGCGTAGCAACAATATACAGATTGCCATCCCTACCTACCAACCCATCTATTCCCCACCCTCACTTAACCTCAACCTTAACCTTCCAAACCCTCCTCCCCCTATCATCGCGATCCAAATCCTTATACACATCCTTCCCATCCTCACCCTTAACCCCGCGTTCCTCTCCAACAGGAAGCACAACCGTGATATCATCCTTAAGCCACAACGGCTCCCACCCACCCTCCTTCCTCACCTCCACCTTAACCCGGATCTCAGCCCCCGACACCCCGTACTTCACAGTAACCTCCACAGCCTCGGCCTTGTCAACGGGACTCTGCCCATCGTCCTCGAGCCACGAATAGCTAAACCATTTCACCTCCGTGCTCACGGGACCCTTCCTCTGCCCGAACTCCCGCGGCCAATGCGGGTACGTCTCCAGCGGGGGCGGGAAGATCTCGACCCCGCGAGTGTCGTCCTTAGCTAGGTTCGGGAACTCCGGGTCGTCTGCACCGACGCTGGTCGTGGGCTTGGGCTTGCCGGTCGGCACGGCGGAGCCGATGCGCGCGAGAACCGGGATCGACGTGTGCCAGGTCGACGAGATATCGTGCCAGGCGCCGGCCTTCAGGTACTGGTATGGCGCGTACAGGTTCAGGAAGCCGGGGTCGCTGCCGCTTGCGTCTGGGAGGTACACTTTTGCGGTCTCGACGCCGGGCTCGTAGACCCCGGAGATGAGGAGAGAGTCGCCGAACCAGTATTGGGTGTCGCCTTTCATGATCTCCTTCGTCCATACTGTCGGGTCTGATTCGTAGCCCCAGCCTGTCCAGCGTTGGGGTGGGATGGCCTCGCGGTGGGACTTGAGGATGAGGGAGTAGGTGTATGGCACTAGTTCGTATCGGCGGTCTATGGTCTTTCGGATCACGGGTGCTACAGACGGATACTGCCACGGCTCGATGACCTCTCCGATGAGGTTGTCGTCGGGATTGGTCTTGTAGCAGTTGATGGTGAATCGTGGTGAGTGGACGCCGAGTTGGATCCAACGGACCAGAAGCTCCGGCGTTGGCTGGGGTCCCTCGAAGCCACCGATGTCATGGCCGTAGCACTGTATGAGTGAGATTGGGAGCCTTTATATGCGGAAAGGACTGGATTTGGTACTTACCTGAATCAAGGAGAAACCTGCGTTCAACGCCAATGAATTCGCGCCTTTCATTCCTTCCCAGCTGGTCACATTATCACCGCTCCAGGAGCTGGCGCAGTATCTCATAGTACCCGCCGTTGCGCTGCGAGTGAGGATGAAGGGCCGAACTCCCGGTTCAACTTCAATCGTCGCGTCATGAGAACTCTTTCCGTTGAGTTCGGTATTCAGCGCTCTACCCCAGAGGCCGATATTTTTGCGGGTTTCGCCTTCTGGTATAGTGACGGTCTCGAGCGCACATTGCCAATTGTCGTCGGGAGTGTTGTACTCGTTGTTATCATTCCACATAGCATCAATTCCAACCTCTTTAAGATCCTTGACTCCCTTATACCACCAGTTGTATCCTGCTTTAGAGGTGAAATCGAGATGGCTACCTTCACCACTCTCTCCTCCACCGGCACTCCATAGTCGTGCGACCGCGGCGTTGCCGGTCTTTGCATCTTTGAAGAAAGCACCTGACGCCACAAGTTCCTTGTACGCGGGATGGCTTGCTAGGACATATGGTTTGACGTTTGCCAACAGACGGACGCCGTGCTTATGCGCCTCGCGAGTGAACGCCCGCGGATCCGGGAAACGATGTCGGTTCCAAGTAAAGACATTTCGGGTCTTAGGTTCGACTTCAGCTACGGTGTAACCCGAGCTCATCTGGAAAGCGGAGCACGGCATACCGTGCTTTTCAGAGTTCTTGAAGAAATTGAGAACGTTTTCACCTCCCGGCGGATCATCTGTCATGCTGTACATCATTCCGCCGCCGATATAACCCATCATATACCGAGGCGCGAGTATCGGAAAACCTACTAGCTCGGCGTAAGATCTCACGACGTCACCTACTGTCTTTCCGACAATGAGATACTCCTCGAGTCCGCCGTGAGCATGTCGGTACACCTTAAAGTGACCCCACATGCCGTCAAGTTCGGACCCAACATTCCAGATCCCTCGAGCATGGGAAGTCGAGAAGATTCCGATGCAACCCGTAGGAGTGGCGTTGATCAAAAACGGAACGTGTTTATACAGCGGGTCGGTTCGGTAAGCATCGTATCCAAAGGTGTCACTGGCCGTTATGCTGAATCCACGGCCGCTAAGGTCCATCGGCGCGGCCTTCTCTCCGAGACCAACATGCAAGGTATCTTGCTTATACTTCGTATAATGCGCAATACCCGTGCCATCGAGGGCATATGACCGATATTCCAAGTCTCGATGAAGCGGCTTCTCCTGGCCGTCTAAATAAATGCTGACGACAGGTGCACTTGTCCACTCGACAGTGGCTTTGACATTCCCGACTTTGATCGTCTGAGAATTTCCATCCTTGTCGAGGCTGACTTCGGGAGTGGTGCTCCCAAAGGCTGGTTCCGGGCGCTTGGCGCTGGGATGCAGGGACACCGGGTGTGTAGCGGTGGTAAATGTGGTGCGAAATAAGTTCGGACGCAAAGCCTCGAAGCCGAAATGGAATTTCTCATCATCACTTCTGCCAGCGGCAGTGAGCTTTAGAGAAGGTGTTGAGCTGCTCTCATTTTGAGCATCTAGCACATAGTGCTTTGGCACATGTTCGTACTGCTGATACATTTTCCTTTTAGGTCAGACAATGTTATAAGTAAGAGGTAAAATAGGCAAAACGTTCTCCGGAAGGTAATTTTATATTGGCCATAGGACCTCCGCCTAGGAAATGATGACCGAGGTATAAGTCGAAAATTCTGGGAGACGTTAAAGTAAGGGAGCAAGATCGTAACTGCGAAGTCTCGAATGCGTTTATTATGAGCGACCGATCGAACTTTGTGCAAACACGGACAACATCATATTAATATCCCTAGCATCGGCATGAAAACTCTCGGGGAAGCCTGAGTTGCGATGACCGAGGAATGCTCCTTGATGACCTCTATGCGGAGCAATCGGAGCGGGGACGGAGACCATCCCGCGGGATGGGCCGATCATAGGACACCTATAACTCCATTGGAACTGTAATTTGGAGAACGGTGGACGACGCTCTCTAGGCGTTTCCTCCACATGACTGTTCATGCAGACGGTCATACTCCAAACACTCTAAGAGTGCGTCTTGTGGGTCTTGTTGTATAGATCAAGGCATTCAATGATGTCTTTACTAAGCAGAGCCGATCGTCAAGATATCATAGGCTGCTAATTGGACCTATTTGGAGGCTGTTAGGTATCTAGCTAACCCAATTATGAACGCATATTAACCACGTTGGCTATCCTCGGGCTGAGATAGACCGGTAGGACTGGTTCAAGGTTCGTCAATCACCGTTGGCCCGGGGCCGGATGTTGCGAGTAGAACCACTTAGTGTGGCATCAATTTCCAGGCACACGCGTCGGCTTTGGCTTAGACTCTATGCAACTAAATACATTATTAGGCCTACATGGTCCGACATAGGAGTAAACAAGAATCTTGAAGGAATAAACAAGGTAACCAGGAGAATGAAGGCCTAGCGGGTTGATAATCGCAGCTACCTTTACGTACTAGGGTTCTCGTATACTCGTATTGGTGGGTGTTGAGTACGAGCTGTTGGTATGATGTGGATGGACGCCCGATGCCATGCTAAGCAAGATCTCAGCAAATCCCCAGACCCCATGGGACAGCGTCGTGTGGAGGTGGGTTTACCCAATATAATCGGTCCCGCTGAACACCTTAGAATTTGCGATCTTCGCGAGAATTGGCTAATAAAATCAGACGCGGGGATCCCCATTTTATGGATGCTGATGATTAGGTTTAGATTCAATGAATGGGAAGGAGAAATCGTGTGCTATGGAGTCAATATACAGAGTCTCCTTGCATTAGGGGAAAGCTAACGTAAGTCGGCTCTAATGTTCGGTACTGGAATTCGTACAGTATGAAGTCTGAATCGCAGGACTGTACCCGGCACATACCTAGTAGCTTCCCGAACACTAGTTGTGCGTGCCCCGGCACCTGCACCGATACGGCTCCGTATTATCTTCCTTCTTATGTAATTTCACACGGGGCAAGACCGATCCGATTTCTGTACTTGCTGCCCGGATTTCATGTGGGCTAATAACTAGACGAGCACAAGTGAAGAAATACTAAACCGTCTCGACATGTCAGTCAAAGCCCGCGCCCGCGTTAGAAGGTTGCCCTGTCGTCATGACAGATCTAGAAAGTGTTGTTCGGTACCTAGTAAAGACAATTTGCCTGGCTACCTGGCTGATGGTAAATCTGTTCTTAAATCAAAGATGCACAGATCACGAACCTGATTAAAATGCCTTCGCAGCGAACCACCCAATGATGATCTCTGTTGGTGGTAATGGATCATAGGCTCGTTTAGGTGTTGGTAGGTACCTATCATAGTGCCTTTATCGGCCTAAGCCGAGCTAACTAATCGCATTTATATCCATGGATTACTTAAATCAACCGCTGTCAGGTTCTCGATTTTCGCCTAATAGGTACAGCAAGTAGGTACTCGGTCTCACTAAATTCATGCACTGATGTGGTGAAATGAGACAATGTTTCAGGGCATTTATCTACCTGGAATCTCCCTAGATACCGCCCTAGACCCCCAAGAAAAACTGATCGAACAGTGCATACGACAGCATATAACATCTAACAAAAAAGGTACACAAGGGCCAACCGCTAATCCTCCAGCCATCCTACTCAACTTAACCAAACGCGTGGCAGAAGTTAACATCCTCATAGTTAAGACCAAAATTGCTTCGCTCCGGGATAATCTCAAAATGGACAGTGTAATCCGGCCCAACATTCGCTTTTCCAAAGTAGCTGCTGTACTCGTGGTGCTGGTTGACGCGGTTCTCCCAGTCCTGCCCGACGTTCTGGCCTAGGACCTGCAGATCGGCTTCTGCGACCTTGCGCGGCGGATCGACGGCCTTGACGAAGTTGTACGAGACCTTGATTCCGGGCCCGGCTGTGCGCTCGGCTAGTGTGCGGCTGGATTTGGGCGAGATGAAGGTGGCCCTGGATACGCCGGTGCCGTCGTCGCGGATGCTTAGTATGTGGTCCATGGCGATGTCTGAGCCGGGCGCGCGCACGCCTAGGATGTCGAGGGTGTGACCGTCCGCGGAGTCGCGGGTTGTTAGGGGTGCTGTGGAGATGCTATCGAACTCAACACCGCGCGCCCGCAAAGCCGACTCCATCTGCCCAACAAGTAATTCGCCCCTCTTGGCAGTCCCTTCAATGGCGCCGGTGAGGCCCTGGCCCTGTGCACCGAGACGAAGGCCACCGTTTAGGTAAAGCATGACGCCGGCGAAACTCACGAACACGACTGAGCCGACTCCAGCTCCTAGTCCCGTGCATCCTATCGACGGGTTCTCTTTCTCGTGCTGCGTCGCGGCATTACAGAATCCCCAGGCGCCGACGCTGCCGGCACTGCTGAAGATAGATGCACCGGCGAATGCTATTTTCCACTGTGCGGGTAGATGTCCGTAGAAGTCTTGGATGGCCGGTAGAGGGTTGGGGATTGAGCAGGTGCCGTCTTGTCGCTCTGAAAGGACGGTGCTGAAATTTTCGAGACCGACGTCTTTGGGGAGAACTTGAGGGTCTATTGGTTTGGCTGCTGACTGGCCTAAGAGAGATAGAAGGTAGATGATATTCGCTTGCTTCATGTTGAAAGATATGTCTTGAAGATGCTGGTTTTGTGAACGTAGAGCTCGCTGATGGTTGCTTTGAGAAATAGATATCAGTCATGTCGGACTGGCCTATTATTATATAAATTTGCAGCTGTATGCCTTCCTCGATGTTTCGAAAGTCCTTCTAAAGCCATCGCCATGGCGTCTGATGTTAATCCGAAGATCTCTATCATTTCGTTATGTCATAAGATCGAATTTGATCGATGGGATGAAAATAATTTCTAAGAAAAGAAAGGTAATACCCTGCGATATGTGCCGTAGTGGCAGTGGTACGCTAAATCGGGCTTTGTGCCTTGAACGACAGCTGTAAGGTCCGCCCTGACGATGCGCCAAGCTAGACCTGGGCAGATTTATGCAGTTGGTTATAATGCAGATTGGCTAAGCAGAGCTGCGCCGTTCAGGTCTAGCCCTAAGGTGCTTACTCCCAGCTGGATACCCACCCTGAGCTGGGTAACTGGCATGTTTCATAGGGGAGATCTACAAGATCACCAGCTGAGTGGCAATGCAACTTAAAACCAACAACAAAAAACGAATCCTTCAGCTTCACCTGTGCCGCATATAATAATCCACACCTCTGCAGCCCCCAGACTTCTTTGCTTATACTCAATTCAGTTCTCCCAGATCCAAAACCATCCAATACTACACCACATGGCTTCCGATCACCCAAACATGGATATCAAAAAATCTCGAACAGATCCCAAGCTTCCCTCTCCCAGCAACCCTCATGCCCGCCGATCCCGGGTTTTTCGCAAAGCTTACATCGGCGCATCCATGGGAGCAGTCTTAGCCTACGCCATTTTCGTCGTCTTGTACATTACTCGGAATTCTCCATTACCATTCTGGAACGCAGCTCCATCGTTACCAACACTCATTACTCTTGGGAGCGTGGTCTTCCTAGGATTCCTGTGCCCTATCTTCTTTACGCGCGATGGATACAATCTGGTGTGGATGTACTTTTGTTGTCGGCAGTTGGGCTTGATGTCTACGGAGGAGTATAAAGCACATCTGGAGGGATATCTGAAGGAGCGCCCCTAGTGTTAAGGGGGCTGGAGGTGTTAACTTCATGGAAGTCCCTGTATTGTCTCGTTAGTTGTACATTGGAGGATTTCTGATTGGATTCTGTCGTTCTTTATGGTCATAACTCAAGTTAGAAACTGTCTTATCTTTGATCTGCGGGTTGTAAAAATGGAATTTCTATGTTAAACCACCGATGAAGTATGTTCTGCACATACCAGCTCATTACATAATGAAACTCCCATGCGATGGTAAAAATTTCTATATACTTAGGTAATCTAGTAGATACAAACGGAGTCGGTAGTGGAGATTCGTATCTGAAGGATCTAGATAATATGCCGTACCTGCTTGCCAACGCTTAATCGGCATCCAGTACCAAGGGTTGTCCTTTAGCTGTTTCCATATTTAAACGATACGGCTATGACGATCTTATAGACATATGACTAAGTGTCTGAATTGTCAAAATCCGATGTTATAGCATACCGAACCTAGTCTGCGGCACGGAAATAATAATTTCAAATTGTTGTTCATTGTAAGGCTGAATGGCACATCAAGGCGAAGCGCCAACATTCTATGACACTAGCCAAGAAAATCCCCATACTATATCCATGTCTCCCATGATTGAGGATCAACTTCATATTCGGCTGTGAGTTTGTGAGGACTCTATTTTTAGTTGACATCGGTGAAGATGTGTTTTTGCAGTGTATTGTGCCGGACCATGATGACATCAATACCGAAATCCTCTTCGTGAGCGACACCTAGCTGACCCAATCGTTACAACGTGGTTGAGATATATAAGAAGAGGTAATCCCTAGACTTTGGTCAGATCTTAAACACTCAGCTTCACCATCACCAAGAAACATCATCAACTACGCCTTCACACACCTATCACACGAATTCTTCTACCCCATTCCTTGAATACCATCTTACCTAGCACCATACAACATGAAGTTCACATACGGTCTCGTAACAGCCCTCCTAGTGGCAGCCACTGGAGCTTACATTCCCCCGGAAGATCTCGAAGACGGAATCTACCTAGTCGGTAGAGGAACCGGAGACTCCGCGAAATTCCGCCGCGACTTCGGAGCCCCCGTGCGCATCGGCGACATCGTCAAGCCAAACGACGCGCGTGGCTTCTTCCCCAACACAACCTCACCCCAAGAGTCGTCAGTAGAGCGTCGCGACGACTTCATCCATCACGAACGGAAGCACTACTGCGAAGACTACAACACGATGACGCTCGCGGACTACACGATCGCGATGAACTCCTTCACGACCCGGTGCGAGAACCAGAAGGTACCCGCGCGCTCGAAGAGCGGGGCCATCTGTAATGGATCTCAGGGGATCCTGTTCGCCAAGGCCGGCTCGGCGATCGTTTACCACTGCAACGTCTCCTGTCAACAGCAGAACTGCGGTGGTGGACACATCTCGCCCTTCGAGTCTTGGGCTGATAAGACTTGTGGCCGATTAAAGGGTGCTTGGTTCTACTCTAGCTGGGACTTCACTATGGGACGTTCGACTTGGGGCTCTGAATTCTGTGGAAAGACCATCTAGGATGTCTTTTCGTCAAGGGAGAGGTAGAGGTGGACGTTGTATATGATGGGAACTCACGTGTTTATTTGTTAAGGCTGGATGCCGGTTAATTTTTATATATGTCAATAGAGTTTTGGGATTATATCATACAGCGCTTTTTCAACCGTTTAGAATATGTGGTGCGATGTTAGTAGGTTGTGAAGAACGACATTATTTTATCGTTTCAAATTTCAATTGAATCAATCTGCACATTGTTTGGATGGATCCAATTACGTAAAGAGAGAATTGGCTGAGGTAAGCAAGCTACGTAATCATGATTTGCTAAACAAAGTGGTCTGTGCACGTACCACTTCTCCAACAGCTGCGGGGTCATCATAATATCCTTTCGTAAACTCAGCCAACTAAAGGTGGGTTACTAACGATGATTTTTGAACCGTTGGCGTTAGGAAAGGCTCGCAGCATCTCATAATAAAATCCGATGTGAGGCCGGTTTTCCTGTAGGCCTAGGTGCCTGGTGCTTAAGGCCTAATGCCTGATTCTTTCCGTCGCGTCGGAAATAAAAATCAAATCAAGAGCGCGACCCGAGATTATCAGATAATGACGGAGACAAGCGACAAAGTTGACTCTCGCAGTCACGGAGTTACCGCACCTTAAATATAGGATCGCAGGAAAACGAAGTATTTAAGACACGGCGCTGGACACCGTAGTTTTTCTTTCTCCAAATCCCGTCCTCCAGTTGTATATTTGCCAAGCAGTCTACCATGGCATCCAACGTGCTCCCCTCTCTTGCCGGCAAGGTTACCATCATCACCGGTGCCTCGAAGGGCATCGGCAAGGCCTCAGCCATCGCACTCGCGCGCCTGGGTGCCACCGTCATCATCAACTATTCCTCCGACGAGCAAGCCGCGCAGGACACCCTCGCCGAGGTAAAGAAACTAGGCGCGGGCGAGGCCCGTCTCATACGCGCTGACGTCAGTACCGTGGAAGGCGTCCAGTCGCTCGTTAAACAAACCGTAGATGCCTACTCCAAAATCGACGTACTGATCCCCAACGCCGGCGTGCTACCCATGAAGGACCTCGAGCACACCACCGAAGCCGATTTCGACCGTACCTTTGCCATCAACGTCAAGGGTCCCTATTTTCTCGCTCAGGTAAGCGTTTCTTGCATTAATGGCCTAAGTAGGCATGGCATGTCCACTAACCACCCGCAGGCCGCCGCCCCGCACATGCCGCGCGGTTCGCACATTATCTTCCTGTCTACCAGCTTGACTGTCGCCTCCACCGTCATGCCCGGCTACCTACTCTACAACAGCACCAAAGGCGCTATCGAGCAGATGACCCGCGTCATAAGCAAGGATCTCGGGCGCAAGGGTGTTCTTGTAAACGCGCTTGCGCCCGGTCCTACCGGCACCGAGCTTTTCTTCCGCGGCAAGAGTGAGGAGATGTTGAAGACCATCGCCAACTTCAACCCGCAGGGACGCATCGGAACTCCCGAGGAAGTCGCCGAGGCTGTTGTTTTCCTAGCCCAGTCGTCTTGGGTTTCGGGACAGGTGCTTCGGGCTAATGGTGGTATGGCTTAAGGGCTGGACTTGGTCGTATGCTCCAAGTTTGGTCCAGTAGGGGGAAATCGGTTACGGGGGAATCGGAATGGGAGATACCCAGGTAGAGTAGCAATTAGGTACCGAGGAGAGCCAGCTACTTGGAATCTTGGATGTTAGTTACGTTGATTACCTACCTAGTAAACTTAAGTCAATGGAAATGGTAAAAAAACTTACAAGTTGTCTTATTCCTGGGTTTACTTGTAAGGCACGCTGAAAATAAACTAACACCTTGATTTTCGGGTCCTCCCGCTGTCAAGTCCCCTAGCGCGGTTTTGATAGGCGTGTTGGCCGCATCTCCAGCGCACAAAACGCCTTGAGCCATACAAGGGCCACAGGCTGGGCGTGTAGACGGCACCTAATACTTCACTGTATTTATCATACGGGCCCTGGAGGCAAGCCAACTGTTAATTTAGGGCTATAGGTCAGTTAGGTACCTCCTACGAATCCCTGGCCCTGAAGCCACCATTTCTTGGCAGCCTAATAACCGCCTATACGGGCTACTAGCTGTAGAGTTCGTTTTCTCGCTGTTTTCGAGTAGATTCGCCAGTTTTTTCCATGCGTGCATCGTTTGTAGTGGTCAGTAGGTCGCTTTTATCCGCGTTAGGGTCCAATTCTGCTGTGTTCTTGGGTTGAATGGTAAGCCCGCATATGCTGCGGAAAAAGATGGTTCATGGCCGTGATGTATATGTGGTGTAGAGCTTGAACCTAATCTGGTAGAGTGAACTGAAGTTCAAGATGGGCGAGTGCAGTGCGATAGGGGTGTTGAGCGCCGGGCGTAGTGGCTGTTGTGGTGATGCGTTCGCTAAAGTGTCGTTGAAATACTGAGAGAGCACCTACGCGTGTTGAATTGAGATTTTATATTAGATACCTCTTTTAGGGGGTTACCATATTTTGGAGAGTGACTGGATCGCTGAAGTTCCGGGCTTTGGTTGCTACTCGTGGTGCTAAGTACAGGTAAGGATAGGTATATGGGAACGGGTAAACAGTGATCAGTCAACTGTAAGTTGTAGGTTTTCTAGCGGAATCCTAGGTGTAAATTTCAGCGCATGATGATGGAAATGGAGCACTGGTTGTTGTGGTACCTTTGTACGCGTCTAGGCTGAGCTTCCTAGGTACACGAAAAGATATTATTGTCATTCACCTCTGGGAACTTTTGATTCACAAAGATTTATCCTCAATCATCTAGTCGTAGAGTGGACCATAAGGCCGAATCCGCCAACCCGCCAATCTAATTAATGTATTGAAATGTATACAGTGTATTACAGTATAATAACGTACAGTCTTATACATATTCCACACAGTGCCTTGAAGCTTACGGGGGGTTATAGCGCCTTGTAGCGCTAAAAGTCCCTGTAACTTATAGGCGTTATAGCGCATAAGCTCCTTATAACTTATAGCCCTGAAGCTAGTGCTAGAGCCTTCTAAGGTTATAAGGAATATTTCAACCTATTCGAAACGAATTGAATTAATTGATTGATCTGATTCAATCGATCGATTCGAATCAGTTGAATGCGTACCTATTAATAGGTAGGTAAATAAAGAAGGATATACGCGTAATAGTTCAAAACAAGGGGTGTCACGTGACACACGCTGAGCCTCATCGGGTAAATGTCAACAGCGCGTATTATAAGTTTAATTGAATCTCAACGTATAAATACTAGTTTTGAATAAATAAGATGTATATACATAGAAAGATCTTTTAAAGCGCTTTCGAATGAATCTATTTTATTTGCGAGCGACCGAAAATTGAAGCGTATAAGGGTATCCGAATTAGAGCTGTATACTGAAATACTAAGGTTAGGTATAACCCTTATAAGTTACAGGGCTTTCAGCGCCGTATAGCGCTATAACCCCCTGTAAGTTTCAGGGCACTGTGTGGAATATGTATAAGACTGTACGTTACTGTACTGTATTACACTGTATACATTTCAATACATCAATTGAATTGGCGGGTTGGCGGATTTGTTCTTATGGTCCGCCGTCAGTAGTCGAGATGATGTGAGGTCCGGCTATTGGCTCGACTCTATCTAGGTAGATATGAATACACGGCTGTATCTTTACAGTGAATTTGAATATAGAGTACGTCAAATCCAAGCGTATAGGTACTCCTGTTCAATAACAATCCCTGGAAGAGCCCTGTAACCTATTCGTTTACCAACCCTATCAAATTCAGGATATACGCCACCACTATTTTCCAGCTCTCCTATTAAGAGTAATGATTTGAAAGCGTGGCCACTATCTCCCGTCGCAAGAAATATATCCGTAAGATACCTATGGATAATAACTAATTAGAAAATATCCTAAGGAGGAACCTGCGTGTTAGTTCTAAAACGAGAATTCCAAAATAAGTGAGAGTTATAGTGGATGGCTTCTGTCGTGATTGTTGAAGGTACCAACCAATGACAATCCGTTTTACGTTGACTAAATGCTCCAAATAGGAAGGTGGGGTGCGCCCAGTATCTTGGCTCTAAAATGTTTTCATCCAGTTGCGCCCTTCTATATCTAGAGGAATTACGGAGTAGGTACCTTATAACTTCACTTATACCTACCAGGTAGGCACGGGAAAGCCAGCCTACTTACACTGAAAATCCCAAAAATAATTCAGAACACTTAGAAAAGATCTATGTTATTTATGCGGGTAGGTATAACTTTTGAAATCACACTTCGCTAAGGTAAAGAAATATGTATGGGCGGGTACGTTTAAATAGCTTTCCGCTCTTCAGCTAGTATCCCGAGACATTCAGCAATTGATGATTTCTCTAATCCATCGTACAGATCAAACGGCTGGTGTACACCACAACCAAGGGCCTTCTCAAACGAAGCCTGGTCTGAAGATGCTACTTGGTTTGTGTCGTGGCCTTCGTGAAGATTGGAGTAGAAAATCCCGGCCGCACTAGCAGGCAGAAAATCTTCATAAGTAATCGGTTCGATGGAAAGAACCCTAGACGACACTAAAGAATCGAGATCGGTCGATATGGACGTTGCTTGGAGAGGGTCCCGAATAACATATCTGAAATATGCTAGCCGTTCTTGATAGAGTGTATTCAAGTCATCGGGGAATGTTGCGAAGGTCTGAGCGAGGACATCCTCCTGCGAGTTTTGTGGCTGGCCGATAGCAATTTCTTTCGACTTGGCCAGCAATTCATCGTAAAGACGATGGCCCTTCGCAGTCAAAGCTATCCCGCGCTGCTCAATCTCCCCAAATCTTGCCCGATGTTTACCTCCCTTTTCTTCTCCACTTGAAAATGCGACTTCCTCCTCCAGTGCTAGAAAGCTAGTTTGTCGTAACAAGATAAGGTGTTTTCGCGGTGGAGGTCCTTCAATCACTGATTTGGCTTCTAGACCGCACTTTTTCATGGCGTCCTGCGCTGCGTCGATATCAAGTACCCGAGGCGTGAGATGATTGATATGCGGACCTTTGAAACACACGACATCTGCGATCAAAGGATGACTAGACTCAAGAGCCTTGTACGTAGCTAGATCCACAGTCGAAGTTTCGTGCCATCGAAATGTCTCCAGGGACTCCTTAACGAATTCCCGTGCCGCTTCTTCAGACAGGCCGCCTTGAGCTTCAAATTGTTCAATCAATTCGATGCATCGAGGCGTGAAAATGCTGCGATTATTCAAGATTCTTTCAGCCTGCTCACGGAGATTTTTGTCTTGTATAAGATCGAGGCGCAGCAAGGAGGTAAACACTCGGAATGGATTACGCTGAAGCGATTCGGGGCTTATAGGGCGAAAGCCCGTAGCATGCACTGGAAGACCAGCGACCGTTAAATCGTAGTACCCAACAGGCTCCATGCCCATGACTGCAAACAATCGACGAATCATCGCCAATTCACTCGCTAAACCAAGTCGAATAGCCCCGTGTCGCTCAACTTCGATACGGTGTTGAGTATCATGATATGGTTGTCCGTTATCCATTATTTGATGGTTTATCTCCGATACCAATTTTAGAAGAGTGCCATATTGAGGAACCTCCTTTTGGTACATCTTCGATAAGGCAGCGGCAAAGTCTGCTCTAATCTCATCAGACAACGCCATCTTGATTTGAATTATATTGATAGCCAGTGGTATTGAATTGAGGTTTAGAAAATATGAAGGAGTAAATTACGGTGTGAAAGGCGTGAACTTTCGAAATTACTTGATATGAAAGCCATGAATGTTGCGATAAGAATCAATGAACAAGCTAGGTACCCACTGGGCAAATCGCTAGTATTGCCGATTTACCAATGTTTGATCTAAGTCAGCCAATGAACTTTATTGTTCGACGAAATGCTACCAATCTATATAAAAATAGCTCATGATAAGAACTTCTACGTATACTGATGGTTGAATGGATATTCCAACTTGGCCAATTGGCAATAAGGATTGAGTTTAATGTAATGATACGATTTGTTGAGTCTTGATTGGCATGTGTAAGCATGTTTTGAATTTGCTAATCGTTGACGGGTTACAGCGGCTATACTCGGGCTGAAGTGATAAGACTCACAAACGGCCAGCGATAATATCGCGACCTTAAAAGAGATACCAAATAATTAAATAGGTACCTACCGGATAACATTTATATGCATTGCGTTGGAATTGCGCCCCACTGTATGTACTATGATGAACCATATTGCTCTACTGAAAGGCCGAGTTTCGGGACCATCTAAGTAATGGAATCGATGAATAGGAGCTTGGTGTGTAATAGCTACCTACACTGAAATTGAAGTACTGGAATCGTTTGTAGGGAGCAAGGTAGCCACATACAGCTACTAATCTATAGCTCGGGCGCTGTACTTAGTGGTGATGGAATTGAATGTAGCACTGGAGGTGCAGTGGAATGAGGTTGTAGGGGTTTTATAGTGAGTTAGCGGATTGAATTTATTAAATATAGGGGATTTAGGGGATGGAGTTGCCAGCTTGCCCCACCATAAGAGCCCTGAAGTAACTAATTCTTCTAATGAAGTTGCACCTCTAGGAGAGATATTGGAAAACGACATAATCACTTAGGTACCTTATCACTTTATTCAAACGAAAATAATATACAATGATCCTTAGAAACCGTAGCATATTCAGAAGAGATACAACGGAAAAGCTGCTCTACATGTTAGTTAGGTGGTAGATAAGGGTATTGTTCACCAACGATCTAGTTGTTTCGTAATAGATGGGTTGGCCTTGAGCCTTATATTCTTTAGCAGGCCTGTAATAAAGCCAAGAGATTCACGAACAAAGTGACATCCTAGTGCTCTTTGGTCAAGGAATTCATACGATGTATCCATTCCAAATCCGCGATCTCGAAAGGTCGCCGGCCGTGGAGGCTGAAGGTAGGGTAGTTATTGCTGTCTTTGTTTCTCTTCTATTTATTTTCTCTGCGGCAACTTGGGTTTTAGTTGCTATCGACGTTCACATGATTCGTAAGCGTCAGCGAGAGCGTGATGCTGAGAAAGCCCTTCCTCCGATTCCTGACATCTTTCTGCAAAGAGCCAGTGACAGCGAAACGAGTGAGCCCGATAACATCTTTCATCTGCAAATGCCTGGGTCTCCGACGACATATAATTCACATATTGAAAAAAGAATTGAGTCCTCACATAAATGAGATCAATGAATCCCCAATCTTGAGATGATGCTGGGCTCTCTTTGGTTCTAGCATGTTAGTCTTAAGCTTTTGTTGGTCAGCAACCACATAGAGAGTACCAGGTAGGTAGTTTAGAAGAAATAAATCAACCAAATATCTAATGATTTATTATTCAACTGTAGACAAGAACGTGATTCGTAGGCACCTGTTCAAGAGCTCAGGGGCTGATGAGCTTCTGGATGACTAAGGTTTTTGACAGACAGCTGAATGAGAATTTTCAAACTCGACTGGACCGAGTATAAATCAAGTTACAAATTCGACTCATTTGCACGTATAAATACGAATAAATATGCATTTACAACCCAATACGATGATACCCATTCAAATGCAACGAAGAAAAAATGCTCATGCCATAGAAAAAATGCCACTACCACAAGCTCAAGAAGACGCCTCCTGAGCAGCCGCATAAGCATGCAAACTGCCCGTAGCCCTTGGATACGCGACCTTATTCCCATTCACCCCATTCACCCCATTCGTCTTCACCCCACCCTCATCCTCATCCGGAACCCCCCAACCACCACCACCAGGGGTATGAATAACACACCGATCGCCCTCCTTCATATTAATCTGACCACGCGACCCGATATTAACCCAGCGCTCACTCCCATCCTCCTGCCTCTGAACCCAGTAATTCGCACCACACTCGCCGGGCTCACCGCCCATCATGCCGTAGGGCTGGTGGACCCTGCGCTCGGTGATGAGGCCGTAGGTAAGCGGGTATCGGCACAGCCAATCCCTTACAATCCCACATCCGCCATTGAACTTGCCGCGCCCGCCGCTGCCCTTGCGGATCGAGAACTCGTTGACGAGGACCGGGTACCGCTTTTCTATGATCTCGATATCGGTTGTTCTGGTGTTCGTCATGTGGATCTGGACCGCGCTGGCGCCGTGCCAGGTGGGGCCCGCGCCGCTGCCGCCGCAGATGGTCTCGCCGTAGCCGAAGCCGAAGCCGCTTTGGGGCTCGCCGGAGTCGTCTTTGCAGTTCCCGAAGAAGCCGAAGCAGTTCATGCACCCTTGCGATCCGGCGGAGGCTTCGAAGGCGTTGAGGAAGAGGTCGACGAGACGTTGCGAGGTCAGGGTGTTGCCGCAGCAGACGGCGGGGCCGGAGGACGGGTTCAGGAAGCAGTTCTTGGGGAGGATGACTTTTGTGGGGGCTAGGCAGCCTTGGTTTAGGGGGATGTCGGACCCGATTAGGAGGCGTAGGGTGTATATTAGTGCTGAGTATGTGATGGCTGGGGGGGCGTTCATGTTTGACAGCATTTCGCATGACGTCCCGGTGAAATCGAATGTGCCGAAGCCGCTTTCGTCTATGGTAATTGAGACGGTCATCATAGAGCCGTTGTCCAGGAATTGCTTTGCCTTGAGCGGTTTTGATCCGTACTTCTTGTAAGCCGATTTCAGATACCCACGAACGGAAACTTCAGCGTTCTCTTGGATCTTCTTCATGTAGAAATGAACTGTGCTTCTGGAATATTCTTCCATCAGAGCTCTAATGAGATTGCTGCCTTTGGTGTTTGCTGCAATTTGAGCCTTCAGATCGGATCTATGCTCTAGGTTAGTCATTGCCTCGATGCATTCTCAAAAAAAAAAACTTACAAATTGTCATTTAGTCGTCTCGAGCCGCTGCAGTCGGGATATTTCCCAGGTTCAAGGAGAATCTTGACGATACCCTCCTCGTCGAAATGGTTGTCGCGGACTAGGAAGAAGGATTCGATGTAAGCTCCTTCTTGCCATAGTTCGGTTGAGTCACTGATTAGACGTTAGTATCATCGCTTCATCCAAATTCTTTGGATCGCACTTACGGCGGCATAGAGTTACCACGATAACCACCAATATCCAAATGGTGGCCTCTTGAGGCTGTGTAAAAGCAAATCGTTTCGCCATCTGTATCAAATACAGGGGTGATGACAGTAATATCTAAGATTAGTTAGAATAGTTGAGCGATCATGATAATGTGAGTCTTAAAATACCTGGCAAGTGAGTGCCTCCACATGTGGGAGCATTCGAAACTAATACATCTCCAGGGCGTAATTTTCCTTGGTGGAGGGTGTGTTGATACTTGACAGCATACGACATTGAGCCAAGATGAACAGGAACGTCTAAGAAAAGATTAGCTTCAACAATTATTCCATTCGATATGTTAGATTCACTTACGCGGTGCATTCGCCACTAGGTCGCCCTATTCAAGAACTAAAGTCAGTGATTTCTTTCAAAAAAATCGAGAAAAGACTCTCAGTGCTACTTACATCTGGGCCGAAGATGGCGCAAGAGAAGTCCAGACGTTCCTTGATGTTGATGGAAATACTTGTCTTCTGCAGAGTCCTACCCATCTGTTCTGCGATGCTCATGAATCGATGACCGAAAATGCTCAATTTGATCGGATCCACTATAAGCTCATGCTCGTCTCCAGACTGCTCGGGTTTCTCATCGACCAGATCAATAACAACGTGAGAACTTAGAATCCGCGCTTGTGATTTCGGCACGATTACTATCGTCTGGGTGTTGTCGATGATTATCGCTGGACCGGATACGACGCTACCTGGGGCGAGCTTATTAAGTCGGAAGACTTTAGTCGGTTGCAGGCCGCCTGCTGCGAAGTATGCTTTCGTCTGTGGAGGGTTAGCACTGCTCGGCTCGGGGCACTTATCCACTAGAGATGTTAGGGATGAACTTACGATTTTATCCTCTCCACCCTGAACCTCCAAGCCGGCGTGAGACTTGAGTTCCTTCACGAGCTTCGAGTTATCATGGCTAACCTCTGTGCTCCTTCCAACCCCACGAACTCTCACATTGTCGACATGAACCTTCTTATCGCTAGGGAAGACGAAGGACAACTCTCTCAGATGTTCCTTCTCAAGTGCCGATCTCCAATTACCGTCAACCGGGGCAAGGAGCATGAAGTTAGTATCAGTTCCTTGGTATCTAAGATTTAGATACTGTTCATGTTCGATGAATTCCTCTCGAATTCCCTGTGAAATAAGACTCTCAGTGGCTTTCGCTTTGAGCTCCTGCATCCGAGCCATCAATCGAAAGAGAGATTCCTCGGATAGGATCTCAGAGCTCGGTTCCTGGGCTTCTTGTACAACCTCCGCCAGAGCCATGCCGTAAGCCGAGAGAATACTGGAGTACTTATGGATAACTATCCTCTTAATACCCAGTTTCTTCCCGATCTCACACGCGTGCTGTCCACCAGCACCGCCGAAAGTTGCGAGGTTATGTTGTCCCGTTTCAAAGCCGCGCGCCTCGGTAAGTGCGCGGATGGGACGGCTCATGGACTCATTAGCCACGTCAATGAAGCCGTGGGCAACCTCAAGGGGAGTCATAGAGCGCCCAGTCTCCGCGTTTATCCGTGCCGTAAGCTCCTCGAACTTCTGTACTACGATATCGGTGTCGAGTGGAAGATCTTCACTGGGACCGAAGATTTTGGGGAAATAATCCGGTATTAATCGCCCAAGAAACAGGTTTGCGTCGGTGACTGTCAACGGTCCTCCTTTCCTATATGAAGCAGGTCCAGGGTGAGCTCCGGCACTGTCAGGTCCGACTACGAATAGTCCGTCCCTGAAGAAAAGCATGGAGCCACCACCAGCAGCTACCGTATTAATATCCAGCTGCGGGGACTGTATAGAAACGCCCGCCGTTGTCGTTTCAAATACATGGTCGAAGGTTCCTCCGTATCGCGAGACGTCTGTACTTGTACCACCCATATCGAAACCGACAATAGGAGAATTTCCGTCGTAAGAAGTCCTAGCGTGGCCAACAACACCTCCAGCAGGGCCACTAAGAATGCCTCTTAGACCATTGAAGTTCTTATGGCTAACGAGTCCGCCATCGGATTGCATGAATTCACACGATACACCATCCAGGTTGCCGTCGGCGAAGACCTTTGCGAAACCCGATACGTAGCGGGTGATTTCTGGGGTGAGGTACGCGTCGGCAGAAGCAGAACTGCCTCGCGAGATCATCTTGATCATGTTCGCGCCAACGGAAGAAGATGTCGAGACGTGAGTGAATCCCATTTCCTTCGCGATCTCCGCGATCCTCTGCTCGTGGAAGGGATAGATGTACGAATGCGCTAGACATATCGCAAGCGTATCGATGCCGTCTGCTTTAAGCTGGGATAGCTTTTCCCGTACTTCCGTCTCGTCTAGAGGACGGATAATGCGTAGGATTTCACCGGTGATGCCTTTCACAAGGACACCTGGGATTTCCTGGAGAGGTGGACGATTGTCTTTTGTGATGTCTTCGTCGAATTCTTCGACGGTGATGCGCTCGGAGACTTCGACCACTTTGTCGTAGAGTAGCTCCGGCTTCCTAATATCGAGGTCAAATAGCTTTGGCCTCGACTGGTAGCCGATCTCTAATAAGTCGCCAAACCCTTGGTTGACCACAAATGCATGTCTTGTTCCTTTCCTTTCCAACAGTGCTAAGACAGATTAGAATCCGGGTACAGAGTGGGGGTGGCTTAAGACACTCACCGTTTGTAGCAACCGTTGTTCCCATTCGAATTGAATGAATTAAGTCCTTGGGTATAGGAGAACCTCGTGGAACTGGTTTTCCAGAGACAATCTCAAGTACTCGGCGAATGCCTTCTGCTGGCGCATCATCGTAACTGCCAGGGTCAACGGACAATAGCTTGAGCACTATGTCATCCCGACCTGGCACAGCAGCAAAGACATCCGTGAAGGTGCCACCTCGATCTAAGAATCATTAGCTGCAAGCCACAAAAGCCAGCATAGATGAACCAACCAATGGCGAACTTCACGCTCTTAGGCTGGATGGGTGTGGGGAGTGTATCGACGGCCATCTTGGCTGCGTGTGTGTCTGAGACGGGTGGGAGATTCTCAATGAATAATGCATGGATGCTGATAAGCTTGAGGAAGCTCGCCTTGATATATCTACATTATCACGAAGAATCGGGGATGGTCCGGCACCGGAAGAGGGTTGACGACCGGTGATAGGGCTCCGGCGGCTTGGAGCGTCGTTTCGAACTGCCTCCATGTCGCCGGTAAATCAACTGATGCATTCTGATTAGACTACACTATTGTTGTAGCTTCTGAGGAGATAGTCTTGGCAGCCGGATTGGTTATCTGCGCGAACGCGACCCCAACCCCCTAGCCAGATTGTGGACCTCCCCGCCGTAAATAAATACAGTGCGTTGCAGATACTCGGCACTATGCTTCGGAGGCTAATGCTCGTCGATTCGAACTTCCTCCCAAATTCTCGGTTCTTATCACGAACCACTTATAAGAGGATTTGGCCAATCATCGTCGTCGACTTCTCTTAAGCCACTTACGTACCATGTAGATTCCCCAAGAGATAATACCTTATCCTTCCCTACCTAGGAATTGTAAGAGTTCGGAACTAACCTAGGGCATAACTCTTCCGTCTATCACAGAAACGCTACGTAAGCTAATCTGTTCCAACGTACAGGGTCAGATATATGCACATATCATTCTAGCGCAATATATTCGCATTGACTGATAAATATGTCGCTGACATGGGAACCAAGGTCCAAGAGATGTGGAGTACTACAAGATGCTAGGTCACGTACACATCTTGAATCTGGGCCTTGATGGCACCAACCCCGGATTGATAAGGTCCTAGTGTCGTTGAGAGGAGTTGTGAAACCATATTGTCTATAAAACCCTACCTAGGAAACGAATCGGGTATTCATCGAGATAGATGCGCGACAGACATCTACAGTACTCGGAACTTGCACAAACAGCATTGACGTCCTCGATCTATCTTATTGCTTGATACAATGTCTCAAGACATCAAGGAGGATGTCCTCCAGCCAGTCGTCTCGTCCGTACCTGGCGAGACGGCGAAGGTGACCGACGAGAACGTCTTGGACGAAGCAGCCGTATATCTCGCCAACCACGAAGAATTCGGGCCCATGACTCCTGAGCAGGAGAAGGCCATAGTGAGGAAAATCGATGCTTGGATGATTCCGTTGGTAAGTCTCTTTCAAAATTTCTTCACCAACATGCGAAGAAATAATCCTCAGGTCACACGGGTTGGGAATGTAACCGTAACACGAGCATTCGCTGACGTTATCCATGCAGCTTGTGTTCTGTGCAACTCTCGCCGCCGTCGATAAAGTCGAAATTGGAACTGCATCTCTATATGGTTTCCAGAAGGACAATGGTTTTACTGGTCAAGATTACTCTTGGCTTGGAAGTATTTTGCCATTGGGTGTAAGTCAATATCCGGAATATCTCGGCGCAGTTGCTTACGTCCCTCAAGACCTTGATTGGTCTAGTCCCAGCGTCGTGGCTCATTCAGCGATTTCCTCCGGGAAAACTCCTAGCTACTGGTTCTCTGCTCTGGTCGTGCTGCACATTATGCTATGCGGCGTGCAGAACGTGGTCGGGATTTATGGGACTTAGATTTCTTCTAGGATTCCTCGAAGCGATATCTGTCCCGTGCTTCACCGTGCTCGTTGCATCCTTCTACAAGAAAGAAGAGCAGCCCCCTAGGAACGGGAGTAAGTATCTTTTATCTTCGATGCAGCTGCATTTCTAACCGATTGCAGTTATCTTCGCATACTTCTCGTCGATTTTCAACGGCTTCTTCGCTTGGGTCATTGGATATATCCCTGCGACAGCTCCTCTGTTGAAATGGCAATATTTGTACTTGTTAACTGGCACCATCAATTGCCTCTATTCGATTTTCTTATGGTTCGTCCTTCCCGATAGCCCGATGAACGCGTTCTTCTTGACGCCAGAACAAAGATACCATGCCACAAAACGGTTGGCTTCCAATAAAACCGGTATCGCCAACAAGGTGTGGAAATGGGATCAAGTATGGGAGGCGTTACTCGACGTCAAAGTGTGGCTAATCGTCTTGTTCAACATCGTCATTAATATCCCCAATGGTGGACTCCAGACCTTCGGATCGATCATCATCAACAATTTAGGTTACAGCGCTCTGGTCTCCAGTCTTCTGACGATGCCGTTCGGTATCGTAGCCACGGGTGGCGCTTGGGGTTTCTCATACTTGGCAGCAAGGTGGCATAATCGACGAGCTCTTACTGCGTGCATCTCTTTATTGCTTCCCATTTTCGGAACCGCTTTAGTGTACGGCTTGCCGCGAACGAATGTCCCTGGTCAAATGACGGGGCTCTATTTCATGTACTTCTACTGGCGTAAGTTTCATGTTCAGCATATGCCAGCATGGTACCTGTGCTAACTGATATCAGCACCTTATGTTGTGGGAATCTCCCTTATCCAAGCGAACACCGCCGGTAGTAAGTAAATTCCGTAAACTCGATTCGCCAAGGCTTGGGCTTGAACATCCCCTATACTTCAAGGATAAGCACTAATTATGATGTCATAGTGACCAAGAAAGCTATTACATACAGTCTGGTCACCATCGGGTATGCTGCGGGCAATCTCATCGGACCCCAGACCTTCAGAAGTAAGGAAGCTCCTCAATACAAGAGCGGGGTGGTCGCAATGCTGGTCAGCTACTGCGTCTGTATGCTCATCCTGATAGTATACTGGTTCGTGGCATCTCATCAGAATAAAACCAGGGATCGTAAATATGGCAAGCCAGCGGAAAATTCCGAGGATATGACGGAGACTTTCGTGGACATGACGGATAAGAAGCAGCATGACTTCCGTTATACCACCTAAATTACCTCCAGTTAGTGCAGATTTGGAGCCGAGGGAGGTCGACGATATTTAGATAGTAGATGTCATTGAGTGTTGGTAATTATTTGATAGATAAATGTTGCAGTTAATTATGCTAGGCTGATAGCACCGTGTCTTCTCCCTTGTAATATGCTCCATCCTCGCGACTTGTCAGGCCAAAGGTCTCGTGACTTCCATACATCTTCAATGATTAACCTAGCTTTTTTGACACTTGCTAATTGCCTTGTCTGCTGGAGCGCAGCAAGTCGACTTAGGATGAGTTTCCTGTCTTCGTCGGATTCCCGGACGCCTAGTGTTGCTACGATAAATAGGGGCCAAAGACCCGTGTGGGTCCGAAGAGATATTTTGGGAATAAGCGATAGGATTTGAGATGTTACTCGAATCATTTTTGGCTCGTATGGCGAAGCATTATCTACGCGCGAATATAGATATAGGATTGCTGCAAGTCTTTTGACCTCGGCGATGACGGAAAACTCGGATTTTAATGATGCGAATTCCTCTGGGACATTTCGGTGTAGTTGGTGGAGAAACCTTTCGACCTGATTTCGACGTTGTTGTATCATAGGTGAAAGCTCTCTTTGGCCCGATTGTTCTATTACCGAGCTAATCTGGTTTATTTCGGATATTAAGATCAGTAAATCTCTTGGACATCCAGTAAGGGCCAAAATTGTCGATTTATCGACTGCTTTACACATTTCAGTAACCATCTCGGCAGCTTCCATGAGTGTACCTCCGGTCGCAGCTAGGATATCGTGCGAGACAAAGTAGGTCACTGCAAAATATAAGAGGGCTTCTTGTTCTGCAGTCAGAGTGCCTAGATCTTTCAGGCGGGAGGCCAGAAAAGTCCGGGAAAAGTCGGCATGTACAGTCCACGAGTTTGAGCAATCCTTTGATATCTTGGTCAATCGGTTAGTACTGCTTTTGCTTCTAAGTTAAAATAGTCACCCCCTTTTTACCTACCTCAAAGAATGTCAGCATGATAGTTGAGGCAATAATCTGATCTTTCGAAGCCCCACCAACTCCTCCGGTTGATTCTCCCGATGATAGATGGGCGAGTTCTGTTCTTAAGAGACGTAATGCCTTAGCTCTATGAAACCACATAGCTTGCTTATATTCGTTTCGGCCAATACTTTGAAGTTGGTTTGCGGATGCCGCTAGAATGCATTGGAATAGAGGACCCTCCTTAGAGAAAGCAGCCATCTTCAACACGATGTCCCTATAAGGATTGAATCCAGGGTCTATGACGATTTGAGTAGTCATGTACTCGTTGAAATAACTCCATAGATAGCCCTCGGCTCCCCCCAGTTGAAAAGGGGAGATATATCGATAGGGCGTGAGATTATCAGGTACCTGATAATCGCTATGTTCAGTCGGAGGGCATTCTTGGTAGTCCTCGGAGTTAATTTGAAGACTATCCGGATTATAGTCTGCCTGAATGGTGTTGAGAAACATCCAGCTCTGGATAGAGACTATGAGGTCTTGTGGTAAGCTTCGCGGCACATTCTCGCGATGCTCAAGCAGAACAACGTCCTGCCAGCTCAGCTTGATTTCATATCGACAAGTGAAGCCTAATCGTTTACAATGTCTGCACACGGGGCGCTCCTCCGGGCATTTAACTCGCCGTTCTAACAGGGGATATCAGGAACCGAGAATTGTGGGAGAGTTGAAGACGCGATCTCACCTCGACACTTCCGGCACCCAGTCCGTGTTCGCAGCTCAGCCTTAGTACGGTTCCCCATGCTCTTCCGATGCAGGTAGAAGGCAGGGGTGATGATCGACGAGTGATACAATTACTGATTAGGTACTATGGGACTCTGAGACGCATGCATCACGACCTCTACGTATAGGTAGACAGGCATACACTAGGAGATAGTAGAGGAGTCAGAGGAGTTGTAAAGTCGGGGTAATTGGTAATTGCACTCCACCTGTCGCGTGGTACGTAGATTGGAGATAGGAGGTAGCCCGTATCTAGTACTAGTGGATTTGGGGTAGATAAGCCGTCAACATTCAAGATAGGCAGCTCCGTCCTGCCACACTGTGATGACTATAGAAGTACTCAGGTACATTGAGTCCACTAATGCATCGACCGGGATCAGGGTTGGTCCAGATTCTCCATTTCCCCACGATCCTGTACCAAACGGCAACCCGCATATGCACGTCGCTTGCCGTTTCCTCGGCTCTGTGCAAGTATCGCACCAATCGAACATGTATACGTACCGAGTTACTTACCCCTGAACATCAAACGACATCGATATAGAACGACCATGAGCATCATATTGTACGTAAATTGTATCCGATGTCGTAATATCATGGCCCGAAACCGCTCCGAGGAAAGGCGACAATGGGACGATGGATGAGTGTGAAATAGGATAGGATTCTAAAATGAAGCTATCGTGGATCCCAATAGTGCCCCTATATAATTCCAAGATGTATCTCCTGGATAGAATATATCGCGACATACATGGTCGCCACCAGGAATCGTGAATATGGACAAGCAAGCATCAATCCTCATCCTAGGAGCAGGCACCTTCGGCCTATCGACAGCCTACCATCTAGCCAAAGCCGGATACACCAACGTAACAGTCCTCGAGAAGTCCGCCACCTTCCCACCCAAGCTCTCCGCCGGTAATGATCTAAACAAGATCCTAAGAGCCGAATATGAGGACCCCTTCTACGCCGAGCTAGCCCTCGAGGCCTTAACGGCGTGGAAGTCCCCCCTCTTCGCCCCGTACTACCACGAGACAGGCTATCTCCTCTGCAACTCCGCCGCCGCCCCCGAGAAGTCCAAAAAGTCTCTCCAGAAGTCCCTCGAATCCATAAGCCAGCGCCCGGAATTCAAAAACAAGATCACGCCCGTAAACTCGCGCGACGACATCCGCAAAGTAGCACCCGCCTTCGACGGCCCCATGAACTGGAAAGGCTACTTCAACAGCTACGCCGGGTACGCGCACGCCGCGGACGCCATGACGGCAGTCTACTCCGCATGCATCGCGCTCGGCGTGAAAATCCACCTCAACGCTCCTGTCGAAAGCCTCACCTTCTCTTCCTCAGGAGACATCTGCACCGGCGCCTGCACCACCACCGGCGTGTACTACACCGCCTCCACCACAATCCTCACCCTAGGCGCCTCCCTCGGCTCCATCCTGCCACAGATAAAAACGCAAGTCGTCGCTAAGGCATCGCCCGTCGCCCACATCCAGCTCACGCCCTCCGAAGCCGCGGCGCTACGCGGCATCCCCGTAACCTACGCGCGCGACCTCGGCTTCTTCTTCGAGCCAGACGCGCGCACCAATTTGCTTAAGATCTGTCCTGCGATGGCGGGGTACACGAACTACGCGACGCCCTCGGGGCTCTCGTTACCACCCGATGACAACGCGTTTATCCCCGCGCGCGACGAGGCCATGGTGCGGCGGTTATTGCGGGAGACGTTGCCGGGGCTGGCGGAACGGCCGCTGGTGGGGAGACGGGTGTGCTGGTGTGCGGATACGGCGGATAGTGAGTATGTGATTGATTTCGTGCCGGGGAAGAAGGGGGTGTTGGTTGTGACGGGGGATTCGGCGCATGCGTTTAAGATGTTGCCGACGCTTGGGGGGTGGGTTAGGGAGGTGCTGGAGAGCGGGAGGCAGAGGAGGGAGAGGTGGTTGTGGAAGGAGGGGAGTGATGCTGCGGGTGTGGATGTTAGTTGGAGGGTTGGGAAGACGACGGATTTTAAGGAGGTGCAGGGGGAGATGAGGAGGGATGATGATGTGATTGGGGCTAAGTTGTAGAGGTTTGGGTTGATGTTGTCGGAATCTTGAGGTGCGTAGGTCGATGGGAACTGTGAGGAATGTAATTGTTTGGTTTTGACGTACCTGCCTATTTTTGTATGATTTACTTAAGCTGTGCTTTTCAATGAGTCATTCGTAGGGAAGTTACTGTCAAGCGCACCGGTCAGAAAGCAGAATGCGTACTAGGTACCTGCCTTGATATTCAACCTCGTCACCGACCCATCTATTCACCTTACCTTTCCTATATAATCGCCCACCATAGATCTCAACTTTTACAAAAACACCAAACACGTTTGCAAGTTTGATTTCCCACGAAAAGTACGAGGTATGTATCTCCTACACTCACCAATCCATCTATTGTTCTCTTCATTTTCATGTTTTTTGTTTATGTCGATAATACTAACATTGTCTTTAGACAAACCTTGCATTTTTCATAACAGAATCAAAACTCGCAAGCTTTTGACTGTTGCTGGCATCTAATAATACAAACCTTCAGCAGTATATAAATTCATAAGAGTAAGTCAAATCGCTCTCCCAACTAGCCCTATCCACGCGTCTGTATATATACTGACATATCTTTCTATGCTAGCCGATAAAAATCCCATAATGGGATCGACCGGCTTAGCTGGCGACCGCGATGTCGAAGAAGTCGCGCACTTATGTAAGTATCATCTGAAGTTCCTATCTATCCTTCTTTTCTATCCAGACATCGTACTAAGTAGTCGAGTCTATCAAGTATTTCTCTAGGCACAGTACGCAAGGAATCATTGGCTGACTATTGGTATTGCAGTATCCGAAGTACATAAACATGGCATCCAGGTCGTTCCTGTCGTAAAGGAACTGGTTGTTCATTGTCATAACACACTCGTCGACGCCAAGATCATGTGCGATCATCTGTTCCAAGAGAACGTGCATCTTGAAGCTCGATATGCGCAGCTACAAATAGACTTTAATGTCTACTGCGCGGACCGCAATGTCCGAGAGAGTAAATGGAAAAACAAAGCTAAAGACACCGTATTCGACGACCTACATAAACTAGTCAACAAAACCATCGAGTCGAACAAGACATGCCACGAGAAGATGGCTGTTCTCGTCAAAGAACATCTAGAGATGAGCAACGATAATGCTCTGTTGCGCGCACAGGTGGAGGAGCTTCGCTCCGAGAATCAAGCACTGATGGCTGCGAAGGCTAAGGTGGCCCAGAGAGAGCTTCCTGCTGTAAGTAATTCCACCTTGACTCCCGATAACGTCGACCATATCACTGACCGTATATAGTCGGAAGCTCGAATGCGTCAGTTTAGCTGAAGGCTTGCCCGTTATGCTTGCAACTACATGCCTCTATGGCTCTGAAAAATGTAGCTAAACAGCACTTAGATTCGTGCTCCTGAATTCTAGCAGAAGCAAATTGTCGCGCAATTTATGTCCCTTGTTGATTAAGTGATACGTCGTAAAAGGAACTTACCCACAAACCATCTTCCCAACAACGCCATCAAGGAACCCAAGCACCTAAGAACATATTAATCTATTGCTGTATATCAACACCTATACTAGCGAAGTATTCACAATGGGTCTTCGTATCATCATCCACGTTCTCCATCGTCGTCTTCCCTCCCGTCTCAAACAACAACCTATTCTCCTTACTCGAGTCCCACTTCTCCCAAGTCGCCGCCTCGGGGTTCTTGAACGTGTTCGGGTCGAGCGTGCGGATGAAACTAGTCCAGTATGCTTGGATGACGGGGATGACTTCGATATTAGTGCCGTTGGAGGTATAGCTCTTCGGCGCGCCGCCGGGCGCGTTCCGAGGCCCCCATATAGCCGCTAGCTCGACCGTGTGGGGAACGCCGAGCCCGTCTGCTATTTGCATTGGGTCCTCGACGTTGTAGCGGTAGGTGTATGAGCTACCGACACCGTATTTGGTCATGGCCGATGATATATACAGCGTCGGACACATGTAGCGCATGTCGCCGTAGACGTTACTGACCTGCCGCCAGTAGCAACCGGTGTTGGGACAGGTGTCGTTTGGATTCGGGTACATTTCGTCGATCTTCTGCATTTGGTCCTGTGTTATATTTGGGAATTGTTGCTGGATCCACTGATTGCTCGCCTGAAGCGTTGATGTTTCCCGCGGCGTGAATACCGTCCCTCCATTAGTGTCGTCGCCGAAGATGACGGGAATCTTGACGAAGTTGCCTTTAGCAAACGCACTGTAAGTCAATTCGGTGAGGAAGTCGTTGTCGATAACAGGATTCCACATGTAAATCGGCGGTCCACTCTGGCCAGGATAAGGGTATGGTAAATTTGCCGTCTGCAGTTCCGTGGAAGTTTTATTTCGTAAACAAGCCAAAGAATTGTTGCCGGTGCAACCAAGACGTGTCGTGAAATTGTCGTATTGATACTGACTCTGCTCGACGGTCAAAACCGGGGCGAATGAAACGGATTCCGCAGCAGCGCCATGGAATAAACCGCTATTCTTGCCTCCGTAGGCGATCATTTGAAGACTTATGCTAGCGGCGCCAGCAGAATCTCCGCCTAAAACGACATGGCCCGGATCGCCACCAAATGCTGATATATACCGATTTACCCATTGGAGAGCTTTCCGCTGATCGCGCAACCCATTATTGGGTCTGATCTGGTTGCCGTTCGTGATGAAACCATATGCACCCACGCGATAGTTAAAGGTAACGATGACGATATTGTAGTCGCTAGCTTCGATCAAGCCCGATCCGTTAAGATTCGGATTGCTGTTGACGGCAAATCCTCCGCCCTGAATAAAGAAAAACACGGGTAACTTGGAGTTCCGCGTCGCATTGCTTGGCGCATATACGTCAAGGAACAAGCAATCCTCCGATGTGTTATCGAGTGCCGCATTTGCACCAGAAGGTATGCATATAGGCCCGTGCTGATAGTAGGAAAACGAGGTCTTAGCAAGGTTTTCGAGATCGGGAATAATATGGCTAGTTAGTTTGTGTTAGGAAGCACACGCACCTGGGTTGCTTCTTGGGTGGCGGTAATGTTGCATGGCGGATCTTGCGGAGGTGCGAATCTAAGATCACCGAGTGGCGGCGCGGCGTACCGTATGCCAAGCCATTGTGTGATGCCGTTCGGAGTAGAGTAACCCGTGTACTTGTTGCATATTAAGTTGACGGTAGGGTCAACTGCTAATACAAGGCAAAATAGCTGACACAGCAACAAGAAGACGACACTAGTCGTAGTCATTGGAAAGCCTGGGATCTCGGAGTGCTCCGAGCGGGAGGCGGACGGGATGTCGCTTTGATTAGGGGGTCGCGTGCATGAGCGCCATCTTGCGACGCGGGCATGGCGGCCTTCATATATCTGAGGGCCTAGGATCACTCTAGGGCTACTGTAACGGTGTCTAGAGCGGGCTATTGGCATTCCACGACATCATCTGACGAGATTCCATTCCCTACTCCCCCGTCCCGCGTCCAGACCCGAGAGTGTTTTACTTCCCTGTATCTACCGTCCCTGCTCGAGGCTGTGTGACCAATGCCGAACCATGCAAGCTGACCACATTCCAGCGCGTTGGCCGCCAGCTCTCTCATTTCTCTAGGATACTTAAGGTGCGTAGGGTAGTGTAAACACCGGCGCGTGATCGAGACGTAAAGAATCCGGGTGATAAATGTCTGACCGCCGCCGTAACTAAGCGGCACCGTCTGCACGGCACATCTGGGCACATCTCAAAAAGGGATATGCAAAGATTGGAGAATTATCGGCATTAGACTTGTGGGGGAATAAGGAATAAGGAATAAGGCTCTAAGGTAATCGTAGTTCATCGTACCTACCCTTCCGACCAACTACAGAATACCCCTGTTGCTCCAACTAGCTCCAACTAGTCCCATCTTCTCCTAAACCTGATTTGACAAGTCACCCAATGTGGGGAACCCCGGGCGACATTCGCTCTATCAATGCCGAATCGGTACGTGACCCCTGGCTCCTCTGCTCCCCTTGCATGGGGGCGTCGGGCGTCATCAATACGAGTTTTCAACGCTCGATGTTTTATTATGTTTTTGCCATGCCGTTCTTACATGCGTCTGCATATTTGCCTACCTACCTACACAATCACATCAACATACATATGTGGACGCTGTTAGTCGTCAGCAAATTTTAAATCTTTTTTTAATGTCGATCCAGTGGACGAGAAGGAAGATTAATTCCAGCCCGTGTTACGATCAGAAAAGTCCAAGACAACCTAGTAGGTATAGCCTTGTAAGGAACGACATCCTACTGAGAAACTATCGATATGCATGTATTATGTACGCACTTTGGAACTAATGTAGGTGATATACATGGGAAAGGATGAGGTTGAAACCAATGGTGTCCGAGAGCCGTTTACTGTATGCTTGGTTTTTTCGATGCTACTTCGCCAAGTCTCGTTAATAGTTACCGTCTCGCTCCAATCTAGATTGATTTTCCAAGAAGAAAAGTCCGTGCTCTGGTTCCTGAGCTCGTACGTTACTGCCAATGGAAACAAGATTGTTCCTGATCTATAATTATCCAGGGGTATACCATAATAAACTAATTTCCCAGTTGGCGTCCGAGAAAAATTTAGGTAATAAAAAAAGAAAGTCAAAGACGTGACGCGTTCTTCAGATAGTTCATTTCATATATTTCAGCTCTGTAACATTCGAATTCTCAGCTGGAATCTTGTCAGCAGCCACTGTCTTGCCGGGTGATTGCACAGCAGCACAAAGATCAGCACTTAGAGATTTACTTACTATATTTGCCTCCCTATACTCTGTACAGACCGGTTAAAAGTCATGGCATCGACATTTACTCCGACCCGGTGGAAATGAAACCACATATTTGACTCTTTGTTTCCTTAATATATTTCAACCAAGATACGCATCATGCGCCAAGTCGAGATGTAACCTCGTACTACCGAATGCAAGATGACATTCGAAATCCTACCTGATAAATTGCTGAACCATTCGCAATTCTGAATAGAGAGATTTGGTGTTGCTATTAATATGTTGTTCGCCCAATAGCCATGTTTCCATTATCCAATGGCATCATTATGCATGCCTACGTCTAGCTAATGTCGAACGACATATCAACTCGAGTCCTAAGTAGGTATCTTGGTTTTCATATTTAAACCCCAATATCCCTTGCCGTAAATTTAGAGTAAACATAAATTTTTAAAGATTGCTATAGTGGTCCAAAAGTGTCACGGGAGGGAAATGGTTGGTGCCATCTCCTTGGAATGTTTGGACCGTCTTCTTGGCAACTACGTAGGTAAATGCTTAGGCTCAAATGAAGGCAAACTGACCAGACCTGGTGATATTCCTGGCTTACAGGTATGCTATAGTCAGCCCGTATGACCGGTACTCTAGTGCGCCGTGAGATCTGATAACTTGTTAAGCAGGGAGGGTGGGGGAAGAGGGGACATGAAGCTATACCCCTCGCGACAACCACTATCTTGCAGAGAACTCATAAAGCAAGGTATACTAGGTGTGATCCCTTGAATCCTAGTATACGAGCACATAGCAATCACTTCAAAGCTTTCTCACATAATAGTCGAGTCACCATTGTACCCAGTACCTGCTATGGAAAGATAAGATTTCTCGATACCCCTCGAGCTAGTCGAATTAGAGTGTGTATAATTTCTGTATTTATATTGACTATTTCTTTACCTCAACTATACTATGTTTTATGAGATAATGTGTTTCAGCGAACATTATTCTAATAAGATTACGTTACTAGATATCGTTCTATGTCAATACAACGCAGAACTTTATCTCTCTGTGTAAGAACTCTAACTGAACTAACAGTTGTTGAATCAATTTCAAGTTTAACTACGATTGCGATTAGTAATCTTAGAGAACTCAAGAGCACGTGGAAATACGCCGATTATAAGGTCAAAGATGTGATTCCGAGCGTTGATCGTTATCGGTTCTCTAACCGTGTTAGTGGTGAAAGTTAAGGTTACACCCAATGTTTCCCAAAACGCTCTGACAAGACACGTGGATTAGATCGTAAGATAAGAGCTTTGTTCTCCTACACAACTGCGGAGGTTGATGGGATGAGAGGTATCTGAGGTAATCATTGTTAATATTATGTATTTACCTGTAGGCGGTGTAGTCCCAGTGTCAAACTGGAAGCAATTGACAATTCTCTATTACACCCGATTGATCCCAGAATATGAATAAAGAAGTATTCAACTCGCGAGAAACGTAATGAAATGTCCATAATCGACGACATTAGAATAAAACAATTTTATAAAGCTTGATCATAAGTTCCCCTCATCGGCGTTATTGGAGTGACAATAGAAGGTTTGGAGCTCGGTCTTGGTAGCCCCAAAAGCAAAGTAACCCCGACAGCCCAACCCGGCTAGAGATATATACCCAAAGGCCTTGGAACTGAGATATAACCTACCTAGTACCCATCAAACCAGCGACTCGGATACCAGATCGTATACTCGTATATATCTCGCCTGATCCCCAATCCCACGTTGCACTCCCCACCAGCAATATCCCGCAAACCGAGGCAGGCGCCGGGCACGAAAACAGATACAGCAGCGACAGGCGTAACAATTGGTGGAAACCAGGCTTCCCCAACCTTCCCCGTGTCGAATCAAGACGATCGCGCGGTGTCGAGAAGCTGGATGAGGAAAGGCGTGCGGAGTCCCCACGTTTCCCCCTACCTACTCCTCATTACCGACCCTGGGAGCCGGTAACGCGTCTTACGTACATCCAATCCTCCCTGCCCCGTAACCCTCGGAAAACCCTTCCGACAGCCAGCACCGGCGTCGCTTTATTAAGGGAGTTCCCGTCGCCCTTAGACTGCGGGAACTTATCAGGATATCGTAGCTAGCAAACCTTGAACGCACGCAGCGAAGATGGGTGTATCGACGACGACGGACGCGGTGGAGATCGAACACGCGGGACCTGCACAGGGGCGCCAGGGAGGCAAAGATGGCGCCGATAAGGATATCGTGGCCTCGTTCCTGGCCAAGCACGGGCAGGGCCAGAGGATTGAGGTCACGCCGGCCGACTCCGCGCGTGTACTGCGACGCATCGATATCGTCATCCTGCCTATCATGTTGACGGTCTACTTTCTCCAGGGCCTGGACAAGTCGTGTCTTGCGTACGCCTCGGTTTTCGGGCTGATCACTGATACGGGATTGGTTGGCGACCAATATTCGTGGTTGGGGAGTATCGTTTATCTGGCGCAGTTGGTGATGCAGCCGTTGTTGGCTTGGCTGTTGGTTCGTCTGCCTATCGCTAAGTTTACCAGCGCGATGGTGTTATTCTGGGGGGTTTCTCTTGCCTGCATGGCAGCTGCGCATAATTTTGGGGGGTTGCTAGCTACGCGATTCTTCTTGGGTGTGTTCGAGGCGAGTGTTGCGCCTAGTTTCGTTGCTATCACGCAGATGTGGTGGAGGAGACGAGAGCAGACTGTTCGGACCAGTTACTGGTAGTAAGTAATACCCATGCTCCTCTCAACAGTTCAATCCATCTTGAAACCCTCAAATTGGGGTTATGAAGTTCCTCGGGGATGCATATACTCGCAACAGATTCTGGATGAATCTGGCGAATGATACTTTACGATGAAGCTAACTTCTAACCTTCTAGTGCTATGAACGGAATCACGAACATGGTGAGCAGAATTCAATGACTTACATGAATTGGTGCAAGGACTAACGGCGATGAAGTTCGGCAGCTTGATCACCTACGGCCTAGGACATGTAACATCACACCTTCATTCCTACCAGGTAATTCAGGGCTCTCATCTTGCTGTATAGCTCATAGATCAACATACTAACGGGACTAGATAATCTTCCTGTTTTTCGGATTGATTACCATCGCCTTTAGTTTCGTCATGTTTGTTTTTATGCCCGACTCGCCGGTAGAAGCGAAATTCCTGAACGACAACGACAAGCTGATCGCCGTCGAACGACTGCGCATGAACCAGATGGGCGTTATCTCGCGCGAGTGGCGAAACGACCATCTGAAGGAGGCGTTGCTTGACCCTAAGTCCTGGTTTTGGTTCGCGCTCATGTTCTCTATCAGCATTCCGTCAGGTGGTATTTCGACCTTCGGGCCGCTGATTGTGAAGACGTTCGGCTTTGACCAATTCACGACTATTCTCTTTAACATTCCCTTCGGATTCGTACAAATCGTTGCTACCGTAGGCGGAGCCTTCCTTGCCCAGAAGATTAAGATGAAGGGTCCTGTCATTATGGGACTTTGCTTACCCCCGATAGCGGGTTGTGTGATGCTCATGGTTCTCCCTCGAGATGCCTCTCACCAAGCAGCTCTTTTAGTTGGATATTACCTTATCTCAGTTTATCCAGGAATTAGTAAGTTCGCACGATGCAACATTATGATTCGATTATTAACATCTTTTAGCTCCTTTGGTCTATTCATTGGCGTCGCAGAATACAGCTGGTGACACCAAGAAAAAGTGCACCAACGCCATCCTCTTCGTCGGTCAGTCAATCGGTAATGTCGTCGGCCCACTACTCTACACGCAGAAGGATGCGCCGGGATACGAAAGGGGCCTGCGATCAAACCTGGCACTTTACATCGCGATCATCGTCATAAGTGGAATGGCGCTTGCGCATCTCAAATACCTAAACGCAAACCATGCCAAGAGGCGTGTGGCAATGGGAAAGCCAGCTGTTATTGTCGATACTAGCTTGGACTCTGCCGAGGAGGTAGCAGCGGCAGCCGCTGCCGCCGCAGCTATGAGGAAGGCTGTTGGCGAGAACGAGACTGGCGACATCAATAATGCGGACGAGGCCGCTGCTTCAGCTGATGATACAGAAAGACCCGGAGATAGAGCGTTCGACAACTTGACTGATCTCGAGAACGAGGATTTCGTTTTTGTCTACTGAGTTTACCGTAGCGTTCTCTCCATTTGGACTACTATTGAGAGGTATATCTGATAATTATTAGCAAAATAGATGATGATTGTGGTATAGATCTGATGAACCATACAAAATATTGGGATAGATTTACGGCAATATACTCATTCACTTTACGGCCTATGATGTGGGGAACTCCATGATGACTTGCTCAACTCACAAATGTGGCGGAATATCAGTATAATTCTGCTCTCTCGTTGGCCATTACAGGGGTGAGTGGCTGCAGGAGTTGAGTTTCAACACTCGGCCACATTCGGCATGAAGCGTTATCGCCCACTGAATTGGCTCGCGCTGTTGGATAGTTTATGCTCGGCATAAATGTCCCATCGGCTGTGACACCTAAGCCGGACAACGGCGACGAATTGCATTTTCTTCATAGCTTCGAGGTCTAGACCCAGCTCACCATGTCCGCGTAGAATATGGGAGTACAGTGCGGTCGTCAGGCGGGTTGCAAATCTCGGTCCCAGATTCTCCAATCGTCGGTTAAGAGACAACGTCATCAACCATTTCCTTCCGCCTGTTGTTTTAATTTGATGAAGGTCGTCCGATCTACCGGTCGTCGAAGATCTCTCCATGGATGACGCCAGTCGTACCACGACCCTATTAGCATAACTTTAGACCTGCAGATCTAGATCGACGAATCACGTAACGTTCTAGAAAGGTCTCCGAGCCGCAGGTTGACCTTCTGAAATCCGAATGGTCCAAAGAAACTAAATCCTGGTTCTCGGGTCTGACGAAGATGTGAATGAAACAAGTTTCTAGCCACACCAATCCATCAATCTGACGAAAGCCACAAAATGTATGCGCTCATGTGGCGTTTCCTCCTCGATCAGTTCGATGGATGCGATCCCTTGGGTAAGAACATGACATCACGACATAGGGATGTTTTCTGTGAACGTATAATAAGACGAAGCTTTTCGAGTATCGGGCTCCTTTTCTTTTGAAGTTAATAGTCAGAAAAAATAAACCATTTCTTAAGAAACACAAATTGTCGATCTCCACGATTCGGACATCCCCGTCATTAAAACTCAAATCGAATCAGAACCGCAACTACTACAACCGAATTCATAATGTCAAACAACCAAGGTGGTGGTCTCCTCGGCGGACTAGTTGGCGGAGTTGACAATGTCCTCACAGGCGGCGAAAAAGCTAAAGGCCAGGGTGGTCTTCTCGGAGGCGTTGGTGGTGCTTTGGGTAGCACGACCGAAGGACTCGGCAAAGGATTGAACTCTACAACGAGAGGAGTTGGAAATGCTGTAGGACAGACTACCGAAGGTCTTGGCAACACAGTCGGCGGCGTGACGAATTCGGTGGGGGGCACCGTGGGTGGAATCACTGGTGCTGGTGGCTCTGGTGGTACTGGTGGTACTACTCAGAAGAAGCAGGATAATACCGCCTTCAAAAGCTATGGTATCTGAGTACGGATTAAAAGGGGTGTATGGATTGAAGCTGGGGCATTTGAGATGATATAAAGAAATACAATAAATTTAATTAATCGCTGTTATTTAAAACATGGGATATGCTGAAATGTGTTTTTTATTTGTTTGGTCTTGAACTGAGTTCAGTTCAGTTCAATCAAAAGTTCAATCCAATTCAATTCAATTCGTAAATAGCTGTGGCTGGAGTATGAGGGCCTGAGTGTGGCTTAACTTTAGTGGACCGGGTTGTCGGGGCACCTTTTAGTGGAACTGTGGGGTAAGGTTTAACAAATTTGGGGCCAGATGTACCTAGTAGTACAGAGGACCCTTCTAAATTCAATCCATCCCGCTTAAAAGAAGCTTCTTTGGGACCTTAGATGCGTCCTAATTGCGTCAATTGCACAAATGGCAGCTAACGAGGATGAAGACCCGTCGTATGTCGACTACGAAGCCTTTCTAGATCCAAGCTTTAGCCCCTCGTCATTCGCCAACAGCCTTGTCCTCGCAACAAACAATCCGAACGACACTCCGCTAGATCTCTCAACGCCGCTATCCAAAGTATTATTCGATGCCCAAGAGATCGATTCCCATATAGATCTCCTTACAACCCGCTCGGCGATCCCTCTTCTCTCACATGCTACCGAACAGACCGAAGCGAGTGGGAGGATAATAGCTGAAATTGATAACCAGGTCAAGAGCCTGAACGAGAGCTACAAACAACTAGAGAAAGAGGTCATCCAAAAACATGCTGAAGCTGACGAGGTGCGCCAAGTTGCCGCCCGACTATGGGAGACCTTGAAGTTAGGTAGATCTGTTGGTCGCTGTCTTCAGCTAGGACGACAGCTTGAGATTCAACACACAGAAATAAGCAGCTCGGGGGCCGGCTCAAGGAAAGAAGATCATAGAGCATTAGTACGTTGCGCGCATACACTAATATCGCTACGCGAGATACTCGATAAGAAGGCGCCAGGCGAAGAAGGATATGGCCTCGATAAGGTCAACGCAATTAGGAGTCTTCAAGACTCTATCATAGGACCAATCGAAAAATCCGTCAAGAGCACCTCAGAACAGATTGTACGGGAGTTCAATGTTGGCTCCGCTTCGGGAACTACAACCTTCGCTCAAAGTGAAGAGGCTAAGGCGCGAATTATATCTGCTGCAGTCACGCTCTACTTCATATCACCAATAACAGGCACCAAACCTGATAAATGGACGCCTCAATTACTTCTTCAGGCTCTCGAGGTCTATTTGCGAAACTCGTTACAAAGCTCTATCGCATCACTAGCTAGGTCACTTGCGACACTACCATCTTTAGACCGAACTCTGGCCGAGATCTCGGCGCGATGTCAAAATATAGTCGCTTTAGAGATCATTCTCTCTACCACAAACGCCCCGCCTCACCCACTTCTACCAACCCAAAAGCATACTTCCGATAAGTCTAACCTTCTACAGTACCTACTGGCATATCTTGAGACCGGTTCGTTAGCATCCTATTTCTGGAGAACTATGGCAAGCAGTCTCGCGACAAGAGTCCAGGAAATTGTCAACCGCGGTGGTGTTTCAGCGCGTACGTTGAAGACGAATAGAAACACTGTAGGGGAGGCTATTAGGGAATGCGTTATCCGAGGCAGTCAACCTCCAAATACTATCACAACTACTAAGGGGAAATCCTCCAAGGGAGGCCCAGAGAAAAGTGGTGAATGGGATCGCGAGGTGGCAGTAATGGTTGGTAGTGTTGTTGGAAATCTCGGTAGATGATTACAACAAGACGGGGATATCTACATGCTCTATCTATTATCTAATCGAACTGTAAATGAAGGCATATTTACGATTCGCGGTTACCTATTAGCAAGCATCGTTACACTATGGCTAATACGAGCCTCACGAAAAAAGGGAAAAGGGGGGAGGGAGGAGGGACAGCCCTACCAAGGATCTGGAATATATTTGATGCTACAACCTCGGCCAACAAGCTCTATAATCGAGCTATATCTTTATGATATCCAGTTAGATAGTATATGCCCAAAATGCACAACCAAGGCATCTGTCGGCTGCATCGCGGGGGTTCCCGGGCCGTGAATGCCCTCACTATCTAATCCCTCATTTCAAAATTGCCCCATATGGCTGACTCAATACAACATAAGAACACTCAAATCGAGGTCAATTCATGCTTATATGCCTCAATTTAAAGTATTAATTATTCTTGGAAACCCGTGGGAGATCTTAACCAAGGTTCTAACTTATGAAGCCCAAAAACGGGCCGTTTGGCTGCAATCGAGCCACTTGTGCATAGGCCGGTCTCGAACGTAATAGGGCTTCCACCCGTTAGGAGTTAAGACATCATTGCATAGCTCTTGCCTCCAATCGGTATCCTCAGAAAGCATGGAGAGATGCCCTCTTCGTGGAGTAGGTAGATATTGGAAATATCATATCCATGGATGCTCATGGATTTTGGATTGCTTATATCTTATAGCGGGTGTATCATTTATACAACGCTATTCGATGTTGGAACTTTTAAGAAATACCGTTTATAGTTTAGCTTGATAAGAGTAGAGATATATAGGTACCTATCCAATAAAGATCAAATTGATATCGCTTATGAACGCCTAGTACCATGGTACTACCTGACATTCTACATAAGACACATGTATGATAATGTATAAGCAAAGTATCCAAGTCATCCATGCTCTGGGAAAACTCAATGGGGATAACCGTAAACCCGCTCAGGCGTTAGTCCCACGTTTTTCCATCTTCAAAGTTTTCAACATAAATACCTAGTACTCTCGCAGCTGCCTCGGTCTTCCTACTCTGGTATTCAGGCTATTATTTTTTGGTAAGGCGCAGAGGTGTTACATCCTTCTTTCATCCCGCCTACGTCATTGGTTCAAGGTACGTACCTTGAACGACCCGCTTTAAGTGCTGGCCAATGCTTTTCCATGCCTTTCACATTTCTTCCACGACATGGATTTCTGATTGTTTCCATTATCTCCACGAACTCCACAAACAATTCTCAGCCTGTCTTTCAGCATGTGCCAGCGTCACAGGCTCACAACTCTTACCCCACCATCTAACATCACCGCTCTACACTTACATTTTAATTACACACTTTTGACATACATAGTACATTGTTGATCTGGGGCCAACCCATCTGTTCGTCGAGTTCTGTGCGTATCAACCTAAAATAGGGTTGACTTACTATTTGGTTCCTCGTGGCATTCAGGCATTGAAAGTGTTCATTCGTCTCATTCGTCTTATTCGCCTTCTTCCCGTTTTTCGTTTAATTTAGTACATAAAATTCATTCAGAGTCCAGAATAAGCACACCACTTTCAAAATTTTGTACCTGATCTGCCCACCTCTACGGTCCTACGTACCTGTAGTGCCGCAGTCGGAACGAACCGTTGAAGTTTCGATCTAGGACGAGAAAGGCCGAGGTCACTCTAATCGATTTTCAAGCTGAGACGATTTTCCCGCAGTGGTTGTTGGCACTTTTCAAAGATCAAAGGAATAGGTGCTCAGTCAGTCGTTCAAGGTAAACCCACATTCTGCCCAGAAAGTCTGGAGCAAAACCTCCAGGTTGCATCTACCATACTATACCACTCACCCTTCCATTTCCATCACGAACCTGGTATCACTTGGTTCTCATGCCCCACTATCCTCCCTAAGGTGTGAAATAAACCAATAATCGCGACGACGATAGGAGCCCCGCTATGAGCCTATGCTGTTCTAGCCTTCTAGATTCTACCTCCCCTACCTGTACCAGCTGTACTTTACCCATATTTGAACTTGCCTATGTCTACCTAACTTACCTACGCTGTTTCTTCCGGCTTTGACAGCCATCGGTGTTGCTTTCACCGTCTGGTTCATCAAATCACGGTTTTCGCCGATAATCTCATACCCATAATTTGCTATTAATTGCCTTTAATAAGTACCAATTACTACTCAAGCTACCCTTGCGTACCCTTTTGTCTCCTCTTCTGCGTCACCGCCGTGTCTAAATCGTTTACCTATACATACCGACTTTACGCCGCGATTCACTTCTTGTAGAGAGTAAAGCTAAGAAGACGATAATGACAGAAAACAAGAAAGAAGTCGAGGTCAACACCACCAACGACGTTGTAAAAGAGACCGAACAAATGTCTTCCGCTCCCCGCGAGTCCGCTACCAAGAGCGACTCGGAGGATTCGTCCGATCTACCACCCCACGAACAAAACTCTGTTACAAGAGTACCTGTAACTCCCGGCATACAACCCTCGACCTATGCCTCGCAAGTAAACATCGAGTCTACTGAGACTACTGGTTCTGGTTATTTCAATCAGAATCAAGAGAAGGATGGTGTTATCTCCAATGAGTCTGCGACAGGTACTGCAGTTGAGACATCCTCTCCTACGGACCTTGCACAAGGGGCTAGTTCAGATCATGAGGTTTTGCGACGAATGAGCATATCATTGAGTGGGCGGAGAGAGTCTATTACGGAAATTAAAGCCGCTGCGCCTGACCTGGCCCTCAGTGGTAACATCATCTCGGCTACCTTCACGACCCCTCACTCTCTAAAGTATCACAAGAGCGGCGATTGGGTTAGTATATCCTTACCCATAATGTAAGCTTGTTGCGAGACTAATATTTAGTAGGAATTGGGCTATCGGCGCGGCCAATCCGCTCTCTTCGATTCTTTCTCTTACCTCTCTTCCGACGAAACGCCTTGGAACCATACGGTCGTTGCATGGACTGGCGAAATCGAGTCACTCGCCGAATCTCTGTCCGCGTCAGATGTCATTCCCGATACGACCTCAACCATTCCCGGTCTAAATCACTTATCTGCCCCCATACCGTTAGATGGGGAAGCACCACCAACACCTCCCGAAGTGGATGGTTTATGGATTCCGCAAGAGCACCAGGCGAAGTTAGAGCAGTTGTTGTCTCATGACAAACGCATCAAGACTGTTCCGGTATGGCTTGCGGACGACACCGAGACAAGCGACGAGGGTATCACGTTGAATGATCAAGCCCGATGGAGGCGATATGCCGAACACACGATATATCCCTTGTTCCACTACAAGCAACACGAGCCTAACGATGGTCGATCTGAGCGTATCGAGTGGGCAGACTACTTTCGCACAAATTTGAAGTTCGCCAATAAGATTATCGAGATCTACAAGCCGGGTGATATTGTAGTCATTCATGATTATTATCTCCTGTTGCTTCCCAGCATGCTGCGGCAAAGAATGCCAAACATGTACATCTCGTTCTTCCTACATTGTCCGTTCCCCAGCAGCGAATTCCTAAGATGCTTACCGCGAAGGAAGGAGGTGCTTGAGGGCATGCTCGGTGCCAATCTGGTCGGGTTCCAGTCATATAGCTACTCGCGCCATTTCGCGAGCTGCTGTACCCGAATACTCGATTTTCCCTCGGATTCCGTTGGTGTCGATGCGTACGGGGCTCGTGTGGAAGTTGGTGTTTTCCCCATTGGCATCGATGTGACCAAGGTAGAACAGATGGCATGGTCAAAACAAGTCTCGGATATGTATGACGCTTTAAAGGGGCTCTACAAGGATAAACAAATCATTGTGGGACGCGACCGGCTGGATAGTGTCCGTGGTGTGGCCCAGAAGCTGATGGCATTTGAAAGGTTTCTGGAACTCTTTCCCGAATGGCGAGAAAAGGTTGTCCTAGTCCAGGTCACTTCGCCAAACACCATTGAAGAAGGAGGGGAAGAACCAGAGAACAAGATAGCGAGCAGGGTGAATGAGTTGGTCATGAGAATTAATGGCACATATGGCAGCCTAGGATTTTCGCCGGTGCAGCATTATCCGCAGTATCTGTCGCCCGAGGAATATTTCGCGCTTTTGAGAGCCGCAGACATTGGTTTGATCACATCGGTTCGGGATGGAATGAATACCACTAGTCTGGAATACGTTGTGTGCCAGCGCGACACGCATGGCCCGCTAATCCTCTCGGAGTTTAGCGGCACTGCAGGAAGCCTGCGAGACGCGATACATATAAACCCTTGGGACCTCACCGACGTTGCTCACCAGATCAACAACGCCCTCACGATGTCTGCTGAAAAACGCCTATCGATGCAATCGAGTCTCTATAAGCATGTCACTACGCAGAATGTGCAAAGCTGGATCGCCAAGTTTCTACGAAAACTCGTGGGCACGTTGGCATCTAACAAGAATGCGAATGTCACACCGCTGCTTGACCGCACACTCATGTTGAAACAGTACCGCCAAGCCAACAAGCGTCTCTTCATGTTCGATTATGATGGTACACTTACTCCCATTGTTAGGGACCCCCAGGCAGCTGTTCCATCGGAGCGGGTCATCCAAACGCTGAAGGCGTTGGCCGCAGACCACCGCAATGCTGTGTGGATCATCTCGGGCAGAGACCAAGACTTCTTGCAGCAACACCTAGGTCATATCTCAGAGTTAGGCTTCAGTGCTGAGCATGGAAGTTTTATTAGACATCCAGGCCACGACACATGGGAAAATCTAGCTGAGAAATTGGATATGGGCTGGCAGGCAGACGTGATGGATGTCTTCCAAAAATACACCGACCGTGTTCCTGGTATGTTGCCTTTACGAAAATCTTGAAAACAGTTTGCTAACTGGTCCTCACTAGGTTCATTCATAGAGCGGAAGCGATGCGCATTGACATGGCACTATCGCCAAGCCGATCCCGAACAAGGTGTACACGCATCACAAGCGCTGCACAAGGATCTTGAGGCAACCGTAGTTCAAAAATGGGATGTCGACGTGATGAAAGGTAAGGCCAATCTCGAAGTACGGCCTACTTTCATCAACAAGGGCGAGATCGCCAAGCGCCTGGTCAATGACTACAACTCCGACATTGCACACATAGCTGCTCCGGAAACTAGCTCGCAAGCCAAGGAAGGGAAACTAGATTTTGTCCTATGCATGGGTGATGACTTTACTGACGAGGACATGTTCCGGGCCCTGAACGGTCTCAGCGGTACGCAAGTCGAGACTGACCACGTGTTCACTGTTACTATCGGTGCTAGCACGAAGGTCACTCTGGCGAAATGGCATATGCTGGAACCGGAGGACGTCGTGGAAGCCATAGCTCTCCTGGCCGGAGTTGGCCTGAGCGGCGAAGCCCATGAGCAGCTGAGTCAAGTCAACTTGGCTACTGTCGCCGGGCTCGAAGGTCACGTGCCTCAATGACTCGCGAAATCGAAGCTGTGATTATATTATGGTCGGGAAGCAATATAGACAAGCGTGGCGCTAGGGTTATCAGGGCTCGGACTAGAGGAATTTACTCGTGCATACGAAACCATGGTGATGCGTTCACCCCCATACAGACAAAGGTACAGAAAAGGGGCCGCAGGCAAAAGATCAGACTAATTTCCTGCATAAGGGCTCATCCGATGATCTTGAGATAGAGGCATTCCTTTGCACGAGCTTGGGGTAGAGATAGAAGATTTGTTCGGGGCCGAAATATTTCGCCTCGAGGTAGGCATGCTCGTGTTTTTTAGGTGGCAACATTTGTCTATCTGCTACTATGTAAGTATATACATAGACACGGCATCTATCTACTAGTAGCTATCAACACCTGCCTAGTATATTTGTGAACATTTCGGCCCCCGTGAACCGGACGGTGTAATTGCGAGTGGCACCGGGCTAATGAACTCGATGATGCCGATGCAGATCGGAGAAGGCCCCGCAGACAGAAGGAGCATCCGAGCTAGTTCATGTGGAGGTACTTGACCAGGTAGGTAATGTTATAGATTACTAATTTAGGGTATATAATACAGGTACATAACCTGCACATAGTATGTTTTTTGCTTTTTGGGGCGTTATATGTGTGGGTCGTATCTCGTATTGTTACGTATAGAAGAAGAAATAGAATGGGGGGCTGTTTCATGATATGCGCGGCATCCGAACATACGTACAGACTTATATAAGTCTCAGGTTAATTGACGTGGGATGGGATGCGGCCGGACGGCAGGTTTCTCTCTCTTCTTTTTTTTTTTTGGCTTTAGTGGGGAGGACTTCGGGGCCGGATTAGGTAAGATGGAGATGGTGGGTTGGTGGGATGAGCAGGTCGGAATGTACTGGTGTACCCCGGCCGTCGTGCGTTTTGGGGGGTTTGGGTTGGGTTGGGTTGGGTGTGAGAGAATGGATTAGAGCTTGTGCCGGTTGTACGGCGTGTTCGGTTACGTTACATGGAAGATGAGGCAAGTAGGTAAAATACTACGATGCGAGCAATTGCGTTTGTTCTGTGTGGACGGCGGTCCGGCGTGCGTCCGAGAGGATATGTAGGTTGATGACAGAGGCACATTGGTGGGTTTCAGGTACCCGGGGAATAGGTTGGTGTAGGGCTGCTGGGGTATGAATGTACCTAGGGCATGTATGACTGACATGAGGCAGGTACCAGTTGACGTGCGCCTCTCCGCCGCCGCGCCGCCACATGCCGGCAGAGGGAAAATTCCCATTCGACGGATCTGGGCGGCACAGGGGTTGGGGTTGGGGTTCGAGTTCGGAGTTGGGAACTTGTGTAGGTAAGTAGGTACGATATCGAAGGGAGACGGAGCTGACTGGTTGGTTGGAAACGGATGCCCAGTCCGGTTGGTGGGCTGAATGAAAAAAAGAATCTGCAGAAGAAAGAAAGGAAGAAAAATAAGGCTTGCAAGGTGAGGCGACGTGCATGCGTGCTGCATCGTACGTATAGCTACTTACGGCACCGCAGCACCTGGAGGCGAGGCACAGCACAGCAGTCAAAATATGCTGGTGAGATTAGGCGCGATGCTTGCATGGTTGCTTTAGACGTTTCTATGCAGGCTGGCTTGTCTGGGCAGGCAAACACGGTTACATCAGATATTAGACTAAGCCCTATCGTTTATTCTACCACTGTTAAGCGATGCATCGCCTTGGCACGCGTTTAATCTTTGAGAACACAGTATATACGATACAGACCACGGACAGCTGACCACGGAACGGGACTTGCTGCCCATATTAGGTGCTTAGTCCGCAACTCGAGGGATCGAGAAAGTAGTAAGTGCAATGGTCCTCTGCATATAAAACTTCATGATCGAAGATCTTAGACGATATCGATATATCTCTGCATTGGACTTCCATTTTTGTTACTACCGTGGTTGAGTTAGAGGATCGCTTGAAGCTCGTATAGGACTGAAGTGGGTCTCCGGAAGCCCCTTTTTTCAGAATCGGTGTAAGATGTTTGTCCCCAAAAAGCCCAAAAAGTAGGAGAGATCATGAAAATAGTTACAAGCCGGAGACAAAATCTTATCTCAACTGCCACATGTACGTTTTAGAAAGATAATAGGTAATTTAAACCGGTGTGGCGTAAAGGACCCTGAAATCACTCATGCAGGCCTTTCTCTAACCCCGGACATCTAGAGAGTATCTGAGTATCATCTCCACTCAAGGAGATATTCGCGAATATAACGCCGAAGTCAACTCTGAACTCTAGTTATTTAACAATCCTTCATCGGGACCGAGTGAAATGTATGTAAGTGACGTGTCATATTCTCTAGGTAGTTACTGGCTTAGAGTAGGAGTTCTTGGGTAGAGGCTATGTGTAAGCCAAAGGTAAGCTAGTGGTAAGCTTCAAGATACTCAAAATAACAGAATTCGCAAAAGCCACTCAATCTTGTTGTCTTACTTGTCTGTTCAAGGAACGCAAATAGCTTCGTGGCCGGTACAGGGATGGTAATATTGTAGAAAGTCCATTTTACACGATATCAAAATTACACAGAAGGAAATCTAGTGGTACAATCATAGCCCATATTAACCAGACACTTTCTATTTGTGTGGATGTGAGAACCTTATTTCGAGAATATTGCTTTGTTCTCTCAACTAATCCAAATCTATGTAGATATGCTCTTAAAGGCATAGTTGTATTGTAGTAGAATTCCAACATTGGGGAATGTTACTCTATGCGCTTACTCTGCCCTACGAGGCCTAAAACTGCATTTTCGCGCCTGTGTACGTAATCGAGCCACGAGGATGGTAATTATGATACATCGTGGCTGTTGTTTGAACTACGGCTTATTGCAAAAATGAATATACGTATAATTGGTTCCGTAAGGAGATCTTGAAGTCTTCTCCTAAACCTACAAGCTATGATCTAGAGATAATATCTAATCCATCGGCAACTAGGATATTGCTAACGCAACACCCAACCTGAAAATATCCGTAATTATAGTGGTTATTATCCCGTTTCTGCGAGTTTAGCTAGATAACATTCACTTTGGCCTCAACTCATTACTATCTAGAGACAAATCCCCGGAGTACTGGGCATCTACATAGCAACTGTAGTTTTGATTCGAACTAATCGGGCCGTCCTTGGCAAAGTAACCAGTTGATACCAAACATCCGGTTTCATACTCAGATAAATGGGCATTTTCACGGAAACTTCAACTCCGCTCTCGCTAACGAAGTCTATATCATGACAATCCAAGTGCATGGTTAAGGCTTACACCCTTTCCCCTCATTTTTGACTCTACCCCTTCAGATTTCCCCAGAACTAATAGTCCTATGTATTTTGCGGGTTAGCTTGTCTATGTTGGAGTCGTGTAAAATATCATGATAGTGGCATCATCGAACAAGGACTATCTGCGTGGCTGCTGACGCGGTGAAGGTAGGCCATACACCGGCCCCTATTTTTCGGAAGGCATTCCCTATTAGTCTAGGCAGATAGCTAGAACCACGGAGAAGTCGTCACCATCTACATGCAACCAAGGAAACGATGCTCCTTTCTAACATCACGTCGCAAACTATTTCCCTTTGTGAATATCACCCCCTTATGACTGTCATAAAGTGTCTCTCCAAGGGGCAACGTATCTTATGAGGTAATTACAGCCTTCAAGAGACTACATCCAGCCTCGGCTCGAACCCTTGTTTTGGGGGAAAAGGCTTACCAACAACAGCCTTCCGACTATCAGATCATTGACTTAGACGCCTCTGACATAAAGCTTTAATCTACGGAGCCTCTCCCGACACGCTCACCGCGTCTAGGTAGGTACGTAGCCGGATTCTTACATATGCCTTAGCCATATGCGTTTCCCGGAAGATCCAACGTAAGGGTTTCGGAGTCGGTCTCAGCATTTTAAATCCTATATCCGTCCAATCCAACGTGCCCCATGGAGATAATCGGCCGCCGTGCCCTACACTCGCAGATACAGGCGCGGCGAGGTGAGGAAAAATTACCAAGTGAAGTGGTATCCCGCGGTTAGACTAAGCTTTAGGCCAACTGAGTCAGTTTAACCGCGAGTGCCCGTTGGGCTTCCCCTATAGGTTCCCGTAGGCGCGACCGTTGCCGTGGGATACTATTACCGGTAAGGCGCGGCTCGCCTCATGCGTCTAATCGATATTACGCAGCGCGGGACCAACACACCTACCCAATGTGTATGTATGTGCAGGTACCGCGCCGTCTGGCGATTACGTACGTACTTAAAAAGCTATTCTGGAAGCACGTAAGCGGCAGAGTCGCGTTCCTCGGCATCTGTGTACCTAGGTAAGTAAGCAGGTAGGTACTTGTGGACGTCGCACGGGAGGGGCACCGCTATTAGGTGACGCTGACAGGATGATGGGTCAACTAGCATCGGCGCATAAGCGCGACATACCGTACATAGGTGGGTAGGTAGGTGCAAGATTTGCCTAGGTACCTGATCGATAGATAGGTAGACCGGACGTGCCGACGGCAGATAACCGAGAGGGGGAATGGTAGGGTCGCGTCGGGAGCAATGAACAAAACTTCTAGACCATCTAATAAAGCGACTTCACAAATCACGCGCGTTCTGCAACCTCGGGAGTGTGAGAGCGCGACTAGGTAAGGTATGAGATTTATTTCGAGGACTGCCCTAAATTTCTTGGTGTGCGGAAGGAGCAGCCGTGGGGGAGCTGGAATGGGGCCGGTGGCGTTTGCGGGAGTGTAGATACTTGCGCGGGGCTCGCACGGGGTAAGAACTAGCCCGTTTGCACTATAAAACGTGGGCGGGTGTTTCCCACATTCGGCATCGGTCAAGAACGTTCTTGCCGTTGGCGGTAAGAACGCGGCGTTCGTGGGCGTTGGTGGGGGAGGCAGTGCCGGGGACCATTTTCTTGTTGTTTGCAGATAGGTACCTACCTAGGGAGGTGTGAATTCCGGGTTATTTTTACCTGGAAACTTTCGGGAAGGAGTTTCGAGCGATCGGGCACATATGCAGAGTTGATTTTGCGGCGCATGTCGACACGAGGAAGTGCCAGCTAATGAGATAAGCAGGTTTTTGATGTACAGATGACGGTTACGAACCTTTTTCGGACATGCTGGTTCGAGTCCTTCGAGACAATTGAATGTCGTAGCAGTTCGGTTCGATGAAGTACCGGGCTACCCTTGCAATTCCCGGGTATTTGCATCCTTACCACGTGGTGGTGTAGGGATTAGAGGCCAGGGCTCCCTATTTTTCGGGACTCGGATTGAAAACGTGGGCATTAATCATCATGTGTCCGGTGTGTGACGACGTCGGTGCAAAGGAGAATAGTTATGTATGCACATGTGATAGATGCCTTGGAAAAACAGCAGGGTTCCATATCACACACATCAATCGCTGAGGCGTTGGCGTATCATCTATGTATGTTCTTGGCATTCTAGATTTGGATTGGTGCCGCACATAGTATAGGTTAGGTAGGTACCTACTGTCGACCTATCACCGTCTGATGGATATAGGTAGGTAAGTAGCCCTAGCACTTACTACGTAGGTATGCAATGTAGTGTTCCTAGCATTAGGAGGTACATAAAAGGCACAAAATACATAATATATGTATCAGGACGCCCCGTAAGATTTCCTACCAAGTCTTCCGTATCTCTTGCGTGTCAGGTGCAGGTGTGTGTGTGCTGTTCTGCGCGAACATGACAGCATAAGTGATCGCCATAGCAGACTCTAAAAACGTCGTTTTAAGCGCTAGGATTTAGGTCGATTCGTACCACAAAGTCCTAGTAGTGACACCTTCTAGAAAGAGGGGCAGCGCCGCTCGTCGCAAGGTTTCACCGTTGCTGTGACGTCGCTGTGGGAGATGCGCGAAATATTCTGTGCTTTGTGCGTAATGCGTCCAAGCGGTGACCTCTCAAGCGGTTGAAAGGGGTATGTGTATGTGCATGTATGTACGGATCAGTCTGGTAGAAGGTAGGTACCTAGGTAGCTAGGTAGGCATGCCTAAGGTTTGACAAGTTGAGCAGATCCTCAGCTCACAAGTCCGGACGAGATAATCATTTCTCAGTATAGCTACTAGGTACATCGACCTGACGCATGGCATGGCCGCCACGTGCTCATCCCTGTACGGTGCATTGACGCGTACCGAAATGAGTGCGGGAAGGGTCTCCAGGGGTCTCATTCGTCATTTCTCAACCTGTCAGGGACCGGAGCCCCTGATGGTTCAATTCATTCGTCAGTAATTAGAGATCAATGAATTATTAGTATGTTACAGGTCGGAGTCACCTCCTAAGTAACCTGGTCTCGTGTTGCATACGCTGCACGTTGCACCGCTCTAGTGTAGCGATGCATTCGAAGCTCTCCGATAGTTCTTTGTCGTTTTCAAGGCCTCGAATGGGTGAGCGTGGATTGTAAAAAAACCGTACTACTTAATTTAGGCATTTATATCCGAGGTGAAATTTTTATCAGGTAGGTAAGCAATCTATCGTCCATATGGCGGGGTGGACGAAAACGGCAGGAGAAAGGATGCCGTCCTTTTCCACCAGCCAAAATAGTAAAATTTTTATATTGCAAGTTGTTGAAGAAGGCTGAAATAGAAATGTAACACCTTCCTATGTGAATGTTATGGGATGCGTGTCTAAGCTTCAGGGGCGCAGAAAGAGCCGCATAGCTACTTTCTTCCAAGGGCTATGCTGAATGGCCTCTCTTTCTGCTTTGCTGACGAGACGTTTTTTTGGGGCGCGGGGAAAATGGATCCCGCTACTGGACCGAACCGCGCAGGTGTAGTTCAGTGGTTACAATGCACCGGTCTCCCCGATTGACCGATGCGTAGGGAATTGAAAAGTGCCAAGTCGCGCTACGAACCGCCATAAGCCCCTGGCTTGAGGTCCGAGCCAAGTAAGAATGATGGGTCCTGATCTAGACAGATCAACTCTAATCCTCCTTGCCGTGCGTGGGGGAAGCAGGGTATCTAGGATAACGGGAGTCTCCCGGCGGGGAAGCCCCGACATGAAAGTCCCGACGAGAAAGTGAGAGGGTCCTAGCCGAAGTCTTGAAGGAATGTCATGGCAGCTCCTGGTTCCATCCAACATGTACAAATACATTCGCGGTTGTATCATATTGCCTACTACCGATCACACGATGCTACACTTAAAGGGGGAATGGATGAGGTACAATTGCATTAATCTGCTAAAACGGATACCTAGTAGGTAATAGTCCACCCATGGAGACATCCTCCTAATACCTAATCGCCCGAGATGAAAATTGTCGTACACATTAAAGAAATCTATATGACCTCAAGTGTCAAAAAAAAACTACCTAGGCAGTTATACATGCCAAGAAAAGAAGCGTTCGCGTTATACATGAAATCATGGGGGTGCTGTGCCGTAGGACCAGAATGTCTGTCCGCAATTGGGAAGACAGGGAAGACAAGGGTTGATGGAGACCTGCTCTGATACACTGAAAGAAGATTTGACATAATCTTGTTGCAGTCTCATGTCGGTTAGATTGGACGAAATTAAATCCGTCCAGTATGTGGCCTAGGCCAACGTAAATGTCGTTGATTCATCATTGACGTGACAGCATGGCCGCTTTTTAGAACCATTAACTGCCATTGGTAGTTGTCGAGCTGTTAATAGTCGCCGTGAGAGCGGCAACTGTCATTTCCAGGCTCGCTTGGTGATCGGAAGTGGTAGCTGTACCGTAAAGACGGTCGGTAAAGTTGTCCGTGCCTTGCTGTGAGACAGAAGCCAGACGGTCAGTCCGCATGCGACTTGCATCTTCGGCGGTCGTAGTTGTTGATGAGTGACTAGATAGGATTTAAATCAGTAAGAAATTAGGTGGATTAGTTGGTGAATGTGACTAACGGGCCGGATGTGCAACTGCTCAAGTTGACTCCTACGGAAGATGTGCTAGGCATTTTGAATAGAGAAAGTGGATATGACGGAGCGGAGCTTGTTAAGGTCCAAAAGTGTTATATCGGGACGCGGGCCGAAGGCGTAGGAAGAAGCGGGACAAGTTAATAGTAAAGAATTGGAAGGGATTGTAAAAGACGGGGTGGCTTGATGTTCCTGATATCTTTCAAGTTCAAGCTCATATGGTTAAGGAGAGTCTTTTGGATGTCGTGGAATTGAGCGGGATAGAGACGTCAAGATAGATGGCGAAAGCTCATATTTATAAAAGTATGGTTCATACCTAGGTGGTCTACTCCGGAGAGATCGCCCCAGTCTTAACCGCAACCTGCGGCCCCGAGGAACTGAATAACGAATATTGTTAACGATCTACTAGAGCAGGTACGCATCTTTGGGACCCATACCTATCCATGATCGACTGAATGCTTGTTGGGGGAGGTATTCCGGTTGTCTTGCTGCAAGACAAGGTAGGTGGTCTATACAAGAAAGGAATCGAACATGCCCTGTAGAGAGACAATCCTTGTATGTGTGGAATGGTCCAGATTTAGGAATCGCCGTAACAGGTTGAACTAATCAGCTGAGATCGATGTTCCGGGAGCAAATTAAGACGTCGATTGAATTGACGAAATCGTTATCAGGGGACCAGAGGGGTGGCCAGGGGAGTGATATGCATAGGTATACGTATTTGGTTCAAGGTACCTATAGTTGCTCAAATAAGATATACCAGTGCCGAGCGAAGATAATTTAGCAATGCCAGATACTTCGTAGAAATAGAGAGTGAGTGGGGAGGGTGTCTCGTTAGAAGGCCGATGAACGTTAAGAAGTATTCATGTAGCTTTGGGGGTCAAGTAAAGTAAGATGAACCTACTAGGTAATCATCTGTAGGCTGCACCATTTGTGGTTCGGAAAGAAAGCAACTGCAGGAGGCGGCGTGGTTCGCCAAGCCAAGGCGTCTCTTGTGTTCTCAGCCTTATTCCAGGAACAAGGGGTTACTTAACAAGGTACCCTTCTCGAAACCACCTGGGCACCCTCGGGACTCGCAAAATTCATTAGGGCTTATCCAGCTTCTCCAGTTAGGTCTTCGATGAATTGAAATCCGGTGGTGGTCCTGGAAGGGAAAAGTCATCCCCCAGTGCCTAAGTAAGTGCTTACTTTGTTTTTCTTAGTCGCCTCAAAATAGTAGTATACCTGAAACAACTCTAGGTCATTACTTGGCAAGATGATGAGATAAGTGCAAATAGGTACGTATGCTGGTGAGATTACCTAGAAATTTGTCCCGACAACCCCGTATAAAATAATTCACGGTTGACTGAAACATGCAAGCAACCCCATTGAAACGTTCATAATTAAGAATGAGCGACGATTTTCCAGGCGTATTTTGGACCTATTCGTGTCCAAGGTCGGTCTAAGGTGACATCGGGGGGTATTGTCCTGCCCAAAGATGTGGCCTCGGTTGTGGCCAAATTGTCAGCATACTAAAAGGAATTTATTTAACTTGCAGACGCTGCGGACACACAGCTGGGTAGAAGCTGGGATGGTCGAACTCCCAACCCCTGTATTATTTCTCGATTACTTTCGCTTCTCAAATTGTGCAATCCAACACTAAAAATTTTGGATTCATACATATTTACCTACTAGGTAGATAGTTTATCTTTTTAAGGTGTAATTATCCTGAAATTTCAACATTAGCTATGCCACATGACGAGAATTGTGGTTGAACTCCACCCGTATGCAGTTCTAGTTCTTTTCGCTGTTTATGAAATGAGATGTAATTTATGTTGTTGAGCATATTGATGCACGAGACCTCGATTGGGTCTCATGCATCGGCTACCTCTTAAGACGCCTGGCTAGTGTGCGAACTTGAAGGACGGAAAGAAATGATAACATACCTTGCAGGGGTTCATGTCAACATTATGGTCACCACGTCAGAGACCCCTAACTTTCGGTCTAGGAAACCCTGGAATACGCATTGTTTCTCTTTACTGCCAAGAACGTCAGGCTCCAAAGTTGGCGAATATCACTTTCTATCATACGAGTTAGCTAGTTGCCTGCGATCGCTTGGGGAGTTATGACGAACCAACTGGGCTCTGTCCTTCCGGGGGTGACAGGGCTCCCATAGGTGTGTAATGAAAGCTGCCGTCTTGGTAGGTCCAACTCCAGACTTCACTGCTTAAGTGCTCACGATTGGCATCGATTAGGTCCCATAGATGATTGTACGCTTCAAGAACACGTCCGTGTAGCACAGTCGAAGTACAAAACGCCAGTTTCTCGAATTCGCACCGACCGAGCTGCTTCTCCAACCCTGCAGCCATCATGGCAAGTTGCCAACCCCAGACGACCGTGCCATGATATGCGGTCTCTGCGAATTCTCTTACGTCGACAGATCCCTCTCCGTATGCCGGGTTTGAAACCACCAATCCGACAGCCGTAGAAAGACCGAGAGGAAAGGGACGCAGTATGTTGTCGGCCACCTGAGAAAGAAAAGCCGAGAGTTGGGTCTGGTCGGTGCCGTTGAGAAGGAAGAGCCGGAAGCAATCATCCGTGTTCATGACCCTCACGATAGGTTCACGGCTTTTGCCATCAAGGGCTAGACCGTGAAACACGACCGGCGAGTTCAAATCAGAAAATTTGACATCACCTGGAAATCCCGACACTTTGATGTAGTCCTTGATGAGACCTTGAGCCTTTTCTGCTGTTATATTAACTTGGAAGAAAGAAAGCGTATTGTCTTCCCAAACTACAGCACGCTTGCCGGCCACCGTTTCCCAGTCGACATGCGAAGGGAAGAAACCATTATTCGATAACGATGCGATCGATCTGAGCGCCGCAGGGACTAGGGCTGTGTTCACGTCGTACGGTATACGGCCTCCGCCTAACCCATTACCACTATCACGCCACTGTCCCACTGCTTGACCCTTATTGAGATGAATGAGGTTCTCCTTCACGGGAGATTGCTCGAAGCCGGCGGTCAACTTCATGATCTTCTCCGCAGTCGCTAGAATAAGATTTTCATAACCCAGTCCACGATTTCCGGGGAGGACTGATGCTTTTCTAGCAAAGAATATGTCCCGACGAGTTCTTCCGATGGCGGAATTGACGAAATATTCATTCATGGCAATTAAAAGGAAGAAATCGGTATCAATCATCTTGTAATCGCACGAGGGGTCTGTGCTGTCAATGCCTTGCTGTTCGTTCAATATCGAAGCGTAGTCGCCGATAGTCTCTTCATGACATACAGTGCCATCTTTTGCGTTGATACGCTCAACGGCCGCCTCTAGAATAGCCTCCACCGCTCCACCATCCCCCTCGCTAAGGATAGGCTGCAGGAGAAGAAGCGAGATTAGACTATCACGCCCAAAATATGTTAGGAATCTCCAAGCACCGGCAAGTAATTTCGTACTATAGGAGAGGAAGGTAAGAGACTTGACGTCCTCTTCATTTTGCGAGATTAAAGATTTGGAGGCGGAGTTAATTACGTCCATCGTTCCGAGCTGGTCAAGTTGAGGATAGTTGGACCATGCATTAAAGATGTACGAGCCGTTTTGAAAGTGAGGATGGCCATCCTGAATAGAGATTGATGTCTGATTAAGGCTGTGGAATGTCAAGAATGTCTCTGTCGTCTTGTCGAGCCACTGCCGATTGAGCTGGATGCCTCCATCGGGCAGTTGCTGAGTCTTAATCGCATCCTGGATCTTAGGCGAAAGGGTACTTGGACCTTCTATAAACTCCCTTATGGTCCTGATGCTCCCCAAAATGGCCAGGTCAAGTATTGCCGACGAGTTAAGGGTTAGGACGCCAGTCACGCCGCCGACAAGCGGATTTAAGGTGCGATTTGTGCGGGCAATGTTCTCAAGCCCTATGCCGAGCGTTCCGTTGAGACCATTTACGGGCGAGAAATAAGCCACAATGCCACTGTTCCCAGCAGGCCAAGCAATCTAAGTCGTGTCAGTAACACTGCTGGTTTATATTGATCGAGTGAGCTAATTGGGTCATAGTTCTCACAAGAAGTCTCGGATTAATGATCTTGGGATCACTATTAGCAAGAGGGCTTGTTATGACGACATGGCTTGCACTACTGCAGTCGGAAATGAAGTAATTCTCATAAGGAGGATCACTTAGGTGGAGATAATTAGGTGTACACGCCTCCCGATTAGTGTCTTGAGCTGGGGGTTTTCCGCCCGAGTCGGGGGTCTGAACCTGAACCAACTTTCTATTATTGCAACTTTGAATTATTATTAATAGAGATCAGAAAGCCATTGCCAACAAAGAAACTTACGAAAAGTCGTGAGGTAAATAGCAATCATTACCACACTTCAATGTGCGCTTTTTATCAATGACCGGACACAAGGAATTACCTTGGTAGCATGTATGCTTTTATCATTAGAAACGGCCTAGATAGGGTCCGGGGTATAAATTGGACTCACGTCGTTAATTGAGTATCTTGAATTACCACATGGCAATAAATCGTCATTGATAATAGGAGTGGATGGGTGTTTGCGAGGCAATAATATTGCTAACAGTAGTCCTGCCAGTATGGTAACGAAGATAATGAGCTGACATGACCTATTCCTCCTTGAGTCGTTGTAATGACGGTTCCATGCTGCTATCGCTGGCCGCCCGGGAGCTGAGCGTGGAGTGGGCTCGATAGTTTCAAGCTGAATACTTAGCGGATCGTCTTCTAGCAAAGCCCTGTCGTCATCGCGCGTCCGGCGATTGTTGCTGGCTTGTTGAAATATGGAGCCTACGATAGGTACCTTCAAAAGACCTGGGTATTGTCTTGTAGACATATTCTTAGATCAGACTTCGCGCACTGTTGCTGACGGTAACGGCAACTCATGAGACTTAGATTGAGCGACGCGTCATTAATGTAGGCAGTACTGGAGATCGTATCTCGTAAATGGAAGTACGGTATGTTGAAGAATTAATTGGGCGACACGAAGGATCATTACAGATATTAGGTAATGCATGAGTAGTACAATGTAGAAGGGTTGTTGGAAGGTTGAAGTTCAGTTCAACGCTGACTGCGCTAATAGCGCGTCAAAACGGAAATTACGGAAGTCGGGTCCACTAAAAATAGCCGCCCCGGATCCGATTTTCAGGTACAGCAGGAGCCCCCTAGAGATCCCTACACAGTATCCCGAATTTTATGCAAAATATCCCTTTATGTATTGTACTTAGAAATTCTGTACCTGTAATAATAAGTCTCTACATATCCTTATGAAGCTATACTCCATCCCACAAGAACCCCTCCATAATCCTCACCACAACCCCAAGTAACCCAGACAATAGGTAGGTAAATATCTCACCCCCTCACATCAGCACCAACAGCCTCCTTCAACCTCGCCAACCGCCCCTCCACCCACGCCTTCTGCCACGCCTCCACCTTTCCCCCGAGCACAACACACGTCGTCGGCTCAAGCAACAAGACGCCCCTCGCAACAACCGCACCCCTCTTCACCATAATCTTCTCGCCGATATTAAGCGAGCCGACACCAATCCGATCCACGCGCTTCAGCTCCATCGCGTGCGCCTTCTGGCCCCTGCAATCCTGCAGCACGAGCCGGTGCGTCGCGCCCTTCGACGCGGCCGCCGCGCTCGCGATGCTAGCGTTGAGCGCGGCGTCCCTACCCGTCGCGGTCTGCGTCGCGCTGACCGAGCCGTCGTCTTCCTCTTCCCCGTCGTTGCCCGTCGGTAGCCGGATGATCTCGCGACCGCGGGTCTGTTCGCCGCGCGCTATGGCCTCGATCTCCTCTACCTGCTCCCACTTGCTCTTGGACAAGTTGTCGATGTCCAGGACCTGGACGGGGACGTCGCGGGATAGCTTGGTCTCCTTGATCTCCGGATTACCTAAGTTTGGCGGGAACGCGGGACCGGGGGCCTCGAAGAGGGTCGGGTTGGTTAGGTCCGCGGCGAGGAGACGGGTTTTCACGGTCGCGACTAGGGCGGGGAGCGGAGGGAGCGGGTTCCGGTTCGGTAGAGCGCTTTGGATCCATGCTAGTGATGGGACGGGTAGACCTTGACTTTGCAGGCTGGCGCGGATTTGCGCTGGTAGGTCTGCGCTCATGGTGATAGATGTTCTCTAGTAACCTTGTATATGCAAGCCCTCATTTTCCTTAAGGTTCGCGTATATGCATAAAGAGGTTTGTGTTTAAGATTGATGAGGTTAATTTAAACTATAGCTCGTAAAGTTACGATTTAACGAACTACCGAATCTAGATAGACCCTTGAAAAGTGACGTACGATGGAAATTCGAAATATCCCGTGGAAGGTGTTACCTGGCAATCTCGCCTGGCAGCGGATGATAGCTTCCGCCACAGTGGCTTCGCGCGCTATGATCGCCGGGAGATCTGCCACTAATGCACTAAAGCCTCACTAATCCTCACCTGGTCAGCTAGCCTGACCCTAAATCTGTAATCTGTACTTTGTAAACTTCCAGCAACATCATCGCGACGATACTCCTATATTCTCCTAGCTGCTTACGTAAAAAGTCGTTATTATCATTATCGGAGACATCCACCGTCTACGACAAAATGTCCACGATAGCCACTCCCCGCGACCCCCCGCGGCGCGTGCCCTCGTACCAAGGCACGACGCCAACATCGTCCACGCGGCCCAGCCTCGACGCATCGCGGTCACCCATCGGCTCGCCCAAGCTCACAGGGAGTCCCAACCTCTCCGCCTCCGCCGCGCCTCCGACCGCCCCCGGATCGAAAAGCAATCGCGCAGCCCTGCGCGCATACTACAACCTAAAGAAGCAAGCGGCGCCCGTGGTCGAAGTGACGGATCCGTTCGGCGAGACCTCGGGCGGGCCGCAGCACGAGCAGTACTCTGAAGTGGCGCCGAGCGAGATGGATAAGCCGGACTTCGACGCCGAGTCCTTTGTGAAGAAGGCGCTGGCTGAGAATGGCATGGAAGAGCTGTTGAGATTATACACGCGGGTGTTGGGGGAGACGAGGGCGCTGGATGCGGAGAAGAAGGCGTTGGTTTACGATAATTACAGCAAGTTGATTACGGCTACGGAGACGATACGGAAGGTTGGTGTCTTTTTTTCTTTTACTCTTGTTTCACATGGCTTGATTGGGATGGATTGGATATACTAGAGGGATGTCGAGGTGCTGATGACCAATGAAGATGCGAACGAATATGGACCCATTGAACCCGATGGCTTCTACGCTTGACCCGGCGATTGCCCAGATATACTCGCAAGCCTCGGCGATACGAGATTCGTTACGAAAGTCGGTCCCCCCACCCGATGCGGCTAGGACTGCGGCGGAGGAGGCACGAAAGCGAAAAGCGCGGACGAAACAACTTGCCACTGAAGTTTTAGACGCCCCAGATAAGATACGAGCACTCGTCAACGAAGGACGGTTAGAGGATGCAAGACAAGCGTGGAAGATGCCGCGGAGGCTTCTATTGGTATGGAAAGAGCAAGGCGTCGGTGGCATTGACGTCGATGCGTGCATAGAGGATGGCGATGCAGCTCTCAAAGGCGAGCCGAGTAAAGGAAACTGGCGAGACGTGAATGGGAACGATTCGTGATTATTGGATATTCATAACTGGTGCAGCTGGTGATACCCCAATCATCAAGGCCCGTGGTCTCCCATCGCCATCCCCTGGATTATCTCGGCAAATTGAGTAAATCTTCACCAGCGTTACATGATTGTCATCTCAATTACCACAATATCGATGCACTCGGCAGGTCCCGGCCCAAAACTCTAAGCCAAATCCCTAACGTCAATCACTTCATACGGGTCGCGGTCCGCCTTACTGACGATGATGCGAGTATTTCCAAACGCCGTGGTCTCCAATTCAACTTCGAGCATCGGTTTCAGTCTCGTCTCTAGGTACTTCCGTTCGGAGTTGCTGTGGAACACGGTCACCACAATTTGGCCGAGCTGCGTGTGTCTAAGCGCGTAATGATGGGCCATCTCGCCCGTGACCAGGACCTGCGCATCGGTATCCTTCAGCACATCTGCGCCAGAGCCCGCACAGACGGCCACCTTGGAGATTTCTTGCGTGCTGGTGAGACCCTTCAGGGATGGCGGTAGGGCTACCATTATGTAACGCTGGTTGCCTATGCCTGCAGAGAGACGTTTTAGGAGAGTTTGCAGGTTGATGGGCCGGCCTAGTTCGACCGTTCGTCCATATCCGGTATATTCATGTCCTTCAGGTAGCGGTCGGGAGATAGGCTGAACTACCGTACGCTTGGCCTGATGTTCTCCGTCTAGAAGAATGTCACAAAGCCAGTCATTCAACCCTCCACTGGCCGCATCCATAGCCGTGTGGGGACAGTAGACCGAAATTCTCTCGGCAATTAGGCGCAACAGGAGAGTTTGCATTGGGTCTTTAGTAGTAAGAGATTTCAGGGGTCTGAAGATGACCGGGTCTGTACAACATTGGTTAACGATAATATGATCTGACCCGGTATATGTGGTGGTGAGGCGCAATTCATACGGTAGCAAACGATCATATTAGCGCGCTCTTTCAGAGCCTCATCGACAACAGCCGACGTCAGGTCATTCGTTAGAAGAACTGTGCCACCAACCTCCTTTTCAATTTTCGCCGACGGCGGCGACGGCGCTTGTCCAAGTAGTACTACGTCGGCGTTAGTTTCATAAGTGATAGTATAGATCATATAGGCTTGTCCTACATCCCGTATTATCCCATGCGCTATCCGCGAGCTCTTCCGGGAAGCTATACGCAGCTAATATTAGCCTAACCAGTGTATGATATATGTAACATATAAGGGGTCGACAATGACTACTGACAGTATTTTCATCGCCGTAACCACCGCATCAGTCAGAGAGGTTGGGGGTGGTGCCGCCATGATTTTAGATGTGCTAAAGCCACGCTCCTGTAGTATGAACGTGCGACGAGCCTTGAAGCTCTGTGTTTGCCCTCGCAGTACAAGGTTATAACTTCCACCAATGTTTGTGAAGTTAGATATCGACTTTGCTCCCTTTATATTATAAGTATAGGTACGAGAAGGCGAGCAGAGTGAGATGTGCTTCGGTAAAATCTTAAGACTATTAGGCTGTCGATAGAAGACCATCGTATTCGGAGCCTACCGTCTCTTCTAAATACGTCACTTGGCATTCACCAACCAGCAAGTTCAGATAAATTGAGAGACAGTATAGCTTATCTTATCGCAACACGCAACCACAGCCACTAGATGAAGAGTTGACACGGGCCACATCCAGCTTCCGCCTCAACAGCTTCAGCCACTTATCCCCACACCCCACACCCCACTTACCCTCCATCGTCGGAGTTGAGTCTCGATTACCAACCGAGATCTTATTTCATCATCGCGGGGCAATCGTCCCTTGTTATCCCCTTTTTAAGACACGGCATCTCGCGATTCAACAAACTCGACGATCCGATTCTTCCTTCCTTCTGCCATTGTGCATGCGCAACCACGGTTAATCCATACATCGACAAGATAGATTTCCCCACGTGCAACACCTCAAATCGCACAAGATGAGCGAATCCACGATAACCGAGACGTCGCTCAAAGCGGCGCTCACCGAGCGCCTGCAGGCCGTTCACGTCGAAGTCACCGACATGTCCGGTACGTCGTTTTCCGCATTGTCATCCCACCTTCCTCCCCAATTTCTCCCCAGTATTTCCCATCCATGTATAATTCCCAAACCACACCCACAACCACAACCCCATCCCATCAACCCCCCCCCCCCCCCCTTCCTCACCAAACCAACACTAACCACCACCCCCAAACAGGAGGCTGCGGCCAATCCTTCACCTCACTAATCGTCTCCCCGACATTCACGGGCCTCAACAGCCTCAAACGCCACCGCGCAGTGAACGCCGCAATGAAGGACGAGATCGCGGCGATCCACGCGTGGAGCGCGAAGTGCCAGACGCCGCAGGAGTGGGAGCGCGACAGGGCGAGCCGTGGGACCGAGGGTCCGCCTTTGAATGGGACTGTGCAGGGGCGGGTTGAGGGTGTTGATGCTTGAGTTGCGCACGGTGGGATATCTAGTGGAAAAGAATGGCATGACGAGGCGAGGCGAGGAAACTGAGACGAATAGAATGGTGTGTGCGGGTTCGCTGTCGCCTAGGTAATTACGATGGATGGATGTTGAATCGCTTTACGAGACGTGTACGATACGGGTGGTGGATAGCTTGGCTTGGCTTAGGTCGCGATCTGGATTTGCAGTTGAGTGTCCACCTACAGAGCTGGATTTCGATACCATCGTTGGATGGACGTCATATGGACCAAATGCCCATTGTGTGGAGGACACGGACGAAGGAACGAGCAAGAGAGCTACAGGAATACCCCACGTAGGCGAAAAGGACTGCAAGACGGACATGACATTGATTTACAGAAGACGTGGATAGGTACACATAGCATTAAGCTTGGAAAGAAGTAATAGTCGGGAACCGTTCTTCACGTCATGATTTCTCATCTAATAAACTAAGCCATGGTCTCGTAGTCAATCAATCAAAGTACCAATATTTTAACTCTTCCGTAAGGGAACCTTTGCCCCTGACAGACAGACGCACCGTCAATATATTTCGACACCCTGCGCAGCTCACTCTATCGTAGATCCAATAGGTTATCCTCTCCTTTCTCTCGACCGCCATTAGCCTAGGGATTTGATGTCTCAGCTTGGTGGGGCATTTGGTCTCGTTTCGCCTAGAAGAGACCTAGTAGATCCTCATTGTTAGAAGTTTTCTGTTCTGTACTTGCGCTTCCGCTCGCATGACCGAGTTGCACCCCTGCGGGCGGAGGTTGGCTCGATCCGCTCAAGTCCAGCCCTCCAAACCCATTCATGATATCGTTGACGCCGCCGCCGCTGGCACCAGCAGCGCTGCTTTGAGGAGCTGGGGCATCGAAGAGACCCATCATATCTGCCATTCCGCCCGACGGAGCTCCGGCAGCCGGGCTTGCTACACGCTCCGGTGTAGCAGATGCCGAGTTCTGCTCTTGCGATGCTGGCGCTGCGCCATCGAAATCGATATCCAAGAGATTTTCGATGTTGTTCTGTGACTGCTGCCCGTTTTGGGCAGCACCGACCGATGCTGCGATAGGGTTCTCAGCTGCGTTCTGTCGCTGTTCCTGGATGGCTGCTCGTTGGATCTCGTCGGCGCCAAAGCGTCCTTTGCCAACAAACGACTCGGGGGGCTTGTGGTAGACTGATGCTAATGTCGATAGTTCGCCAAGAAGTTGCTCCAGTAAGGTTGCTGGCAAGCTTGTCATTGTTGTTGTGATGGCTGGCTTTGGTGATAGAATGATATTCTAAAGTTTATTAGCTTGGCAGCCAAGGAAAAAAGGGGGGAATTGGGAACACTATACCTTTGCAACATCGAGATCTCCTGACAGAAGTCGCCAATAGACATATGCTCGATCTCGAATATCCGGGTTGTCATTCTCTGCCGTCGCTGCTTGTAGAACCTTCTGCACTAATCCCTGATTGTTGCTTGGCTTTTTCAAAAATAACTTGACAACAGCCGTCAAAATCTGTAATTGTGTCTGTGTAAACTCTTCCATGAACCCCTCCACGAAGCTCGCCAATATCTCATCCGCGTTATTGATCTTTTCCGCGTATTCGCCGACAATCCATATCAGTGAGCCCCGTGCATCAGGTTCATCGAGTTCGTCGATGTGATTGCAGAGCGTCGGGATAACCCCTTCATAACCGGGATACTTCCGGAGAATATCCTTGATGACGACAATAACCTCTTGAACCACGTAGTTAACCTTGGTAGCAATTAGGTCTAGTAGCGCATTGACGCATTTTTCGCTTGCGCCCTCGATCTTGATCGCGACTTGCCCGATAGCCTTAACAGCTCTTCGAACAAAGTCCATATCCACTTCCAAGGCGTACTCCTTCAACTCGGCCAGTAGTTGTTCATAATTCTTCTCGTTTGCTATCCTCACCATGATCTCGAGTTTCTGAAGTTTGACATACGGAGGATCGTTATATTTGCAGAAAAATACTCTTAGTTCCTTGCTAAGAATATCGGGCTTAGCTTGCAAAAGGAGATCGATGTTCCGTAGCGCGACATATTGAACTTCAGGGGCGGATGCGACGAGGGTGACTATGCATGTTAGCAATATTCCCAGAAGGGGGGAACGGATTACTAACCTAGAGGAGGTGCCATCTTTTTCAGGTATTGTCTCACAAGATCGCCATTAATTAATCTCATGTGAATAAACACTACTTTGACAGCAGCAAGCACAACGCTTGGGTTGACATGTTGGAACTGTGGTGCTACTCTTTCACAGATGTGCTCCGACTCCTTCACATCTTGGGGTGGATAATCTGCCAATGTCGAAAGGATCGTCACCCTACCCCATTCAGTACACTCATTGAGCGCCATGAGTAACTTCTTGAGTGTCGCTGGTGTTATAACTAATGCCCTCGTCTCCGGTGCCGTCTCGGCTATCTCTGATAGTGCTTGCACCGAATTCGCAACAACCATGGGATTGGGGTCGCCGATCATCTCCTGGAGAATCTCTAGAAATCCGTTTTCTATACACATGGAAGGATTCAAATCGAAGAGCTTCGCGACACAGATAGCAGCTGTTTTTCGTACGTATGGTGACTCGTCTCGTAGTGTTTTCCTCAGGGGTTCTTCCATGTAGTCCACCATCTTATCTACTCGGATGCAGCCCATTGTCCTAATAGCAAGTGCTCGTATGAGAGGGTTCGGGTCTTCCGAATCTTGGACGAACGTGTTGACAGCGAGGATACACAAGTCGGGATGGGACTTCGCATAGTTCCTGTCATCCTCGTTAGTATATAGTTCTAGTAAACTTTCGGATATAATAGTTACTTACATGAGATAGAGGTAGACTAGCTTCTTTTGGTCGAGGTCACCAGTCGCGATATTCTTCAGGACATCTGGAAATAGTTGGGAGACATCTTTGCCTAACGTCATAGCCATAATAGTTTTCTGGATTGATTCTTTCCTCTCCCACGCATATTGAGATACCAGGCCGGCTCGCAACTCGAACGTCTCGCCCTTCCTAGGTACGGCGAAAGCGCCACGAATGCGACTGACCGCCGACATTTTGACGTTGAGGCTGGAGACTTATAAAGTGTGAGGGAAAGCGAAGGAACTCCGGGGAGAATAGGAGGCCCTTTCAGGGCTAATAACGGTATATTGAACCTCTTTCTTGTATAAGGTTTCGTTGTAGATATCCGTTTGTATCGTGTATAAAAAGTTGTCGGGTTAGGTGATGACACTTAACAGTTGAAAGTTGAAAGGACGGATGCCACCCATTCAAATCGACCCCTGGCCGTTTCTCGTTTACCTTTCAACCTTACAAGGAGGGTCCTGATATTCGTACCCGCTAAAGTTCACAAGCCACAAAATTTGTAATGCACTAGCCACAGTTTATGCATTATCCAAGATTTCCAACACTTGGTCCAAGCTCCTTGATTCTACTAGTACCTTTACCTCATTTATACGACGAGTTCAGCGAGTTAATCCAAGATGCAAAACTGTACTCTATAATTACACTTATAATTATAAGAATTTGCTTCGAAGATATTGAACGCTCAAAGCCTAGTATCACATGGTGAGTTAAGACAATTTACTTTGTCTTAGTATATTCTGATCCAATCCAGGCAAATTTCCCGAATCTCCGCCGACTATTCATCGAGGCAAGGTCAGATGACGAGGAGAGGGAAGTTTCACGTCGAGCTGTGAGTAGTACCATCTCTAGCTCATCTGAAAACGTTCACCATCACCTTGTATAAGTCAGCTAACGTACGGTAGTTTTACAATGCTGTCTTATTCATGGGCTCTGTCGCCGTCTTCAGTCTCGTAGCTCAGAAGATGAATGCTAGCAAATAGGGATATCTGGAACGTAATTTTTTACACTCATTAAAATCTCTTCGTGACATGTTTGAGAACTGCGCCTTGGTATCTCCCTAATCCGACTCACTATCACTGCCAAGGAAGGCCAAATCGGCCATCCGTTTAGACACTCGCGGGTTTGCCTTCACTTCGTCCTCATCCTCATTATCGTCGTCGTCTTTGACATCATCATCCCCGTCGTCTTCAATCTCTGCCTTGGAGGTTTTCTTCGTAGTTTTGCTCCTGGAGACACGACCACCGCTTCCGCTGCCCCAGTTGCGATTCATTTCGGTGACAGCTTCTAGATCCGCCATAAGCTCTCTCTTCTCCTTAATCTCCTTCGCCTTAGCTTCTGAAAAGCGACCCTCGATCCCTATGTCGCGAAGTAACCCCCTTAGGTGTCTGATCTTAGCTTTACTATCGTCGCCGTACTTTTTCAGCTCAATGCCCCAAATTTTGCGAATTCCGCACTTGAGTAACTGCCCTTGCAACTTCTTGATCTCCGTATCGTCCCCCGATACTTCCTTCGCCTGCTTTGGTTTCGATGCTCCCTTTGGCTCTTTAGCCTTGCGCTTTTTTGGAGGCGGATCGTCTATGACGGATGATAGTGAAGAGTCTGAGTCTTCAGCTTTTGCTGCTTTGCTATCCTCAACATCTACATCCTTCGGCTTAGTACTCTCGTCAGGTTCTTCAGGCTTAGGCGCCACTGCGACCTTTGCTTCCGGGCTGGACTCGGCCTTGGCATCATTGGTGTCTGACGCCGCTTCATCCTTCTCATCGACTGCTTCATCTTCGCTAGCAGGTTTTACTTTGGCGCGCTTAGGGGTAGGTTTCTTCGCAGGCGCTGCGCGTTTGCGCTTCTTGCTCACAGGCGAGTCTTCCAAGTCGCTAGCTTCCTCGTCTTGAACTTTCTTAGGTTTGCGACGGGGTGTAGCTTTCTTCGAGCCCTTCGCCTTCGCCTTCGCCTTTGACGTTGCCTTCTTCTTGGGCTCTTCCTCCGAGTCGCTTAGGTCGCTTAATTCAGACTCGGTCTCTTTTTTGTTGGTTTTAGGACGAGATGCTGACTTCTTCGCTTTAGTAGCCTTCGGCTCGTCCTCTGACGATCCAAGATCGCTCAATTCAGAGTCAGTGTCTTCTTTCTTAGCTGCCTTCTTCGTAGAAGCTTTCTTCGGCGCCTCCTCGGGTTCGCTCATGTCATCTAGGTCGCTAAGTTCTGATTCGGAGTCCTCCTTCTTGGACTTAGTTTTCTTAGGCGGCGCAGCTCGAGCGGCCTTCTTCTGGCGCTTTGGTATAGGAGATGGCTCGTCGCTCGATTGGCGCTTCACTCCATTCTTAGATTCAGACTTAGCCTTAGCTGCTGGGGAAGATTGTGGAGCTTCTGCCTCTTCGGCTAACAATTTAGACTATAAGATATGATATATAAGCGACCATGTACTATAAAAATAATTAGATAGTAGATATATTTTGCGCACTTACAACAAATTCCTTAATTATCTTCTTGCTTCGCGCGTCCCACTCCGATTCTTTAAAGAATCCTTTCTCCAGATCACCCTTCTCTTCGACGTACTGGCGAACATTGTTCACGGTCACATCATCCCAGCCTCGTTCATCGACGATGGAGCGAACACCGTCGCGGAGATCATTCTCAAGAGTTTTGGCGGATGGCGACATGGTATTGAACACAGAGAGGACTAGAACAATGGGGCAATAGGACAATGGATAGGTGGTGTTGATTAATGCCTTATCGCGTAGGACATCACACTACCTAGTAGGTTATGTGCCGAATGAAGACTTATTGACTCCTAAGTAAGTAGCTATCTAACATTGGCTAAAAATGCCTATGCAGGTATGTACCTAGATAGATGGGATTTTTGATACGGCGTTGGCGCGTCTTGAAGGAATTAGGTCGCGTGGTAGTAGGCGAAGGCTGTATGTGACTCGTGAGTGGATGAGGGATGAGTGATGAGTGGAGAAATTGAATCTAGTGGGACGATTAGGTTAAGTTGGACAACCGGATCCAAGACAAGGTCCTGCTCCACACTTTCAAGCCAATTGACCAATTAAACCCAGGTTGAGTCTCAAAGCCAAGACTTACCAATCCGATATATACATAAATAACCTAAAGAAATATTTTTGCTTGTATCTAGGAATACTCAATTAGAATGTTATTATTTCCTTAGGGGGGTTCTTCCTAATCAACGATATGGCGCATTTTACATTACGGTGATCAGACTCCATTCCAGTGAGGTCGGTTGATATTTTCCCACTCGAAGCTTTTACTCTACTATATACCTAGGTAGGTAGGTACGGACAATCCAACTCTCAGTGAGGTCTAAATATCCGTTGTTTAGAATATCGTTCCTATTCCAAAGCATGCTACATACTAGGTAATATAGTTACAAATGAGGCAGCCTTCTGGTGTAGGAGTCAGAACCGCAACTATCATCTCTACGTATTCCACGACAATTTGTTGAAGATCAAGAAATATGATATTGGCTACAATGAAGAATATGTTGTCTTCGTTATTCGCTGTTTCTATTGTAGGTAGGTACCCTCAGGATTCATCAGCATCAACACTTTTCAGAGAGCCTACCTTATCCTTCAAAAAGGGGATATCCCTGTTATGGCCGATTACATATGTCTGCCGTGCAGATCATTTGAAGATTCTTAGTACCAAATAGGTACCTAGTACCTAATAAACAAGGCTCTCCTTAAGAACCTCCCAGGTACGAATCAACCACAACCATCCACTATTAAACACTTCATCATGACAACTCAACGACTAATAACGCATCTCTTTTAGGGGGGTGACTACTAAGTTCATATTACGAAAAGGTATCATATACAACGGACATATCTAGGAAATGATGTACCATCATACATTTTCCTTTTTCAAACACTTAGTCGATAAATGATTGGCTGGTCACTTCGTGCATGAGAGCTGAATGTGATAGATCATGTCCTTGTGGCGGCTATTCTACACCAACGGATCGGGACGCTGCCGACGCTGCCTACCTGAGTAGGTACCTACCTAGTTTGCATTCTAGGTACCTGTGATCTATCATATGTTGAACACGTGTAGGTGTCTACCTGAAGGAAAAAGAACAGTCAAATGTGTTTTCGTTCCCAAATATCTAAAACTGAAATTATAACTCGTCTATAGGTAGTGTTTATGCAATATCACCATCACTTCTTGATGCCTGAAGAGTATAAAAAAACAATTAGGTAGTCAGGTGTCGAGCGAGCAAGATCCAATTTGGCATTAACATTCACATTCCCTGTCGTTTTCTCACCCCCCACCTACAAGATAACCCAAATAAAGCAAAAAACATGATTCCATCTAGACCGAATAGTCATCAGCATAGTTGGACATGGATTATAGGTAATAAGAACCTCGGAAATATGTGGAAATACCTAAGCCCCTTGGGTTACCTCATGGTGTTAGTTTATTCGCCAGTCTATCAGGTAAGAAAGGTACAATCATTCCCAACAGCATAATGTATATACAGCCCTGCCGCCGCCCGGTGGCAGTACGATTACCTGCATTTGCCTTAGCTCACCCCCAGGAAAGATACCGTTTGTACACCAACCTTCCTTTTACATGTTTTGCTCAAGCTTCTTTTCTTCTTTTCTCATCCACCTTTCCCCATTTCCATTCATCCACCACAACAACTCCATTCATTCATCACATCCCATCCAAGATATTAGTATCAGGTTGCTACCTGAACCTTTCCGCCCAGTTCGCAGTTCGAAATATCAGAACCAACATGGCGACAAATAATCATGGTCACTCTATTAAGTCTGCCAAACAAATTCGCTACATCATTGATCATGTCTTCCTCCCATCGCAGTTGCCTCAAGAAGATGACTACGAGGACAAGCTCGAGGAAGCCTTACTACAGACCGTACTAGCAGCACTCCGCAGCTTTAAGGATCATATGGAAGGTTATGAGCCAGATGTGCTCGACTCGATTATCAACTCGTTACGGTCCCTACAGCAGTCCGTATCTGACGAGAAGGGTCTCCTGCAAGCATTTGACGAGTTTTTGATAAAAAATCGTTAGTACCATATCTAAATTTTCACCTAAACACGGTATACTAATTGATATTGATTTAGATGGGACTGTTGTATTTCATGTCAAGGAACAGAATGCTGGCCTCATGTTCACAAGGTCAGATGCGTCAGTACACGTTGAAGTTTTCGAGCTTTCTGCCAAGAATAGTTCTGTGATGTCTAAAAAGGGAAGACTACGACGAGTCTTCCCAGGCTCTTGCTCGGCTCTTCCTTTAGAGACTTTCCAACTCCCCGACTTTCAAGCCTCAATAGCTCATACATTAGTCAAGATGAGCCACCAGAGAGCTCGCGATACTAAACCTCGGGTCAAAAAGGCTGGGAAAATGCAAGATGAAGATCGAGACACCACCCACCCGAAGATGGTCACCGATTTTTTCTCGTCACTTGTGTCATATCTGGGGAGTCCAGTACAAGTTGATAGTATCTGTAAGCACACACGTGAAGAGGTTTTCTGGCGAAATTGCAAGATGCCGTGGCATAGATCAGCATTGTGGCTGCTTATTCGCGTCGCGTTACAGCTTCAGTTCACGCGGTCGGTCGCATTACACAAGTGTCCCGAACAGGCCTATAAGATATTCAAGATATTCTTCATGACCAAGATCTTAACTCGAGCGCATGGTTTCAACCTTTCAAGTGACCTCTTATCAGCTATGAGTTCGAAGCTGTCTCGTCGGTGTCAGAAGGCTGCTGGATTCGCCCCAGAATATATCGTTGAGTCTGTCAAATCCACACTGTTGGCAACTAACCACATCCTCAAAGGCAGATTGTCTAAGATACAGGAACAGAGTCAGATTCATGTTTCACACAACATGAAGCGCCTTGAAGACATAGATCTCGAAAGAGATACTCATATCCGGCTTCCGAAACTTGACGATTACATCGGCTGCATAGACAACCGAGGACAGGGAAGTGGTGCTACAGACCTGAAAATATCATCACCATTAGAAATTCATGATTCCTCTCAGATCCCAGACTTCAAAAATCCGCTGGATAATGGAGACATGACGTATACTCTAGCGGCTGTTGAGTTTTGGGTCGCGGACAGCCTCCCACGATGGATAAAAAGGAATCAACGGAGCTCTGAGACCTGTCGTGTTTTGCAAGGGTTGATCGTCGACTACTTCAAGGCAGCGCGTGACCATTATAACGGAAATCCTGAGATGACTTCTATCATGATCCTCACTCTCCTAGAACTATGGGTCGCGTCTGATAGATCCGCAGTACAAAATTCTCTACTGTTGGCATTGTACAAACCAGCAATACCCATCAAACTCCTGGAGAATCTGAATCTGCCTCTGAGAGAACACATGGAGAGGCTCCTGAAGGTGGAGAGGTACTTGCTCATGCGCAGATCCCAAGCCCCCTACTCTTATTACGACATATTTCAGAGCTTTGGTACTTCTCGTAGTTTCTCTGTCGCGTATTTCGATCAATCAAATGAGCATCGGAACCTACTTTTGCGGATTGAAGAAGATGCACTGGCAGCCAGAGAAGAGAAGCGGCAGGAATTCCGGGCTGCACGACAGAAATTTGAAGATCTCATGCAGCGTTCGAGAAACTCCGAGCACAAGTATACCACGATCGTCGATCAGAAAACGTTTGAATATTCTGACCACCACAATAAGCACAATTGTCCGAAGTGTGAGCTTGAACAGGAGGCATTGGATATGGAGATAGGCATACATGAGTGGCCACTACCGGATGACGAACTTCGAGCCAAGTCGACCGTTTTCGAGCTATGGGTTCCTCCTTTCTTTGGCCACTGGCGTGACACTACCATGTTCATATGGTTCGACGTCCTCGGCTCCCGATATCAAGCCAGGACAACGGAACAGTCGAGAAACACATTAGACGACCCTCTCGTAACCCGCTATTTCGAACCATTCAGTTCCGACCAGCGGATAATCTTGATGTCTGGAGCTAAGTCCAATACACGCACGCATCGCAAGTTGAAGGAGTTGTCCACCCATAAGGAAGACGATGTCTGCCTTCGAAATGGACTCAATTACAAGTACTTCGACGATCAGGAGGGCTGCTTTGTTACCCAGCTGGAGACTACGGAAGTCATACCCAAATTATGCACATACTGTATATCAGAGAACCCGACTAAGCAAGTATCACCGATTCAGCAATTCATCAATCGCCCGGCATCCGATCCTCATGGCCCGCCACCCAATACAGTATTGGCCTCACAATCGGAATGTCCTGGTGATGTATCTCTGGAAGAGTATAAGGCGCTCGCGTCTCTTCCCCTAGGGTCCAGCATTCAGTGGCAGAATTTATTGGTGCAGCTCGCAATGCCCAGTATCAACTTTAAAATGGAAGATACGATACTTGTTATTCTTCAATGTATCTTCCAAGTAGGCCGACGTGACGACGATAGTGTACTAAGGATGGGTCATAAAGTCCTCGGTGACAAGATCTTCGTCCGTGCAATGCTAAGTTGCCTAGACGAGGCACTGGGAAGGATAAAGGAAAACTGGCAATCCTTCCAAGCTTTAGGTGTATTCGTCTCTATATCGAGACGTTTGCTTTCCCTAGCACCCGCAGAAGTTAGCCAAGATTGTCTCAAATTCCTTACTGCCACCCGGTATGTTGCTTTGAGATGGATCCAAATCCTCGACGAAAAGATTCAGAGTGCCACGGACAATGGCATCCGGAAGGACTTGCGATACAAAGTATCCAGGATAGCATTGATCTGCGGGGAAACCTTCAACATCGATAACGAACACCTGCGTAATCTCTTAGCTTCGCCTCATGATGCATGTATCATGATACGGTGCGCTATTGTTTTCCAGGGAGTGTTATCCCACGTCCCAAAAACGGAACAGGGTCTAGATTTCATTATGCGTCAACGCTGGGATCAACTCTCGTACCGAAGTTTCAGTATTCTTTCGGAGCAAATCACCCACCACCACAACCCAGCGCTAAACGATGCTATCAAGGAGACTTGGCCTGCATTCCGTCCGATTAACGCGTGGCATGTCATGGGTCAACCATTCCACCACTGGATAGAGACAAATTCAGCACGGGAAGAAGGACCTGGCTCACTCTCAGTTCATTTCAGTCTATTGACGGGCGAGCTTCTGATAGACGGCAGCCCTTTGGGCAGACTCCCTAAAAAATACCAGCGACATCACATGCATTCGACTTTATTCGGCAAGTCAATATTAGATGTTAGACCCAGCGCTGTTCCCGGAATGCGCTTTGCTTCCAAGAAAGCGTTTCATGGGCATCTCGTGGACTTTGGGATGAACAACGAGGATCTTTACATCCGAGCCGTGATCGAGGATCAAATACTCGAGCTTATCCCACGAACTATCTTCCAAGGCTTCTTTCCCACAGTTTTTGTTGACAACTTTGTTCATTGGTACAATAAATCCAAAGGCTACGTGGAATTTTGTAGTCAGGACCATCCATGGGACCACTCCGAGAGCAACTGGAAATTAGTCCGCTCGGGAAGTACATGGAAATTAGTCAAAGGCGATTCAATACTTGTCAACTTGGGTAGCTATACCGCATTACGAATATCAGATATTTTGGACCATCTTGAGGAGGCCCCCTGGATTCACTTCATCCTTCGCGGGTCCACTCTAGATATTGAACTCCCAAGGTTGAAACTTGGCTTCTTTACGAAAAAGGGGGAAATGTCAATTTTCTCTCGCCAGTTTCGCGGAATGGTAATAGATGGGAACCAATCAATTGGAACCCTTATAGGCCTAAAGACCAAGCTTGTCTTGAGAGGGCAAAATGACGGGATCCGACGCAAGGTTATCATTCCGAGCGGGAAGATCATGTTCTCCAAGAAGTTGGAACATGTGGAAGTCCAAATAGAACATCGACCATCTACAAGGGCTCACTTGTACGAGATTGACGACTTACTTGGCAGACTCATTAACAATAGTAGTTTGCAGAGCAAGCTCTTGATATCGTATCTCCATGGCCTCACTTCCTTCCCCTTCCCCGACCCACTCACCAAGAAAACAGGTACAGAGAACGCCTTGAATATTCTGGACTGTGCTGCTGTTCAGTCATTCAAATGCCTCACAGAAGAGGACATTGATTTACTACAGCAGATCGCTGCACTCACCCCAGAACGAGTGTACTATCCGGAGCATGAACATGATATGCAGAGTGTGAATTGGTCGCCAGATTTAGGATTCTTATCTCAGCATGGAGAGTTCTTCCGAAAAGTGCGCTCGATATATAGACAAGCTACAGAATCCAAGTTTCTCTATCCCGAATCTCGCGTTACCTTGCCCGAGTTGCATGATGTCAACGATACCTTACTGGACCGGGATTTGGTTCGTTCATCACTTTTCCATGTCGTCGGGTCTGGCGCTGAGAACTACACGAAAGACGATGACGTGGACTATGAGGCCAGAGATCGTGGAGAATTATCCTCCCAAGCATCTCAAGCCGTCGCTCTATCAAGTATGCTATTCGGAAGGAACTTTAGTCTCAGATACAAGATACCGCAGGACGTCAAAACCTACATATGGAATTTCGTCAGCCTCCACGCTACAAAAAAAAGGGCCCTTGGCCCTAGCTTTACGGTATCGGCTTCGCAATTGATGTACGATTCTGGGTTACTTCTGGAGCCATTCTCATTCATTGCCGAACATTGGATTCCTCTCCACATATTGTTGAGCTCTGATAACAAGCCGAATAAATTCCAGATGATGTTCTGGCTTGGTACCATTGCGTATGCCAAAGACGTCGACCTAACTATCCTCCAAATCTTGGCTTCTTTCTACGCGGATTCAAGAATGGCCTCTATCGGAGCTCCAAACATCCACAAATTCGATTTAACGCATGGCTTCAACGCAAAAAATTGGAGCTTTGCGAATATTATTAAAGATTGTAGTCTCGGGTACCCGCAGAGTCCGGAAGTACACCTACCTAAAAATCATGGAGAGACCAAAAAAGAATATTCAAATCGGCGAGGACGGCAATACAGGGCGAAAAACGCAGAAGCAGTTAAGAACCTAGAATCTGCCCTGAAAGCTCAGTGGCCCTGCGAAGTCCCGACTCGCCCAAGCGCCACGATTTGTGAGGGACTGATCCCGTACATAGACGTGGATAGGGCTATCAACCGCGTGAAAGACAAATTCAGGCTATGTTACAACAATCACCAGCTCATGCAATACTTCGAAGAGATCAATGGAGAACTCTCTCGGGAGAAGGGCAGTGTAAAAACCGCGAGGCGAATACCGCTTACTACGCTTCTAAGTCCTACAACAAAGTGGGGATTTATCGGGGACAAGGACGTATTCGACTCTTCAGCCCCTACGGGACTACCAGATATGGCGGAAGATGTTATATCTCTACTTGAAAGTAACAGCACCCAGACGCCCCGTCTCCCATCTCTACTATCGAGACTCGGAGAGCAGGCACAGTCGGGCTACGAGAATGATTACGTGGAAGATCTGGGAAGTAGCGTGGAGTCGCTGAAGGACTGGAGAAAAGAATATAAACTGTCTTTGTCTAAGCAGGAGATCGAAGACCGTCTTAATTCCCACCAAGAAGCATGTCAAGCGGTAGTCGATGAAATCTACACCAAAATGTGCGAGGTGGTTAAGGATAGCCTTCGGGATCGACATGCCTCGAGCCAGCATTGGCCGAGAATATCCCCAATCTTCTTCCTAGAACGACTCTCTCATCGCTACTGGAATGACCTTCCAGAGGGTTGGAAAACATGGATCGTCCACTACGGAGTTGCCATTTCCCGACTCCAACGTGCGCAGCGCTTACTGAGAGCCATCCATAACGAACCCGTTCTGATCAAAGAACTTCAAAATCCAGGTCACACAAACTGGAATCCAATTGATCAACCGGACTCGCTGCTTCTAGAAATAGAGAGCGATATTATGATTCGAGAGGTTCAGGCAAAAATCGCGGCGCGGATGAGAAGTCCTAAAGGCGGTGGGAATTCCGTCATGCAGCTAAACATGGGAGAAGGCAAGTCCTCAGTTATCGTGCCCGCGGTTGCTGCGGCTCTTGCAGACGGAAAACAGCTAGTCCGAGTAATTGTTGGAAAACCGCAGTCGAAGCAGATGTTCCAGATGCTCGTATCCAAGTTGGGTGGTTTATTGGGTAGACGAATCTACCATCTGCCTTTTTCTCGTGCTGTGAAGATCGAAGGTCCCGAGCTCAAGGCGATATCAAAGATGTTCAACTCCTGCAAGGATAATGGCGGTGTCTTTTTGGTCCAACCGGAACATATTCTCTCCTTTAAACTCATGGGCATTGAGTGCATCTTGACAGAAAAGGAAAAAATCGGGCACTCCCTGACACAACTCCAGAATTTCCTCGACTCAAGGACGCGTGATATCGTCGACGAGAGCGATGAAAATTTCAGCGTCAAGTTCGAGTTGGTGTATACAATGGGTAACCAGGAAAAAATGGAGTTTTCCCCGGACAGATGGATTTGCATCCAACAGTTGCTGGATATAGTCAGAACCGTTATCTCGGAGGAGAATTCCAAGCATCCGGATTCTATTGAGCTTCACTTTCAAGCCTTCGGATGTTTCCCGTGGACCCGAATTATAAACCCAGATGCTGTAGATCGGACCCTCCATGGTATTACGGAACAGATTTGTGCACTGGGCTTCAACGGGTTCCCTATTACGAGACAGCCGGAACTTATACGCAGAGCAGTGGAAACATATATCACCAAGAAGGAACTCACGCCAGATATCATCGCATTGATCGAAGACGGAAGCCCCAGTGCATTCTGGACCGGGGCGAAAGACACGTTGTTGCTGTTACGCGGTCTTATAGCCGGAGGGGTCTTGGCATTCGCCTTCGGACATAAACGATGGAGGGTTGACTACGGACTTGATGCCAACAGAAGCCCGACCACGAAGCTCGCCGTGCCTTATAGAGCCAAAGACAGCCCATCGCCACGGTCGGAGTTCAGCCATCCAGATGTTGTCATTATTCTCACATCCTTGAGCTATTACTATGGCGGGCTCAGCGACGAGGATTTATTTCTCGCATTCAACCATCTGCTCAAGTCCGACCAGGCCGAACTCGAATACGGCTTGTGGGCTAGGGCTGCTAACGATCTGGGTTCTTCTTTCAGACAATTAGTTGGCATTAATCTCGAGGATAGCCAATGCACGGAGCATGTGTTCAAGAATCTTCGATTTGTTAAAGAGGTCATAGATTATTTCCTGGCACACATAGTGTTCCCGAAAGAGATGAAGGAATTTCGGAAAAAGCTCTCCGCATCAGGCTGGGATCTCGGAGAAGAAAAGACTCATCCGACAACGGGATTTAGCGGGACGAATGATTCTCGCAAGGTGCTTCCACTTCATGTTGAGCAGTTGGACCTCTCGGATCAAAAGCACACCAATGCGTTAGTGCTGGAGTATTTACTCCAACCCGAGAACTCCGTTGAACTCATACCACGCCGAGATGTCGATGTCTCGGTTGCTGACATGTTGCTGAACACCATCACTAAGATGGATCCTCCAACCCGCGTCATATTGGATGTAGGAGCTCAAATACTGGAACTCGACAATCTAGGGGTTGCCACGACTTGGCTACAAAGAAATTCCGACAACGGACAAATTCAAGCCGCCGTATATTTCGACGACCACGATGAAATCTGTGTTCTAGATCGTAAGGGGCACTCTGAGCCTTTTCAGACATCGCCGTATGCGACACAATTGGACGCATGTCTCGTCTTTTTAGACGAGGCCCACACGAGAGGCACTGACTTAAAACTGCCAAAAGATTATCGCGCAGCTGTCACCCTGGGCGCAAATTTGACGAAGGACAGATTAGTTCAAGGTAAGTCAGATCAACCTATTTAATGACTGATGTTAGAAGCTGACACATATTAGCATGCATGAGAATGAGAATGTTGGGAGAAGGGCAATCCGTAGTGTTTTGCGTACCGGAAGAGATTCAGGCCAAGATTCGAACTCGCAGATCAGCCTTAGATCTCGCTTCCAATGGAGAAATCTCCGTCTTGGATATCTTGGCATGGACCATTGGGGAAACATGGCAAGACATCCACAGGAGCATGGGGTTATGGGCTAATCAGGGCCGACGCCATGAAAAGCACCTGAAGTTGTGGGAGACAGCTCGGGCATTGAAGATGTCTAAAGAGGGGGTCGCATTCGAAAAAGATCTAGCCGAAAGATATCTCGAAGAAGAGTCGCAGACGTTGGAACGTAGGTATCGCCCTCGTGCCAGAGGTACTAACAATCTCGGAATTTCATCTGAAAATAGCACCACGGATCCAATCTCCAGACGTTGTATGGAATTCACCAATCTCAATCTCGACTCGGCGACTCTCCAAGAAGAGGAAGAGCGTGAGTTGTCACCGGAAGTCGAGCAGGAAAGGGAGGTCCAAGGTCCCACCGCAGCTGAACCGGCTACACACTTCATACATCAAGACGTGAGATCATTCATATCTCATGGTACTGCCAACTACGAATCTGAAGGATATAGACGCGCGTTCGTGGGATTGCGCGATACCACTGCCGGAGCTCTCTTTGATGTAGATGACTTTCAATCTGGCTTACTAGCCTCAATGGACTTCGAACGAACCATCGAACACCATCACAACGGGAGTGATGTCTTGGATTTTTACCAACGCACTGTCCAGTGGATCCTGACGAGCGGTCCTAACGATAAAGTTGTCAAGCACATGATGGTCATCAGCCCGTACGAAGCACAGGTGCTTCTCCCCGAGATACAGGCGTCCGAAGTCGCTGCGTTGCATCTATACGCGCCCCAGTCGAGTTTAGGATACCGCCGACTAGACACGCTGGACTTGTACACTGTCCCCGAGCGGCTGAGCCGGCGTCAGATACCCCAGCGGCTCATCACGGAGCTAAACCTGTTCGCGGGCCAGCTCTACTTCGACTCGTTTGAGCAGTACGTAGACGCGTGCAAATTCATGGGAATTAGCTATAACACGCGCGGAGAGGGAGAGGAGATCGCAGCCGACGGATTCATACTCCGCGATGCACTAGCAAGAGTTGGCGGCGAGTCGGGTCTTCGTTGTAGCCCAGTCAAGTTCTTCAAGGTGCTTCACACGAAGATCCGACGTAACTGCGAGAGCATTAGCAAGACGCATATGGGCAAGTTGCTGGATAACCAGCTGCTGATGCCGGAGGATTTCGAGAGTGACGGATGATTAAGGGGTTAAGGTTGAGATTGGGATCGAGATGATTGTGATGAAAATTGAGATTAAGATGTTGGGATGAATTCGCTAAGTTTCACAGATTAGCTTAGGACTTGCACTGTACTTCGTAACATGTAATCGCTATGAACTCACCCAGATTGAAAATTACCGATATGTCCAAATATGATGGTGGGGCACCGAACTTTTTCAGGGGTGCGACGTCTAGAGATATAAATAGGTACCTAGCTGTAGGTACTAAGATACGCTATCTTCTAGCAAACGATGCACTACGATGTGATTTGACAGCGCTCAAGTATTGTAACCAATGAATTCCGATAGAGCACGCTTAAAGAAGCTAATTGGAAGGTACTAGGTACCTAACTGCCACCCACATCGGACCGGGCTGACGCTACGGGGCAGTGATATGACCCAACCTATCTCACCTAATTACTCCGCAACTGCAACTGCTCCGCATCCTTCTTTGAATCTACAAAAATCTACAAACTTGAACCTTCCGAATCTTCTAGATTGCTACCAAGGTTCACCACATTGCACAAGTTAGATTCAAGTGTTGGTATCACATCGAATTGTAACGGATCGCACCCCTTAAAGTTCCCTCTCATTACCTTTTTTATTAAAAGTTGATCTTGGAACAACAAACTTCTCTGAGTCATTAAATCGGACTCGTACCCGACCCTCGAAATTGAACTCACCCACCGCGACACCAAACTTGAACATCTCGACCTCCCTAGGAAAGAATGGAACCTTAGCTTTTCTCCCACGGCATTGCACTACAGAATTCAGACAAATCACCATCAACCCGCTTACTGATCTCCCTCCTCCCTCTCCCGGTACTTAAACCCGACCGGGCCTACTCTCTCAACCCCCACTCCCCGCAGACCACCTCCCACCAACACTCCCCTCACCATGGCGAAATACGAATACCTAAGCAACCCAGCACAAATCTACCCAGGCCCATCCGCGCGCGCCGCAGCCCTACTAACCAAGCAACGCGCGCCGCTAATCCTCGTCCACGACGGCGGCGGCACAAACTTCAGCTACCACCTGCTGGACCCCATCGACCGGCCCGTGTGGGGCATCGAGAACGCGCGCCTGCACGATGGAGGCTTCTGGGAGGGCGGGATTGCGCAGATGGCTGAGCATTATGTGGGCTTGCTCGCGAAGATATTGCCCGAGGGAGGGGATGTTTTGCTTGGTGGTATGTTGTTTGGCTTTTCTACTTTTTACTAACTTGTTTGTTTGTTGCGAGTTAAGAGGTTTGGGGTGTGGAAGTGTGGATGTGAGGATTGGCGCTGATGGAAATTTTTACAGGTTGGTCTTTAGGCGGCCATCTGTCGCTGGAGATGGCGCACCAAATCGCGCTAGCGGGGCGCGGGGGCGGTACTAGCAGCGGGACGAACACCCCCGCGGCGCCCAAATTCCGCGTCATTGGGATGATCTTCATCGACACCGTGTTCCCGCTACGGCTAGGCGAGCTGCGCGGTCCGCTGCCGACGGAGCCCGTGTTCTTGACACCGGAGGAATCGAAGGCGATGGTGTTGAAGGACAAGGTGGACCTGAACATGACGCACGCGCGCATGATGGTCATGGACTGGGAGGTCCCGCGCTGGGAGGGCCTAAAAGTGCCCCCGACGATCCTGATGCGCGCCAAGGAGTTCGTCAGCGATGACCCCACTAAGACTTTCGTCGACTACGTTCGCGAGTTCGAGCTCTTGGGCTGGGACGAGTATAATGCCGAGCATGGCAAGTTCATCCAGGATGTTGTTGAGGTCGAGGGCCATCATTTCTCTATCTTCCACATGAAGAATGTAAGTTCTAACTCTCTCTTTAATGAGTGGAGGGTTTGGGTGGACTGATTTATTTGAACAGCTTGATAGCATCACGAGTAAAGTGCGCATCGCGGCAGACGAACTTGACCCGCCGGAATTTTGATGGATATGTTGCATATGGGGGGAGTAATTGAGGTTGTATTTGAGACTGTTTGGCGGGGCGTTTATACCTACTACTGAACGAGAATGGCGTTATTTGGGGGTTGTAGAGATTAGACCATAGCACTGACGCTGTCCCGGTTACACACTGAGCTACGTTCCCTAGCTTGGCAATACATTTCTTGCTTGTCTGGGAACTTGATAATTCTTATCCTAAAACTAAACTACTATGTACCCAACTTTTACTCACCCCTTCACAAACCTCTTCAACGCCTCCTTAATCCCCTTCTGCCCCTGCTTAAACATCGTCACACGGGTATTCTCAAACCCCCCATCCTTAAGCCACGGCTCCCCATGGCCAACCGCAAACTGCTCATCGCCCCTCCTCAAGCCCTCGCACATCCGGTCAATAAATTCCGCAAGCGGCATCCCGATCTCCCCTCCGTTAACCAGGTCCGGCTGATGCTTCGTATCATGCAGCTCCGTCTGCACGGCCGGCGGGAACACCTCCACGATTTTAACCCGGGGATACCCCCCGTCCTCGAGCTGCTGTCGTAGCGTCATCACGAAGCTGTGGAGCGCCGCTTTGGTGGCGCAGTACCCCGGCGCGCGCACTAGAGTTGGGAGCAGGCCTAGTGTTGAGCTCACGTAGACTAGACTCGTGTCCTTGTCTTCTTCCTTACTTAGTTTCTGGAAGTGCGGTAGGAGTGCTGCGGTCAGGTGCACGAAGCTCACGTAATTAGTGGTGAGTTCCTCGTTGAAGATGTTGAGGTCGACGCCGTTGGGCCTGTCGAAGAATAGCGGGCGCTGGATCCCCGCGTTTAGGATCACGGCGTCGAGATCTGGGTGCTTTTTGGTGATTTCCGCGGCGAAGGTTGCGATGGAGTCGAGCTTAGTGACGTCTAGAGTCGTGGCAATGGAGCCAGGGTGCTTTGCGACGAAGGCATCGAGAGCTTCGCGGCGCCGGCCCGTGACGATGACAGATGTGCCCTCGGCGTGGAACCTAGAGGCGAGGGCCTCGCCAATGCCGGATGTGGCGCCGATAATGAGGGCTTTTTTGTATAAGGGAGCCATTGTTGAATACTTTACTTATACTAATTATTCCAGGTTTGATGATATGTAAGAATTATTTCGCAGCGCAACCTGTGATATCTTGATATAAATAGTAAATTTACTCGGTGCCGTGGAGATGTAAGGTCTTCGGGCTCGGCACATGGAGATAAACGATGTCTCATACATAGTAACAGGGCTATATTATCCCCTCATTGCGCCAACGGACTTTAGCGTTAGTCTGGCAGATGTCAAACAGCGAGCTTCCTTCATAGTTCCTAAAACGGGGAAAAAGAAATCTTAATGATATCATCATATCCACATATATGTACCTACATATTTCTTTCACTACTTAGATACTTGAAAAGGAAAACAGATAATGTTAATGACGCCCTATACTTGACTGGGTTCAAGGTTGGAAGTGAGTTTTGCTTCGCGCGGAGATAAGAAGTCGTGGATAAATGGGAGGGAAAATATATATACAGATTTTTTCCCTGAGAGAAAATGGCGGTATAATCATATCCGCGTAAATGATACATAATCTATTACCTCTTATCCTACTAAGTCTATACTTTTCATATGATGTTTTATTGACCATGGGCAATCGCGAGCGGCAATCCATTGTCTGTCTGGGCCAATGCCTATGCAAGCTTCGCCTATGATCTTGTAAGTAGTCTGGGTCTTTTCGACAACCTTTCGTAACACCATGGGAAAGTAACACGAATCAAGTCGAAATATCATATCTCCTACTCGCGTGGCGCGGGGGACTAAGACAATATTACCACCGCTGATGGCAAACTGAAGCCCGTATTCAGGTCTCAGGTTTACCGTGGTAAAAGCGTCATCCCAGACCTTAAAAGCAGATATTAATAACTGATTAGAGTCTGCGAGTCCCTCTCGTGGAGGGCTAGTTGGACCTTCAAAGCATCTAAAGCGACTTATATTCGTAGAACGTGATTTAGGCTCCGCATATATCATATCCTTATTCGGGCGTGGAACTTCCTTAGGTCCAAGGCTCTCTTCATAGTCAAGATAACCCTTTGCCCAAGTTCTTATAGGAAAAGAATTGATAATAAGGCTTCCAAGATGTCTCAAAAATTCTTTAATGTGCGATTTTATCCCAGAACCCGTGTTCGACTCGTCGGCGTGAACGATGATATAAGCAAGAGCCATAGTTAATTCTGTGCAAGAAGCTGCTTGCGAGTCGGAATTTTCTGAGATAAATAGACGATATAGATTGGAAGAAACCCAATTCATGGTGGCAATAGAGTTCCGGCGTTCCTCGTGCGGGAGTCGCGCGGTTGGTTTAACCCACGTGTCGCCAAGGCTGTCGACGGATCCAAGTGATTGCCCTTGACCACGCAGCTTGACCGACCCTACTGAAAAAGTAGGCGCTCCAAATCCTCTCTCTTTTAAAGGTCCATTAAATCTTGCTGATAAATTCGATGTTAACCAATGTGGCATGTTAAAGGCAAGATCAGACCAATCAACGGCCCACGGAGGCTGAGCCTCAGATCTAACTTTCAATGGAGCCCGCGATGACAATAGTGTGGCCTCCATTGGATGTGGCGATTGGAGGAAAGTCATCGATAGTTCCCTGAATACTTCCTCGATAGGTTCACTATACGTTGGCGTTGGCACAAGATCGTTCCCGTCTCTGGCAAGGTTTAATAGAGCGTAGACCTTATCACGTGGGTTGGTTGCAAGGGAATATCGGCTTCTGATCAGAGCCTGTAGCAGGGTCATACGTAGGCCACCACGTCGTGCCTCCGACTCTTGCAATCGAAACTCTTGAATGGTGGAAATCAGGATGCGGCTGCGTTCGGGTAAGTTGTCCACATGTTCGGTACTTGCTATGACTGAACTTAAGTCGAAGCAAAGAGAACCACACCTCACATGCACTGTCCCCGCCTTCGCGATCTCCTGTATGATCCATACACGTTCCCAATAAGGTCTTGTCAACAGTTCGCGAAGCCCTCGTAGTGATCTAACGGGATGGCGCGTGTTTTTAAGAGCCGTTATGAACTTATCGCCTGATATAGAGTTCAGCTGGTCTTCGTCGTCTAAGTCGATCTCTCCAAGGAATGTTCGAGCATATCGAGTGTCTCTTTCCTCGTCCCCCAACCATACTGCAGTTGCTTGTGCTTTCGAGTAGATAAGGCCCATGAGCCGAATTTGATGCGCCTTTTCGTTAACATCATGTTGATTGATACAAACTGCATCTGCCCAGATCAAGGCACCTGGATGAAAGCCCGAGTAGCGCAGAGCGGCAGCTAAGTTCTTCGTGACATGAATCGGTTCCCCATTAACTTCGAGAGTCGATTTTTGTGCGTCATCACCCCAGCAGTAGGATAAAGCGAAATATTCCGGAGGGCGGATAAGTGAGCACGTTATTGTCTCGAAACTCGGAGGCTCGAGAGGGTTGGATGGGATATTCAGGAGTCGTAAAAGTCGTGCCTCAAATCTAGAGACATCCAGTGGTTGATAGATCATGATTCGTAGATGCGTAGATGCGTTGTCCTATTTGGAAGATGTCCGGTAGATGTCCCTTCCAGATGATTGTTGCCGGAAGCGATGCCTCTTATTTTCAGTTGCCAATTACTCTGAAAGATATCAACGGGAATCCTTCACAGATGTGGAGGCCGCCTTCTAAATATCTACGGTGGCGCCCCACACAAATACCATACCTTGTTCGGTGAGAGACGAAGTATACGACACCTTCGACACCTTCGACACATCGAGATACTTACATCCCTTGCATACTAGGTGGCTAGCATTGAATCCCTCAAAGGCCTAATATTTCCGCCCGATACCGTCATTGATATCGTTAGTTCTGCTAGAAAAAAAAAAGATGAGTAAAGCCCTAAACTTGACGCAAAACTTGAATTCATTGGAATACTGATCACGATCAATACGTTTGTAATGATTCTGGTTTGGAGATCCGGTACTTGCCACGCTTGTTACATAGCGATACTTTACTATCACTTAGATATTTCGTCCATTTTCATCGTGATCAAATCTGAGGATTATTACGCGGATACGTGATAGACGTGGCTGTGGCTTTAGATAGGTCGCCTCGTTTCTTCATATCAAGCCACGTATGTGCGAGGCGACTCGGGGCAAATATAAGTAGGTAGTTACGAATTGCTAGTCATTTTGTCGAACAGCCTCGAAGTCGACTAGGGGTGATGTGACCAATTGAACTGAGCTGACTAACCGACGTCACCAACCTACCAATGACGTTTGATTATAGTGTACGTGCCGCTCTCCAGTTTGCAAGGTAGTGATGTTAATTAACCTTAACGTCAGCTAGCTACTAGGTAGCTAGGTGATTAGGTAAGAATCGGCGTGGCGATTAGCTAGCTACCGGTAGATAGGTAGACATAGCCTCAAATCTGGACTGTGTCGCGTTTGCGACATATTCCCAAATGTTGCTATCAACCTTAGCGTAGAGCCTCGCATAGCCCAGCACGAACAGGTCGGATTATTGACTAGAACCTAGGTGTGATCAGTATTAGGAGTTTATCCGAGTCATCATCTCTTGACTAATACGACTTAGCCTCGTCTAGTGAGTAGTACGTGTTTGAAATATACGAGGCATTCTCATATTCGAGGCGATGCGTTAAGTCAGGAGGGGGAAACGCCTTGCTTTATGGTGCGTACGCTGTAAGATTTAAGAAAATAAGGGATGAGGGAAATCTGAATGACGATTGAGAGTGAGAATAAATTGAAAATAAGTGGACCCCATCCTGGGTAAGAAACCGAGGTTTATCCAACCGCTTTCATCTGACAGGTGCTAATTGATAAGGGCACCTGGCAGGCTCAACTGTGACGATTTGTCGGATGTCGGACCTAGCTGCTGGCCAAGCCATTTAAACCAGCCACCTTTAAACGGGAATTGTTTCAAGGTTATAAACGACTTTAAATTTTAAAGAGTTGACATCATAGTCCATATTTCCTTGTCTATCAATGTATCAGTATCGTCTTATAGGGCTGAACACATTTTCTAAAGGGGTTGAGTTAACGAACAAGTTTGCTCATTCTCGACGCCTCAATGTGAAGGTCATTTCAACGCTCATTACTAATTATAGAATCTCAACAGAATAGGTACGCTACACGATAGAACCGCTGGTATAACATCGTGTGAAAGACTATGTAAACACATCCCACGAGTGTGTTTATATCTCAACTGTTGTTAGATACTATGTGGATCTTATATGGCCAATCATATAGCCCACACTAAAGATTAGAACAGGTTCAAACCAGATTCTTTAATCGACATCCAATGGATAGCAAGGAGAGGCTGAGGACGAACACCAATGATAGGTGATCGGCGATGATTAACTGGACGATCTTGTCACAGTTTGCCCCCCTTCGATTTCCGTACACCGTTGATCACCGGCCATCGTCTATCTAGAAATGTTTAGCGCTATGGACCGGTCCGGTTTGATGTGCGCGAACCACACATAGTTACCACAGGCCAACCAGCTCCGTATTCGTATGATAAGTCATGAGAGGCCAGCGTTTAAGGGACACGGCCGCGGCGGAGCAGAGAACAGGAAGCGGCTCCTATTTTTTTCAACTGATGCTGTCAGTGTTGTCTCAAGGGATCCTATTCTACCTTTTCCGGCATAGAGTCAAGATCCACGGAGTGTAGATCCGCCCACCAATATCCAGTCGCTGTGGTACACAAGGGCGAACTCGAGCGGTAACATGTGGCGGCTGGAGCAACACTCCTGAATCCCCACGAGCTCGGTAGAGGATACAGTACGATAGAGGGTAAACGCTCCTCGAAACACTTCGAAGTAGCCAAGCAGTTCAAGTCTACGCGACCGGTAGACCCGATGTTTGGATAACCCGGACAACCTGGTGGTCTGTTCGGCCCTAGATGTCTATCCCAACAACCACTCACGGTGTTGCTAGGGGCTGGGTGATCGCAATATGTATCTCCTAGTGAATTGGTGAACTGGTTTTCAGGAATGTTGTGTTGCTCGATGAGGTATATATTGTCTTCTACCGGTCCTCTCGGTCCTGTTTGAATCATCACTGTAGCACACACGAAAGTCGTTCAATTCTTGTACCCCATCTTCCGCTTGATTTCTCGCGTTGCATCGCTTGAGACTATACCTATGTAAGTTTGCAGACGCCGGATTCCCCCAACCTGTATCACTAGTATTACGACTAACATGACGTTATAGCTTAATACAGCCGGACTACAAAGGAAACCCAAATTCTCCCTGCCAGCAGTAGAATTAGGATCATAATCAACCAGAACCTGAACCAGAACAATAATCCCAAGTCGTTTTCACAAGATCAAACAAGATGAAGAACGTTTTCACCATCCTTTTCCTAGCTCTCGTCGGCTCTTTCGTGGCGGGCTTGCCAGCGGCTGCCAACGAGAGAAGAGCCATCTCGTCGAATGGTGTGTTTCCGTTACCCATCTCCTTGGAGAGGATAAATATTAAGAGGTTGATGCTAACTTGAATCTACAGCATTTGAAATTGCAGCCCGAGCATTGGAACTGGTGCCACGAGCCCAGGTTGGAAGCAGAGCCTCCAACCAAACCGAGAGCGTCCCCAGGTCTCTAAGTATGTCTTCAACCATGAAATCAGTCACTCATTATTAGATGACCTGGAAGCTAACCCGGATGAAAGGCGCGAGACAAGGAAACAGCACATCTTCGTTCGGAAGCAGCGGAAGTGGAAGCGGAAACGAGGCTCGTTCTGAGAGTACGTCAAAACATCGGATCGAATTGATTCCACAATGATAGCTAACCATGAAATAGTAGTCCCAAGAGCCTTCAACTCGTCTGACGATAATGAAGCTCGTTCATTATGTATGTGTTACCAAAACTAGGTGACCGTGAAACAAATTAGCTAACAAGATCACAACAGTCGCACGAAAGGGCAACAGCACCGATGCCGAAACCGAGAAGCGCGCCCCAGGCGTGAAGCGAGTCCACGTCGAGGCTCGCGCCTTCAACTCAAGCAGTGCCTAGATGCACTCGCACGCAGTCACCCCATGCGCAGGTCATGCAGGGAAAGATGGAGGAATTAATGGTATATAGGTACGCGACTAGCAGCCAGCAATGTTTGGAACGAGGACGAAGGATGAGATGAAAGACGCAGTGACGTCGTCGTTGTCGTCGCCCGGCTCGCGGCTTTAACTTGAGCTGGGCTTCAGAGTACAGATTTTACCCCGGGAGGGGATCTAGATAGATTTGATTTTTCATAGTTAGGGAACCCTAGTCAATCCTTTCGAACTATGGCGCAACGCGTAGTTCTTCCAATTTTCAACATATTGGTTACATTGTGATGCCTTTGGTGATGTCTTGTGATATGTACTGTTAACCTTGGAAGTTATGCAGCATATTTATGAATCCTATCGATATTGGACCAGCGGTACATCGAGGTTGATCAGTCTTGATAGGGAAAGTATGGACTCTACCTATCTAGGCAAGTAGGTATGATTAGCATGTGATCGTGTGATAGAATTTGTCTAGACTCGCAATAGAATTTAAGAAATGAGATGAAATAAAATAATCCGATGGTATATTGCTCTCTAGCTGGAATTGGCATATTAAATTGTGAAGATCATTATGAATTTTAAGATATTTCTCGAAGCGTCGCAACCCGTCGATAGTCTTATAATTAGCCCACCCTCAGATGTAGTGGTGTTATAAAAGGGGTATAGTACCGTGAAACCTCCACATACGGTAGATAGGATTCGTCCCGAACCCCAATCGGGATGCATTTCAGCCCTCCTGTTCAGAATTCAGAGTTGCACCGTTGCAACAACTTATCGACCCGTCGATCTATGTGTTACGCCGCAATAGCATTCAACGTCATCTAGTTATCCATCTGCTTGATCCTTCAAACTGCAACTAAAGCAGTCTTAAGTAAAAACAGTCGGGTGGCATAAGAATTCAATTGGTCTTATACATACAGAACTAAAATGCGTGGGTAGTTGGTCACGAGACCTCAAGTTCAAATACATAAAATGCTTTCAGAATAACGTTGGATTTGTTTCCTTGTGTCATGAGAAATAATATATACAATCGAAAAAATCATACCGGAGCGCCACATTCAAAAGGGTTTCCCACACGATTGGTATCATGTACAATCGTGTTTTATGATTTGTTAACACAAAGAGCCACCCGAACGATTGTCGTAAGAGCCAGTGAAGGCTAATGGAGAGAGTTGAAAGCTCTCGTCAAAATGGTATATCCAGAAGTCCCAAAACAAGCCATGTACACCAGCCTATTATTGTTTGTTTCGTTTATTTTTCCTCGATGGGCCATTTGCCATGGGATATAAGTGCTCAGCGCACCTCATTTACATCGATGGTGCTAGTCCTCCAATCCCGGGAGGTGTTGCTCTTCGTTGAAGAGCCGAATCCGGGCATCGATGAGAATCTGTTCAATCGCTTCTTTTGTTGTGGCGTAGGCTCAGTAAAGTGCCTGCTAGGCTCCTCGATGGCTACACTACGACGCCTGCTATTTTCTTCCATTGGTGATGAGGCAGCTGTAGAAGAGCTGTTGGTAGACGAGCCGGTATTGTTGGGAGTCTGATAAATGTACTCGCCGTCGACATAAATAGCATTGCTGATGAATGCAGAGCGACGATGTCGGTTGCGGGTGTATCGTTGTTCGAGCCGGAACAGCTCGATCTTGGCTTGGATTTTCTCGAATATACTCGGCATTTTGATGATTAAGAAGGTTTCTAATCACTGTGTCTTAGATTATCTTCACTCCTGAGTGATACAAGTCGATGCTTTTTTCCGTCTAGTTGGTATTATGCGATTGAGACAAATTGGTGAACGAGTCGATCGTGCGTCCCGATTGTCTTTTGGTGCGTTTGTCCTCCGATGTCTATCACCTTTCAAAGGTATAGGATGCGAGTGTTACGTCTAGTATACGAGACTGAAAGTGTGTATACGGTAGCGATCGATGTGCTGGGCCACTTTGTGATAAACGAGGGAACGGGAACAGTCCTGTGTTCTCCGATTATGTATGCCGAATGAATTACGGCTAGCAAGGAAGAGCTGGTGGTGGTTGGGAGACGAGAAAAAAAAGAAAGCGAGTGGATAGAAAAGTGTTAGACAGGGGAAGACGTTTACATATTAGAAAAGAGACTGGAAAGGGACAAGGACGATGGGGAGGGTACAATAGAGGAATATTCAGCTGCAATTAGCTAAGCCAAACTAGTAAACTTTAGGCCTTGGCCTCCCTAACCGCGCAGTCTATCTAAGCCTATTTAGCCACTAAACCGGCCACTAAAAAACACGCGAACGAGCGGGATACGGGGCAGTGGGGTTACCAGTTCTAAGAAGCTCGGTAGACTAGTGCGTTCCTGGCGTTAGTGGTGAACTAAGATCGTTAGCAGCACGTGTTACCCTCTCAATTGACCTTCAACTGACCCCACACATGCTTGATTAACTTGATAAGACCCATCCAACGTGCATAAGGCTTTACCCGTCCAGGATAAGGCGACTGCATGACCAATGCAGGGGCGAACCACGTTTCAGGAATCAGCGAATGCAGACCATTAAATGGGAATGCAACTCCATTTTGTTGAGGGGACAAGTTGCGAACACGTCTATCGAATGCGGAATCTGGGGTTCTCCATGACTTAGAGACATATTTCGTGATGCACTACTGTTCGACAGAACGATGCTTTGCATATAAATTAGGAGACAGCATGTTCGCAATGAGGTAGCCGCGTAATCCAGAAAATGTGTTCGAATGGAAGAAGAATTGACCAGGAAGTGGGAGCATGAATACACACACGTATGTGGCACCTAACCTTCTTCGGTTACACGAAGATAAGGAAACGACAAAAAAGAAAAGAGCCTCCGCCTCTCTGCCTCCTCTTGGAATGATGCATAGAAAGAGCTATGCAAGAGCTATGCATACACGGTACCGAAGACCCGATACGTATTCCAGCAGCTGCCACTTAAAGGTTAACTTAAATACTCGTGTCACCTACTCTAGATTTTTAGGTTAGAGCGTTATTACCAGCCTTGGAGATGATGATAATGGAGGGGTGGCTGGTTAGCTGATAGCTCGATAAGTGATTCGTGGATATTTTGTCAGGTGCATTCTCAACGAATATGCGCATAAATCTCCATCATCGAATGGGGTATTGCATTTGTCGCTCCCGGACATCAATACACAACCAGACAACGTACAGCGACACATACCAAAATGCAAAACATGCAAAGCCACCGCACAGATGGAGTATAATGAGTCGTCATCACCCCTCATCCATCAATCATTTTCACTTGGTTTGGTACGATGAATTGTAAATTTTTCGGGTTCTATGTAAACGACGGTCACGCATCGTTTGCATAAACCGTTACTCAAATTATCTCGTACTCGATTCACAGCACCTAGCATACATGATATCGTCGTCAATCCTAACCCGAGCTCCCTCCCATATCCCAGAGTTTCTGGATCTGCTCTGCCAGAGAAATCGATGTCGTATATGCTTTTCTCGTCTTGACATCATTGACGTGCTCTCTATTCCATTCTAGTATTTCGGACGTCATCCCTTCAAGCGTCGTAAGCACACCGGAATACGCCAAGCCACCCCGAGAGACTGGCTTCCCGGCTTCATGGTTCGATGCAACCAAATGCGTGCATATTGACATAATGCCTGGCTTAAGGTGTCTTATATCACCTTGGAGCTTCGGTAATACTTTGCCAAGGAAGGGATATTTGTGAGGCAGATCGCCGTAAATCTCGATTACGTGAGCGAGCACGAGGATCAGTACGGGCGGTACTTTTATCGTGTGGAATGGATGTACGGATAATGTCCCAATCGCGGTATACAAGTCGCTATACGTGATCGGGGGGTTGGGATCTGTTACTACGAATGGTCGACCCGCGTGTTTAACGCTTTCTGGCCAGGGCCGAACAAGCACGGCTTCATGCTGTAGATGAGCGATTGCAACATTTGCGCCGTGCACGAAACTCTGAACAATATGGGGTACCCAGCTATCATCACTCATAAGCATCGGTCCCGATAAGCATATCCATCTAGGTAAATTAGAGGAACTGAGCAGTGGAGCACTCACGTTGGTAACACTGTTCTGGCTAAAGGGTCGCCAACGGTATTATCCGTGGGGTTCCCATAGACGCCATTTGCGGGCCGTATGCATCCAGTGCGAAAGTCTTCGCCGTTCTCACCACAGACAAATCTTTCCGCGACCGCTTTCGACGCAGGATAATTGGCAAAGTACTGCTCGCGTTCTCTTAAAGGCATATAGAAGTCATTTACGTCCAAGACCTGCCAGAAATGTCGCGGTGAATATTCCCATGGTAGAACAAACGGTTCAACGGGCTTGATCGAAATGGAACCAGACGATGTAGAGCTGAAGATGTCCGCACCGGCTTTACGGGAGGCTACCAATACATTCTTTGTGCCTGTCACGTTGACGGCTTCCGGAAAGGCGTACTGGAATTTGGACCGCTCGGAAGCCAAGATGACGGCCGCTGTGTGGAACACGGTCAGAGGGAGATGCGCTACGCTCGGATGCCACGGAAGCGCAAAGGCAGCCTCGACAGAGTCGGGAGACGTGATATCCGTCTTCACAAAGTCAACTTTGGTGGCTAGGCCTACGCGCATATCGTTCCGCTCCGTCTTCCGAATATCGATGATGCGGATACTCTCGGGAGGGTTGCCTCGAGCTAAAAGCTGCAGCACAATGAAGCCGCCAACGAGCCCTAAACCAAGAGTTGAACTTTAAATCAATATTTAAAAATACGAATATGTAGGTAGGAAGTGAGTTTTGCATGGGTCTACTTACCCGACCCTCCTGTCACAACATACCGGCGCTCTAGCTTCGGGGGAAGCTTGTCAGTGTAGTCAATTGGGTTGTTCTGCAACCTCTTGTAAGTTGCCTTGAGTTGGTCCGGCGTCCAGCGTGAACCCGACAGCTTCCGGACCTCATCCGGCGTTCCGCTTAAGAGCTGATTCACTCGAAATAAGTAGAGAACGACAACCACCAGCACAGTTCCTAGGGCTGCGGGAGCCCATCCCGCCGCATCAACCATGATTATATCACCAGCGATTAATCATTACCAAGAGATGTAGTTTATGTAGAAGTTGAAGGCTTGTAAGATGAAACTACACGATGTCACCACACGAGATGGCGGGCAATTCTCGGCTTTTAGGGACTTAACCGAGACGGATTTCGATTTATCACATCATATACTTTGCACTAACCCCCTGGAAGCTCGCCCTAACACGATAACGAATAATGAAAAAAAACACACCTTCACCCATATGTATACAAAGACCATCTCCCAAAACCCAAAGAAAGAACTCCCATGCCTCCCTTATAACCTTCCGTCAACCATAGCCCTCTGAATCCATTCGCACCGCCGCCCCTTCAAATCATCCACCACGTCCCTAAACCCCTCAGCTCCTAGCTCCAACACCCTCCCCTCAACCCCATAAACCGGAAACCGCACCAGCCTGTTATACCCACCACCACCACCACCACCGCGCCCTACCCCCGCATTCGGATCCCCGTACTTCACAAACCCCACTATGTACTCCTGCAGCTGCGCCGCCAGCGTCGCGTTCACCGGCAGCCCGTTATCCGACGTCGAGGTGTCCCCGTCGAAGAATACGTACGGCACGTCCGTCTCGTGCCAGCCCGGCGGGTAGGCGAATGTGTATGCGTATTTCGCTGCGTTCGTGTTCGCGTTAATGTTGACACCCGCATTAACATTAGCTTTAGCGTTTAGATTTGGGTTTAAATTTGAATTAGGAGTAGGCGTGTTAGCGTTTACGGGTGCGGGTGCAGGTGGGGGTGCATTGCCCGCGTTCTGTGTGGCGGACGCGAGGTACCGCGCCGTGCACGCGAATCCGATGTCTGAGGTTATGCGCGCTACGCGCCCGTATTCGGTTGTCCAGGGGTATAGTAAGCTATTGTTTAGGATGTCGGGGTAGAGACCCGGGTCTGTGAGTAGGGCTTCGATGGTAGAGTCTGAGGCTTGTGGGAGGCTGGCTCGTACGTATCCGAGGACGTCGGCGGAGGTGCTGATTTCGGGGGGTAGGAAGGGGACGGATTCGTTGGATGTGTGGCTTGTGAGGATCTGGGGCGGGAGTGTAAGTTTGGAGATGCACTATTTGACGTTAAAAAAAAGAGGGGGATAGAAAAGATTACTTACATCAACGTTAGAGTCGAACTTTCCCTGGTAGAGGAGAATCTGCGCAACGTCCGGTACATACGTGCCATCGGGGCCGATGCCGAAGCCAAAAGTCCCAATAGGAGCCGGCATGACCGTTCCTTGGTTAATAGCCATCAGTGCTGCGGCAGGCAAATTGCGCAGACCAGCTATCCCTTTTACCGTCACCCCCAGCTGCTTCGATGCTTCAGTCAACGTCTTATTATAGCCCGCAGCTAAATCGATGTTGAACTGGAAAGCCGGCGACTGCGGAATCGCCCTCTGAAATGGCGCGGACACATTCCCACCGTAGGCCGTGATATGGTGGACGATGCTCGAAGCGCCCGCACTTTCTCCCATGACGGTTACCTTGTCCTTGCTCCCGCCAAATAGGCCGATGTATTTCTGCACCCATTCTAGTGCGACCCGCTGGTCGTACAACCCGAGATTAGGCGTGACGTCGTTGCCGGCCAACCATCCGTACATGCCCAGGCGGTAGTTAATCGAGACCACGATAATGCCGTCCTGTCCGTTGCCCCGCGACTGGGAGATGAGGCCGGAGGGGTTGCCGTAGAAGGATTTAGAGCCGAATGTGAAGCCGCCTCCGTGGATCCATACTAGGACCGGGGCTGCGGACTCAATGTTGTTAATTACGAGTGCTAAGTTGCATTGATAGGAGAGTGAAGGGTTGAAATTTTCATACCTTCTGCGGCAACTCCTTTTATGAAAACATTATCCGGTACGTACACGTCTAAGACTAGACATGCTTCTGTCTGACCGGCTTGTCCATTAAGAGTCACAGCTGCCGTTTCTTTTGCTATTCCGCGGCGCTCCGCAGTGAGGCTGATGACCCATTCCGGGTAGGCTTGCGGACACACTACGGTGATATTGTACCCGTTGTTTACAGGTTTTGTATCGTTTACTTGAAGCCCTATGTCGTTTATAGGAACCGGCTTCTGGAAGCGCAGCTCGCCGATGGGTTGCTCTGCATATGGTATGTTGTTGAATATGTAATAGTTTCCAGTTTTCTGTCTCTGTCTGTTAGCCCTCCTATGACTATGCTCTTTTTCTTTTTCTTTTTATAAGTAATAGAAACCGGGTAATATATGGATAATCACTTTTTATAAGATTGGTTTATTATCGGCGCTAAATCTGCACAGAAACAACGTACATTGACTGAACCCTGATGGATTTCATATCCTAAGTCGACGGTTGGCAGCACGCCCGTCGAATTTGACCCATAGGGTCCGAGAGCGAAAGAGAGCGCGCCGGCGTAAGTGACTAGCAGAAAACAAGATATCTTGATATTGGCCGTCATATTTGCTAAACAGCCTACGAGCTGCAAACGAGTCCGAGTCCCGGAGGCAAGAGCGAGAAAAGGGAACATAAAGGGTCAAGGAGACACCACAGCGGCGGTTCAGGCTATGAAATACGCATTATAACACCCCCCGTTACTAGAATCTTAACGGGCGATTAGTGTTCGCTAGACGTTGCCGTGATGTTAATATGCCAACAGTGCGCGAATTATGCTCTGGCTTAGGAACGAGCGCAGTCTCATCGCTCGAACTGTATAAAGACGCATGGTATGCGATTGCAGAGCAACCGAAGGAGGAAGTAGCCCAGTCGGCTACCATCGATACTGGACACAGCCTCAATGTATATGAGTTAGAGTCCTCGGGAGGGAAAGTTAGTCGGCATTCGTATGCATATGCAGGCCAGGATAGGAAGGTTATCTTAGTAAATTCAAAAGCCAAGATCAGAAATATCTGGGGACATGCTCTCATAGCCACTGTGGATGTAAGCAAGGTAGGAGTAAAGGGCCTCGTAACTGTGATGTAACTCAACACATTGTGAATGAGCATAATGGAGGTATGTATGGATTTGTCGGATAACGCCACGGAGCCGACGCTCTTGAGGATATGGGTTTATGCCCGTCCGATTCTAACAGCTATGTCATCATTGCATGAGTTACCAGCCCCATGTCTCATTGGATTCGACATTTATCTCAGCTATTCCTATCAAGCAAACATGTCGCAAGCTAACTACTAGGTACTCTTCCTGCCAATATAGGTCATGTACCTAGCGTGCCCCTATCACCTCACGAGACTTATATACAAGTACACGGTTACCGGAACTATGGTACAGGGCTGAGAATGTGGTTAAAACTACTAGCTCGCGATTAAGCTAGGTTCCTCTTATAAATATGTACGGTGTTGCCATCACGTCCGAGGTCGCCTATCGTTTGAGCTTGCTTTCTCCTCGGAATCGCCGACTTCTCTTTCTTTTTCTCCATCCGAATTGAACAAGGTCTCTTGAGCTGTAAGAAGTAAGTTAGAAAAGTCATTAGCGAAATAATATCACCATAAAGAATTACACTTACCACTCCAGAGTTCCGAGTAAAGGCCATCGCGATCAATCAATTCCTTATGCGTTCCCTGCTCGGCAACTTTTCCCTCCTTCAATACGATGATCAGATCGGCATCGTATATGGTTCGTAATCGATGGGCTACGAAAACACTCGTCCTCGCTTTTTCTCGCAGAATACTGTTAATGTTCTGCATAAGAGCCTGTTCCGTGTGGGTATCGAGCGCGCTTGTCGCTTCGTCAAAAAACAGTAGAGGTGGGTCCTTCAACAGCAATCGGGATACCGCAAGGCGCTGCTTTTCTCCTCCACTAATCATCATACCTCTCTCACCCACTTTCGTGTGGTACCCAGAAGGCCAACTGGATATTATGTCATGGATTCGGGCACGTTTCGCAGCGGCAATAATTTGAGATTCGGGTGCTGACATATCACCATATTTGATGTTATGTTGCACGGTATCGTTAAAAAGCGGCGTGTCTTGCGGGACAACTCCGATTGACTTGCGAAGCGATTCCAACGTAACATGGCGAATATCTTGATCATCAATGAGGATTCGACCATTTTCGACGTCATAATATCGGAAGAGAAGTCTTAATAACGTAGACTTTCCGCATCCACTCGGCCCGACAATTGCGACTTTCTTGCCTGCAGGAATCGTCATGGTTAGGTCTTGAAGAATCGGGCGCTCTTTATTATAGCCGAAGTTAACATGCTCAAACTTGATCTCACCACCTTTAGCAAGGAGGAGCGGTTTCGCATCAGAGAGTTCTTTTATGGAGACATTCACCTTCTGTAAATTGAAGAGTGTCTCCATATCGAGGAGGGATTGTCTTAACTCTCGATAGACCGAACCCAAGAAATTCAACGGAACAGAGAGTTGGAAGACGAGCTGGTTGACCATGACCAAATCACCAACTGTCAACGAGCCATTTGCCACACCGTTGGCTGCGAGGTACATCATCCCGGTAAGCGCACTTGAAAAGATGATATTCTGGCCACTGTTGAGAAAAGCCAAGGATGTCTGAACTTTAATAGAGCTCTTTTCATAATCATGAAGCGCCTTATCATATCGGGAAACCTCGAACTTTTCGTTGTTGAAATACTTCACAGCCTCATAATTGATCAAGGAATCGACTGCTACCGTCGAAGCCTTGTTATCGGCGGCGTTAGCCTGTCTTCGAAACTTCGTTCTCCAGGCTGTGGTCCAGATGGTAAATGCCGTATATGCCGTCATTGTAATGACAGTAATAGCAGCATATTTCGCACCGTACTGCCAAGTCAAAATACCACACACCATGCCAATCTCCAGCGCTGTCGGGACGATGTGGAAGACCATACTGGTGAGTAAGAAACTAATACCCTTGGTACCTCTATCAATCGCTCTCGTCAGCCCACCAGTTTGTTTGGTGAGATGAAAGTTCAGATCGAGGCGCAACAGGTGATCAAAGACATTACAAGCAACTCTTCGAATCGCCTTCTGTGCCACCGAAGCGAACACGGCATTTCGGAGCTCTTGAAATACGGTAGCGCCAATCCTCGTTGCGCCGTATGCTATTATCATGCTCCCCGCAATCATAACAGCAGTACCACCCGTATCCCCGATATCGATATTCATAGCGTCGACAATACTCTTGAAGTAAAACGGCACCTGGACATTCAACACCTTTGCGCCGACAAGAAGCACGACGGCTAAAGAGACGCGCAACTTAGTGCTTACGCTATCCTTAGGCCATAGGTAATGCGCCATCTCTTTCATGATGGCCCAGTCAGCTTTTCGTTGCTCGTGTGCGCTCTTGTCGATCGCGGCAAGGGGGTCTTTGTGTTCGGTGGTCGGCTTCTTCGGTTTTGGGGCATCGGGGGCATTGGAGCTGAAGTTGATTGTACTCGATGGTAGCTTTCGGATAGGACCTAAGTCTTGGGGATGGCCGGGCTGAGGTCGTTGTCGCAGATATTGGGACGTCGTCAATACGCGCGTGCCACTACGTAGCAACGAAGAGAGCCATGAACCTAAGTGAGGTTTGTTGTGGCCGAAACAGCTTTGGTGAGGGCCAATAGCCCTACAGGCTGTTCTGACGATCATGGCTACGGTGTCGTTGAGATATTGGTCATCGTGGACCGCGCGAATCGGCTAGGTCGTGAGAGTCGTCGGCGTTGAGATTGTGTAGGCACCTGTGAATGCAAGGGAGAAATATGATGAATCCAATCGAAGTGAGGTTCAATTAGGAATCATAACCTCGTAATTATCGGTTGATTGAGTTTAGGATATGTAAGGATGTGGGTTACAAAGGAGACTTGGAGATGTAGAGATTGGATATTTGAATTCGACTCATAGATGGATATTTGGATGAATTCATAAGGGAAGTTTCTAAGTAAATCAGTAAATGGAGGGGCACGCATAGAAGCTTACATGAAAGTCGCGCAATGATTGATCGATCTGACGTAGAGTCTTTCTGTTAAGGTCATTGCCTAATATAGTTAGCCTACCCTTATTTATAAACTTCTGGTTGCCGAATCGGCCGGGGCAGGGGCAGATGCCATATCCGAGATCCATTATCTCCGAACCGTTGGTAGTACGTAGGCAAACGGCAACTGCCTAGGCCTTTTTTCATTTCTATAGATTTGGCAGGTACAAGTACAACAATGAAATTTGGTCGTTGCTGACTACCGAAACTCCGAAGCCTCAATCTCGATTAATAGTATCCTTCCCCTTCTTCTTAGAAAGACAATATCCCACCAACGTCAACGGCTGGCCGATCCTATGTTCTTGTGTGTCCGGCTCCGTCCATTCTGAGAACTGGATGAAACCAAGCTTTTCTAGGACTTTCCGGCTTCCTATATTGTTCACATCTGCATTGGCGTAGACTTGTTCAGTAGCTTCCGATTCGGAATCCTTTGTCCTGGAGACGGACGAAGAGCACACCCGTCGCTTAACATGAGACCTAGGTAGACTCCACCAGGCTTGAAGAAAAGCGCCCAAAAACTCTGTCGCATATCCCTGCCCCCAAAATTCCTTTCTGAATTTGTATCCGATTTCCGGCCAGCCACAGGACGAAGACTCAAGGTTGTGAACGCCACCTTCGCCAATTAGTTCCCCTGTCGATGCAAGAAAAACGCCATAGAGGAACATTTTGTCATCCTTTGGTGATAAGAAGTCACTCATAGCTGACCTAGACTCGTCTATATCCCGATCGGGTCTCCCACGAGCTGTGCCAGTCATTGCTTCTGGCTGTGCACGCAATTCGTGATAAGATTGAAGGTCATCTTCCTGCATAGGTCGAATCACTAGTCGCTTTGTTCTGATTGGTTCACGTTGGGAATTTGGTGGAAGTGGTACGCACGGAAGCGTGGTCGCCACAAGAGTCCAAGAGCTCTCCATAATAATGAGGCCTTCCTTGAAAAGAGTGAGAATCAGGTATGTGTGAGTATTGTCTAGATTATTAAAGAATTGATTTAGTTTATGCTTATACCACTTTCAACTCTCTTAAGACTCTTGACGTGACTCATCCGGCTACTTTTTTTAGTCTAGTTTACTGGACTAGGTTTAAAACCCCCTAATCCGCCTCTATAAGTAATCTACCTACCTACCTACCTACCTACTTTTGAACCAACTTTTCAACTGACTTTTCAATTGACTATTCAATTGACTATTCAATTGACTATTCAATTGACGATTTAATCGATTATTCGATCGACTATTTAATCAGTCCGGCGACTGATTTATTAGCTGAGTACTGATTGCATCTGGGGACTGGACCAGGGACCGATTTACTGACTATTTGACTGACTGTTGAACTGACTGTTGAACTGACTGTTGAACTGACTGTTGAACTGACTGTTGAACTGACTGTTGAACTGACTGTTGAACTGACTGTTGAACTGACTTTTGAACTGATCCAGGGACTAGATCAGGGACTGATTTACGAACTGATCAACTGACTTTTGAACCTTCCTTTCAACCTCCTTTTGAACTGATCTAAGAACTGGATCAAGTTCGAAGAACCTATTCATCGCAAGGAAACTTTCCCAGTCCTTCGGGCGGATATTACCTTTTGTTTTTATCTGACTTTCTTCTTCCTTAAACCTGCTATTCCCTTTAAACCCCCATATATAGCCTTCCGCGAGGAAAAATTTTTTTGACCTTTTTTTTTGTTTTTTGAAGTCCCCGTAGCTCGCGTAGGGCCGTACTTTGAAAAATAAAAAAAAAGGTCAAAAAAATTTTAATTTTAAGTTTTATCTTGATATGGGCCTTCTCGAGGAAGCGTCGAGAGGAAATGCGGGCAAGGAAGAATGAGCTCGATGTAATTGAAAGAGGCCAAGTAGACAGAGCAGCTGTTCCTGTTACATCGAACTTACCCAATAGGAGAATTGACGAAGTTACAACTCGTAATACCAATGACTGGGAGGATGAATTACGTTTATATCGAAACATGCATGGGTATGGGAACATTCGCGTTCCGAGAGACAACCCGCGATCCCCACGCTCAGGATCTCCTTCCATAGAGGCCCGTTCCAAGCCTGAGATCGATATCACTGACGCAAAGCGAAGGCGTGGCAATCGAAGCCCTGCTTCAAATATCCCCTTATATAGCCTTGGTCCTCTCGTACACGAACCAGAGGAATACGACGAAAGTCAATATTCGGAGGTTGGTGAAGTATCGAGGGCAAGGGCTGTGCCAATAGTGAAGGTGACTAGCAAGGCAAAGCCTGTTGTGGTGAGACCAGGCATAGATCATATTCCCAGACGCGCTACCATTTCAGGTTCCGCTTAGATTGATTTGACGGTAATATCGCTCATCGGGGACATGAAATCATATGAATGAGAAGCATGTTGAAATGTGTAAGAATGAGTAAGTTTAGATGACTTAGTCCAAATGGGAGTTTAGGTAAGTTCAGATAACTAGACACCTACCGAATATAATGATACCATAAACCAAACTTGTATAATGCTTTTTACATGTGTGAGCTAACGGGAGAACCTCCCTATGCATGTGTTTCCAGGAGATGATACTGATTGTCAACTTTTAAATGCACCGTATGTTTGATGTGGTAAGGGTCTTTAGAGGTGCAAGGCTATATATGTGCCTACCTTCCCCTATTCGCGAATCTTAGGCGAGCAAAGTAAAAAGTGTATAGATATTTTAATATTATAAGTGTCTATATTTATATATGCAATAAGTGAATCATGATATCTATACGAGTCGTCACTACCTATTTGCTAGGTAACTAGAAGGTATGAACCTTGATTCGTACGTGCCCTTCTAGATATTTTGAGGCAGATCTCCGGGCCGTCACGACGAGCAACTTCCACATTATTTTACTGGGTCTTGGTTGCCATACTGTAAAAGCAGCAAGTTGCCTTTTGGAAGGACCGACAGTCTTTCGGTACTATTTCATATCAGTCGTCCCCAACCTCATTCTTCCCGTCTTTCAATACGTCTTTCAACATTGTTTACCACTCACCACACATACACTTTACGCCAACCCGTTCAACTCACTCTTTCTTCGGGTTCGCCGCGGTTATCCTAATGTTCTGAATGTGATAAGTACTAGGTAGTCGAGGTCTGATTAAGCCTTTAGCTCTATATCGTCTCGTCGAGAACCTACTTACTTTTATCTGTAAGATGTCACGACAAGGAAGTAAGTCCTTCCAGCATCGCAGATTACTAGTGATATTTCCCCCCCTTTTCCATCCCCGACACTGACCTTCAATACAGCCCTTAAGGAGCCCCGTCTCCAGTGTGACAAATGTTCCTACAAGGCAAAGAAAACTACCGGCAACCTACTCAACCACATATATTATAATCACATTGGCACGCAATGTTCTTGGCCGGGTTGTGACGTGCAGACACCTTCCGAAACAGCAATGCGCGCACATCTGAGGAGGGTCCATTGCGACGCCGATGTGCACGTAGCCGAAGAAGGCGACCGCACAATCGTGAGATTCAAATGTACATGGCCAGAGTGCGGCAAGATTCACGTCCAGCACTCCAACGCAATTCGTTGTTGCAACTTCCATGCCTATCACGCGAACAAGAGACGAGAAGCACAGGAAGGTAATCAGCCGGGTCAGATCGAGAATAGTGTTGAAGACGAGGCTCATAATGAGGCTGAGGTTGAGGAGGATCATAAAATGGAGGATGAGGGTGAAAAGAAAGCTAAAGATATCCCCGAGGACGCGGGTGAGAGTAACTCCCACCGAGAGCCTGACAACGACCCTGATCACGGATTAGAGCCCGAGCTCGAGCCCGACGCAGGTGAGGGTGAGCGGGAGCAAGACAGCGAGGTGACCCGTATGCTCAAGTCCATTTCCGCTAAAATAGTGCAACACCACGCCGAGTATTCGACAAAACTTGACAACTTAAGCCGCCGTGTGGATAGCCTCGAAGTCGCTATCAGATCGGCAACCTCCGAAGAAGGACCGGTACCAAAGAAGGCAAAGTTGGGATGATCGACCAAAGCTACCTTAAGTTAACTCGGACAATAATTAATCTCGGGGAAAGGAGGGGGGATATTTGATGGGGTTGGAAATCGCATCTTCGGCCTCGTCTTGGGTATGTCTCTGGATTCAGTGAGACCACACCTATAGACGTTTCTATAGTTGCTTGGTACGAAGATTCATCGTCTGAATGAATCCATGGAGAGAGGTTCAGCTGCCCAGTGCGTCGTATGTATTCCGCACAGCCCTCTAAAATGCCTCTCGGTTAATCTCCGAAGTTCCATCTGATTCTTCTCTCGGTGTAGGCTGATGTTCTCAGCGAGCGCCACGTTCGTCATGCCTCACCGCAGAAAAGCCGCTGACGATATCTGCTTGAGCATCTTCCTCTGGCTTTCTTTGGTATGGGTGTGCTATCGATGATACCAGGTGCGCGACTAATTGCCGCCTCAATTACGGACGCGAAGTCGATATCGACGAGACCATGTGCAAAGCGAAGGAAGTCTAATCGCAAGTCGCATTTTCGGCTTCTTCGTCACGACGATGGGCGCTGGTCGCGTATCCTTTCAGGGTTTTGGTAGACCGTGCTTGTAAGCCCGTTTGCTTATTGGCCGCAACTGGGCAATGCTAATCGTCTTTTTATTATTATTATTATTATTATTTGGATAATTTGTCAATTAAGCTTATTCTTCTTTTCTCCCGTTTTTCTACTCTTCGCTGTCCTCGGTGATTGTCTTTCTATCCTTACTACGATCTAATAACCTTAGTTTACTAGGGTCCGATAGTACGAGGCTTTTGGACTGGATTGCCCTACATTTTCTATTTACGCCGAGTCTCATGTCTTTGGCTTCACTATCCCTCATCACGTACGAGAAAATTTTTGATGGCTATTCTCAAGTAGCGACCGAAGATACATCAAGGAAAGATGATGAATTTTAGGAAACGCCATTGCCTTGACATAGGCTTGGTAGAGATCGTTCATTCAAGGCCCAACGCATACCTTCCTTGTTTCCTGGCTTTTTTTTTCCTCGCTAATGACTTCGACTGTTTGTACATGGTATCCTAAAACGACGGTGGTTGACACGACTTAAAAAGACTATATCGAAACAATTTCATGGCTATTTTCCCTTCCCTACCTTCAGCGACTGATCGAGATTTCCCGATAACGGATAGACCAACAGTCTAGAAACTAAACCGATCGACTTCATCATGATATTGGAACTATTCCAAGGATAGCCATCCCGTTCTTAAGTACCTGCTGTGCGTACTTGTATAAAACGGTCTGGGCTAGGATAGCCTCGGGTGGTTCTTCGGGACTCGTTTTTCGCTTACTTCCGCTTTTGTCGTCGCTTTCATCGTTTAGACAGTATTGAAGTTCTTCGGCAAGATGGAACAAGTATGTGAGGACCAGGGATGGTTCGTGGCTCTTGATTGCTGCATCAACAGCGTCTGGGTATTTGGCCATCGCACGAATAAGGTCCATCCAGGGATCTTCCTGCAGGTATGTATAGTCGATGTTAGCTAACACCGCCTCTTCGGGATTTGAGTCATTGATCTTGGCGCTGAGTTTAGCATAGCAAAGCTGTAGACTGGGGCCTGTGTTGCCTTCGAATGGACCGAGCTTCTGTGAGTTGAAGGTGTAAGAGGTGGCACGTTTGTTGAGTCCACAGTACTGAGTGATTAGGGAGGTTACACCAAGGATTTCCACGGATTTCTCATCGTCGTTTATCTCAGTGTGGCCATTCGAGTCTGATCTGAGCGCATCGGAAGTATCCTTGACCGATTGATCTAGGATCTCTCCGAGCAAATGAGCTTCTTTCAAACCCTTGGATGGACCCTGAACTTTCCCGAAATTTACATGTTCAAGCTTGGCTGCCAAATCTTCATGACCCATGTACCGAAGCGCTTGGAACACTTTTTGGAAGTGGACGTCTTGCTCGGCCGCGACGACATAGATCATTTTATCGAATGAGTACTTCTTACTGCGATCGAGAACGGCGGCAATGTCTCGAAGAAGATATGATGTGCTCCCGGTGCGACCCCTTAAGACCGAAACGCCGAGACTTTTGGGTCCATGCTTGCTATAGTCAATGATCCAAGAGCCATCACTTTCTTCATAGATACCCTTCTCCTTGAGAACGGACTCGACTTCTGCAATCGACTCCGGGCTGACCTGCGACTCACCAGAAAATTCGTCAAATTTAACGCCGAGTCGTTCGTATTCGTGAGTGTAATAGGCGATGCTAGCGTCGCGCACCCGCTTCCAAAAGCCGATTTCCTCCGACTCGCCGTCTTCCATCCTCTTGGAGAAACCATCTCGCTCCGCGAAAATACCTTGTCTTTCAATTTCAGCAGTGTCGTGACCTTCATCACGAGCTTTGCGACTAGTCTCCTTCTCGGGCTTGAATTGTTCGTTAATCTTTTCATAGATGTCATGAAGGTGGCCCATCGGGTTCTCCTGAAACGCCTCTTCCGAGCCAAATTTCTTCCACCCAACACCTAGTAGGCCAATTTCTTTCCCCCAATCTCCCAGAAAGTTCAATCTTACTACATCCCATCCCATGGTTTCGTACAGATTAGCGATCTGTGCGCCAAGAACTGTACTCCGAAGGTGATGGGAGCTGAATTTTGTGGCGAGGTTTGGGGACGAGAACTCAATGATCATTTTCTTGGTGGTACCATCAATGAGGGGTATCATTTGGTCTATCAATGGTCTGCCTTGTCCGTAGTACTCCATGCGATCATGGATGTATGAGAGTACCAAACGAGGCAGTGACAAGGTTGAAAAGACGAAGCGTAAATGTACGCCGTCGGGCAATGGCATCTGGAATAGGGGCGTTGATCGAAACTGCGAATCAGACATGAGCGGGCGAGTTTGAATAATTAAAGGCAGCCTTAATGTTTTGTCACCTTCATAAAAGTCTCCTTGGCAAGGTCCTTCGGGTCAGAATTACCCCATTTCAGTTTCGGTAAGACGAGCGTTAGGTCGCTATTGTCTTTACCACCCGCGCTTTGGATAGCCTCATATGCTAGACCTGCATCGCAGCCCAGCACTTTTGAAGCGGTATCGGCTAAGTAGCTCCGATAGATGTCGATCGGTTTCCATCGGGCATCCGACCCGGCGAACGTGGGTATTGGGACGCCTACGTCGAGCTCTCTTAGGAGAGCCTCGAGGCCATCAATAGAGCATGTCGCCATTTCATAAAGATAGATAGATACACTGCAGTCGCCCGAAATGTTTGGAGACGGCCTTCGCCTAAGTATGTCGGGAGGCTTGGGCGGTCTCGCTGTTAATATGAGATTCATGTAATATCTAATCCAGCCGCACAGCCATTGAGACGAAGTTGGGCATGCATTTAGATGCCCGATCAGAACAAACTTTTCTTTTGACGGAATTTGGGGTCGTTAGGTAGGTAATGTCATATCATTTGTTGAAAGCTTGGAGAAATGATAGGGTGCCTTGGCTTATATATACCTACAATACAGGAGCTATACATAAGACGTGGTAGGCGCCGCCACGGTGTGCTTACTGCGACCGTTACACGAAGCGTCACCACCAACCGATTACCGGGTTAAGCTAAAGGGTCGCCTGGTTTATATGTGAACCAAATCTTCCTAGCCCTGATATTAACTCATTGTTTGGTCATGATAAAAGTGACGCAGAGTATAAGGATGAAGATGCCTATTGAGGCAACCCAGGATCCTACCCAACCGGTAGCCTTGTCTACTAATGTAGTACTCCCGTGGCTATGTTCTGATTATCCTGCCTCTCGGCTAAGGCACCTCGCCGTATTTCTCGACTATCTGACTCGATATCCTCTACAAATACGTGCCAGCAAAGCAGCCTGAGGTGAGACAACAGCGTAAATAGCATTCGAGCTTCGTTCGGTACGATGCTGCATGCATTATCTAAATTTCTCAGGCAATCATGATCTTCTTCGCAATGTCTCACATACTTCACGGCTGGCTGATCATGATGTGGACAATAAGCAGTCCACTAGTATTGGACCACGATAATGAACCTAGGACACACGTTGGGGAGATTGTGCATTTCCGCCAGGCAAAAGCCCACCTGTTATCTTTCTCCTCATTCTCATATACTTCATGGTGGCCGTCTATCCAGGCCGGGATCAATGCACGAGGCTCGTGGTAACCGGATCCATGTCAGTGTTTATATGATTTTCAATCAACATGGCCCCATCCCCACAACCACTCTATTGCTGGGATAATGCTTTGGACTCTAGCCAGAATCAGAACTTAAGCAGCCAATATGATGACCCTTTCGTCGACGCGTTGAGCGACCACGGTATTGATTCGGACTTCATCCCCCACTTCATGCAGGGTTGCGATGAAAATGAAACCTGTAACTATACGACGAAAGGAGTGGTGGAGTTCTGTCAGGGCACAGATATCAGAGGCTTGCGAGAAAATGAACGCGCAAAGACCGAACTCGTAGCGTTACTTGACGATGGCGTTGGCACCTCAGCATTGGGCTTACATCAAGCTCTTGTAAAACCAAAGAATGAGGTACGTAAGACGGCGAAGAGAGAGGGGGCTGATGCCTCGTCACGCCAGCCAACGAAGCGAAGTAAGGAACAGTATGCGGGGATACAAAGAGTGTAAAGAAGCCTTTGTGTCATTGGAAGTCATCAGCTTACCTATTCGTTGCAGATATATCCCAAATTTGACGCCTTGGACTGTTGTTGCTCTCGCGGCAAGTACACCAAACTACCAAGTCGGTGTTGTAGGCGAATTTATATTCAACCATCTTCGTTTTGACCCCCTCATCAATGCTAATATCCAGGTATGAGGTTCGCCATTGAATATCATCCCTGTGTCGTGTAGCTAATATGAATGTTAGCGCGATCATTTCCCATTCTTCACATTCGAATTCCATCTGCCTTGCGTTTTACTAAGAGAACAGAGATTGCCACAGAAAGATGGTCGAAGACTGCGGAAGCACCATGAAATTACATTCCTTTACAACATGGGCAAAAAAGTTGATAATAGCCCGACAAAATATCTATACGAATCTAATACATCTTGTTTAATTTCTGGACCAAGTCGCTACTCATGGACTGGCTTTCTCATCAAAGACCGGTACTTTACAATTGACGATGACCCTGAGAGTATCGAAGAGTACATTGCACAGGGACAGGATGGTGTCATGCCGGATCCTTTCGCAGCTGGCAAAAGACCTATGGGAGACCTACCGTGCGATGCACGAGAGCATTGGCTCATAGCTATTGGGAATAGTTTGAAACAAGTAAACAAGGAATCGTGGCACGTGTTTACGGTTATAGATGAAGCTATTCAAACATACGTGGGTACTCTTTCTTGAACAAGACTAACCCTGACTTTACCCATTTTGAAGCACATGTCAGCTAACGGTATTAATTTACTATCAGGGGAAGAACTGGAATAAAATGATTTGCAGAGTGTCATACAAGAATGGCTATCAGAGGGTCTCTTCGGATACGGATAAGAGTAGGTCACGACTGAGGGAAGAACATCAAGACTGGATGAGACGAAGTCTTGAGGTTTTGCGAAAGATTATGGGTATTCTGAATCAATACAGCGAAGAGTGGAAGATGTTCAGCGATCATGGGCTGAATTATTTCATGTCAACCGATGATGCTAACCACTTAAATCGACTGCGGAGGTCTCTCGTTGACGTGGACCAGCAGATCATCCGCTTGGAGCGTCTGCGGAACAAGTATAAACACGAGCTGGTCTGCTGTGAAGACATGGCCCGTGACGTAAGTTAAGGCTTACCTTCATACCGAAAGATAAAAACTTAACTAGAACAGTTCAATGATCGAATCGCCCTCGAAGATAACGAGTCAGCATTTTTCCAGAAAAAGACGGCTAGGGACGTCAAGGTCCTGACCTGGATGACATTTGTAAAGCAGCTGAGTCCCCAAGTCCCGTGCTAGCATGTGTGGCTAACAGGTGGTTGCGTCAGCTCTCCCTACCGTTTGGGTTGGCCTTCAGCCTCCTTAGTACACAGGACGGCTATATTCCGATGAAGCCGAGTTTAGGGGCATTGATAGCATCGATTGCTGTCTTTGAGGGAGTGATATGGATGATCCTTGGCTCGCTGCTCGGTTGGGGATGCTTTAGGGAAAAGGTGAAGGATTGGCTACCACATCAACTCAGATCCAAGAAAATGGAAATAGAAGAAGAACTCGATATTCAACAAATAGAGGGGCTGACCTAATCCTCGATTACTGTTCTGATACCAACAGACGGGAGTTTTCGGTGCCACATTTCGACGTATCGTGATCGACGCGACCTATTTTAGAATGCCGATATTATTAATCCGAGGGCCAACCAATGGTATTCAATACGCATTGGAATCCCCTTACATTGACGTCTGTATACCGATGATATTCCCCTGGATGATTACCGAGGCAAGGATCCCGAATTTTCCCCCTCCACAACATTATTCCCCTTGATCTAGTTCCGCGATTGAATCTTGTCGACCCGACAATACGCACACCTTGGTTCCCCACAATTTTCGCAATATTCGACATGGATATTCATTCGTGGATGTCCACAGGAGCACTACCGACAATTAGAAAACGCGAAGTTTGAGTGGGAAAAAGACATACGCAGCTCCAGATCCAGATCCATCTTCTTCTGGGCGGCTTACAATATCATCTTGTTCAGCATACTGTCGTTGTATCTCGAGTTCATCGGACGTTCGGCGACTGACCATGGACAATTGTGCTTACTAGAGTGCCAGGTCCGGTGAAGGTCTGTGCTCCCGAATAGGTGTCTACCAGGTATATTGGCTTATGAAAAGATAGCGGCCTTTGAGGCTCTGATGTGTTCCTTGTTTGTTGTATCCACATTACTTGGAGATAAATCCCTAACCAATCAATCAATCAACGCCGAGGTAAGGAATCGACATTTTTAAGTAATATGAGAACATAATATTAAATATCCAGCAAAGACTCGATCCCCAGCGAAAGACGGACATCTTGTTATTAAGAGATTCATGGATATGTACCAGGCGTGAGTAGATACAAAATAGGGGGTAAAACTACAAGGGTGTGGGGAATCCGGTCGTACTGTAGTACATAGTGCATTGGACACGGGTACGGGTAATACCGTTCGATTCTCACCCCTTGATACCTGAAATACCTGAGATGAAACAACTGGTAGAATCGTTTTAGTTTCTGGTTTCTGAATTTTGAATTCTGAATTCTGACAAGTTATAAAATAGAAAACCTCTTTAAATCCACCACATCTTTAACTAATAATGAGCTCCAGTTTCCATGAGCAACAGTTATTGAATGCCCGACTCCTAACTTAAGGCCCCACGCACCATGGTCGCACCAGTATAAATAAGACACGCAAAAAGTAGTAGGTTATGATTATCTGCCCAACGTTTGGGTACAGTATGCTGAGCCCCAGCACGATTCTGAATCTTCTTAGCATCAGCTTACTCTCGATTAAGCTACCTACCTCCTAGGTAGGTATTGGCGACTTGAGTTATAAATTTACCCCAAAAATATTATTATTGTCTTTATTTTCGCATCTTACCCATTCCGTCAGGTCCGGTAGAAAATCATGTTGGGATAAGATCGGACGGGGAAGGGGGGAAATATTCCCCTCTCTAATGTCCGCATCTCAAAACATTTTCACTTTAATTTAACCACTATTCAGCCACTATCAACTTCCACACTTGGGTACTCATATCCATGTCGCTGATATTTGCGGTAGGTGTTATTACTTTTCCTTTTTATCTAAGCGACCTCCCGCAAAAATGACGAAACCCTGCCTCTTCGTATCGTGTCGTACTAGACGCTAGATAAGTATTTCCACCATTCCTATAGCGGTCTCGGTCGCTTATATACGATAGGCATGATCACCAGACTATTGAGTTCCACGATAATTTCTTGCGCTGCATTGCAAGATATTGTACGCCTTATTTCCACCACCGGCTGGAGTATTGAAGTTCTTCATGTATTGCCCTTCCTATTCTCCGACTGGGGACTGCTACCAGTCAATGGGATAACGGTACACCCCGTTGGGTTAATGATCTAATAACACGCGAAATACTCGTTTATCGTCGATCCTTTCATCGGAAGGACTGAGCTAGAGATCGCACTGTCAGAGGTCTGGACTGTTGGAGGACTGGTGGCTGGTTCAGCAGGATCGAGATTCAGCCCTCGGGGAACCATGGGTTGCTGAAAGGTTCTCCGTACCGTGTTCCTCGGTTGGGAATAGGTAATTTCGAGCTCTTCGCGCAACGACCTCATCGTTTCCTTGCTGTTTTGTTGCGTCTCGTCGCACACATTGTTGATTTTATTCCTCAAAAAGGTATCTCTTTATTAATAAATACCTAGACTTATCATGCAGGTACTAATTACCTACGAGGTAGTAACTACTGGGTACTTAAGGTATGCAAATACATATATTGGTAGCTATATCACCACGAAGACATGATTTAATCTGAATACGATGTCTTATTCAGGTTGTCTTGGAATGGAGTTGCACGGGATTCGGAGTAACTCAACACATACACCCTGCGGGACAATGCCATAGTTAGCAAGTTCACTTGAATGTATACCTGCATGATTCAGGCATTTTTATATAGAGGAGTCTATGTCGATTACGAATTTATCGACTCAGGGGACTGCACGATTGGATTCCTTAGGTAGGTTAAAGGGGTTCAGCCTCAAAATCTAACTTCATTTCAAAGGTCTTTACGGACTGCTTTTGGTGCATCTATGAAAGATAAGTCGCTGCATAAAACTAGGTAGACAAGCCCGCCCTTTAAAGCTTTATATATATGAAAACATATATAGAGTTCCCGTAGCAGGAGCTTTGAGGCGATCCGCCTTACGATTTCCCCTGATACCTATCAGGTATCTACCTACCTAGGTAGGTACCTAGGTACTTAACCGACATTGAGAAACCAACACCTGGATACCTATCTTGACACAAACGAAAACACCAAGGTTATCCTATGTATGTTCTCCTCATATAGTTGTTCTTACTATCTACCTATTCTACCCGGGTCGTAGAGAACGTTACTGTCACAATGGCACCTGCTCAAATGGACAACCAGAACATCTTGGTCTTACACATCCTGGGCGTTTATATTCACGCCCTACTACCTTTCCGAACCCGTAACAACACTTCAAGTCATTAGTAGGCCTCAATTATCAGATATGAAATTCAAACATCTTAGTATAGGTAAGCACTCATGCAAGCCCATAACAACATTCATGTTTTTTTTACCTAAATCATCATCTCACTATATCAAATAAGCACTCATTCGAGTGAATTAAGGTCGGGTCTTAAAGGAATTCACTTCTGGGGCAAATTTGTTGCCTTCGGGCGCCGACAGATGTGGTTAGGGTGTCATCGGGGCCAAAAGGGACTTACACCGAATAGTGCGCTGGCTGGTGGCAAATATTATCAAAATTTCGGTAGGAAGTCCAAAGATATTTCAATGAAACGAAGCATCACTTGAGATACCCTAGGTAACCATTTGAATGTGCTAGCATGATTTAGACATGGTCACATTTACCAACTGGGCACCAACTTTATGACTCGAGCCCATACGTTGGCAAGTGACGTGAGACTGTGAACAAGGAAATCTTAACTCCAATGTTAAACATCACCTTGTATAGATCTAGAACGTGAATTGTCTGTAATACATGATAAGCCATATGATAAAGGGATGGCGAAAGCATCTCTACAGGATAATCAGTTCCTAAGTCTGATTCATGCTACGTGAAACAAGTCATAAAATGAGTAATATTTATGGAAATCACGTTGTTCTCTTGAGGCAAGATATCCTGCAAGGTGACATTCGATCAGTGTTCAGGTTTTCGTCCTTAACTCGACCCTCAGCCTAATTAGGTAGGTAGGTATGAACTCTTCAAGCAAAGCGTGATGATTCCGTGTCTGTATCATTGCTTTGGCCATTGAAAACCTACCTATCTTTATAGGTGAAGACGTTAACAATTTGGACATTCAGACAGCTATACCTAGGTACGTTCCACGCGGAAAGGGGTTGATAGGGACTTGCCTCATATATAAACATGTCTAGTAACTGCCTTGTAAGTAGGTAGGTACCTTATAAAGAAGAGGCTGAGAAGCTTGTAGCACTTGATGTTAATAGGCAGAATGGTATATGTTATCGTTATTGGCATGTTGAAACTTTATTTAAATCTTGCATTCTCGCTAGAAACCACATTGACGAACCTTGAAATTCCCGAACTCCCTACCTACCCTAATACCTAGGTACTTATCAAACATTTAAACAACAGTCCTCATATCTTACTGGAAAGAGCGATCCAGACGAGCAACAAGACAAGGTCAGCCCACCACTTAGACTTTCACAAACTCCCATGCGGTCCCCTTACCCTCACCAAATGTTTCGACTAATTTAGTCCCGCTTTTGTCGACATCCATCTTCATCAGACAGAACCAGTGCGATGTCAAAAGGAGATAGCCGCCATCCGGATGCCTTCGCGCGCAAAAGTTCTCCCAGCCAGCATGGTGCTTGACCTTGGCCATATAGCCACCCTTATTATTGCGACCCATATACGTGCCATGTATGGGGTCGTAGAATCCTAGCCACCCGCCTTTCTCGACGCAGACCCAGTGGTATCCTCCTTGCTCGCCTGTATGATGCTTGAGACGCAGCTCTCCTCGTTCGAGAGTAATCTGTCGTCCTGTAACGGGATGACGAATTATATATGTATTACCCGGGCACGGCACGGTCTCCTTGATAAACGGAGGTGGGGAGAGGTAACTATGGGTGTAGTCGGGTAACGAATCGACATCTTCTGTTGCGACTGAGTGGGTTGGAGTTATGTCACCCGCCGTTGTCGAACTTTTTGCGCTGATTTCCATATCAGGGTCGCGATTGGCTTCCATCATGATGCTATATCACTAGAATGCTACTAGGTAGTTGCCGATTTATTGTTGGATGAAATTTTAAGGCTGGAAGAATGGAAAAAGATAGAGGAGGCTGTTAGGAAGAGAGAGGGGTAGTTGGGTGTCTTGAAAGCGATTGCGCCACGCCGGTGGCCTCGATCGCTGCGACCGGTGTCACGCCTCAGCCATTCTTCGCATCCAATCAATGCGCTGAATTGCATTTACTTAAGTTTGGCGACTTCTTGCAGCGCGACAATTCTGCTCGCGTAGCAAAAATACGCTACTCGCTACCTAGGTACTTATTATACAATATATGCCTACCACATACCTAGTACCTTCCATACAGGTATTTATGTGACGGTGACCTAAATAGGTCCCTAGATGAAGAGCGTTAATAGTTTAGTTTAGCGGGTGTTTTACCTGTCAAGCGGCATTGTAGGGCTGACTAAGTGGGGCAATTGTTAAATCCGCATATCGGAGTTAATGGCTTGGAACCAATTTCCAAGTTGGGACTAGCAAGATTACATAATGTCACTGCTGAATAATTCCATCAGGATCCACTGGCCAGGTACCTAGTACCTTGCCGTACAACCAACAATCCTCCATCTTACTTACCACTTCATCGAGGTCATTCTTGTAGAATATCTAGCAATGACTATCCGATTTACAGACTAACAACTGACCACGACTTTCAAGAAATGTCATGTAGGAAGTCTCATAAGAATTCCCATCATGGCTGCATTCAATGCAAATCAAGGAGGTTGAAGGTTCGTAACGTTCTACTAAATATCTACAGGTAACGAACCCCTAACTCGATTTTAAGTGCGACCAAGAGCAGCCCAGTTGTGCACGATGTATGAAGAAAGGCCAAGACTGCACTTACAGACATCTCATGTCATCATATAATCCATTCGGAGACTACAATGATCTTGGATCAGCACCAGATTCTTCAACAACATCATCTACTATTGACATATCTGCTTCACAGCAAGGCCGCCAATCCCTCGACCTTACGCCTCGTATATACTCGCCAAAGCGAACCCCTTCGATAAGACCGTCGGATATAACCGCCCCACTTTATAGAGGACCTTTGATGTTTGACCCAACTACCGAGCAGCTCTTCTACCATTATGCCACCGAGGTCTCACCTGTCTTCACGTCCTTGGATGTACCTGTCGAAGTCTTATCAAGTTTTCATAATGCTGTTATTCGGCACTCGTTTGAACATGCCTACGTCTATCATTCCATGTTGACCATCTCCGCGCTTCATCTCGCCTCCCTGACACCTGTTCTAACGACTAGTTCTCAAACCCGCTCACCGCACATTGTTACAGCTTTAACACATAAAGCATCCGCTCTAGAAACACTTCGTTCAATTGTCAATTCAATTACTGCTTCAACATGCGAACCGGCATTAGCTGCATCTGGACTTCTTACAGTATGTGCCTTTGCTATGCTCCATGCCGGAGTCGCTTTGGATATCATTGATCTACTAGCTCAAATCATGACCTTATACAGAGGGACTGTATCAATCTTCCGGTTCGGTCGACAGGATTCTATTGCGGTCCTTAGTGATACAATCCCTACGCTAAGGCAAGCTATCTTGACAGCTATAATAGGCGAACGAGCATGGCCAAGCGCCGATTCAGCCGCTGATAAAGTGCTAGCTGAGATTCTTGAGCTGAGCGAGGATAGCGACGACGCTAAGTTTAAAAAGAGCGTTTTACTCGATGCAGGACTTAAGCTAAAAGTTGCGTTGAGGCGGGTTGCCGGAGCGCGGGGCGTGTACAATGTGGCATGCATGTGGCTTGCTATGGTACACCCTATGACCATCGAATACATCAAAGCTCGAGAGCCCTTGAGTCTTATTCTTCTAGCTCATTGGGTAATCGCTCTAAGATATATCAAGCATATCTGGTGGGTTCAAGGTTGGCCTGAAAGGACTGTCCAAGCCGTATGGCAAGAGACTGGAGAACGATACCCCGACTTGTTCGAATGGATTTTCAAAGAGATGAGAGGCGAAGCTCAAGACGAAGATCATTCAATTCCGATAGAAGACCCATCAATCCCGACTGGTATTACTGCACCACCGGTAGACTAGTCTTCAAAACGCACGTTCAATTACACGATAGCTAAATCGACCTCTTCGACACGACTTGAAACAACGTTGGCTGCATGAATATTACGTTCGGCCTATTCACCTCCTGCTCCATCAAAATAGATTTTGTATCAAATATTCTACGATAATGACCTGTATGATACGGCGACTCGGCCGTTTTCCTCTAATAGTGAACAGCAACCAGGGTGGTTCCGGTTCCACTTATTTTCGACCCGTTACCCTTGGTCGATTGGGTCCTCGTAAACTATACCAGATTCGGAGCACGAGCAACATCTGGGAACTACGACTCAGCCCCTGACTGTTCGACGAAACTGTTATGCTAATTTTCCAGTTGGTATTCGCTCTGCATGTGAAGCTGATAATATGAGTAGAAATATTCTAAAAAGGGTCCTAGAATATCATATATATAGCAGATCCTGACCACGATGTTCCGATTTAGATCTACCTCAGGGCTGTCCTCTCGTTGTAAGACCACTCATAGTTGTCCATTCCTTGGCCCTGCCACTCTTTTCTCTAACTACTCTTTTTTTAAGTCTCGACACATAACTATTATAAATAGTTCAAGATGTTACCTAATTGTCGTGGCTTCATTACGACTTTTGGGCTATTGTCGATATGTTCTGGCGCAGAAGGCACTTCGAGTCAGAATGCGATAATTACCAACTCATCACTACCTGTCGTGGATCTTGGTTACGTATGAAATAATAACCACCATTGCAAGACATTACGCTTACTTGTTGAATAGGAATGTCATCAAGCTATAAGCCTCAATGTAAGTTACTCAAAGATCGACTTTTCCAGTCACCATACTCACACAGTCCTTTAAGGAGACAGGCGGTTATTATAACTTCTCGAATATCCGATACGCCGAACCACCTATAGGAAATCTCCGTTTCAGGGCACCAGTTGAACCTCCGAGCCAAGATAAATGTGTTATCACCGATGGATCGATTGGCCGCGTCTGTCCCAAATCTTCCGGCAATTGGACCATCATCGCCTCTCAGTTTGCGAAAAGCTATCTCGCGGGGTTACCCTTCAACTACGATTTGGCCGAGAGCTTGCTATCCGATTCGCCAGCAGCAGTCAGTTCCGATCCTAGAACCACCGAGGATTGTCTATTTTTAGATGTCATTGCGCCGCGGTCCGCTTTCGCCGGGAATGGCCCCGGTCTTCCGGTGCTCATTTGGGTATGATTTTTAATTACTCCCTGAACTGAGCGCTCTAGTTATTCACACTTATCAGGTCTATGGCGGCGGATACTCTTCGGGCGAGAAAACGGGAAACGGAAAATTTAATCCGGCCGGCCTCTTAGCAGCCAGTAGCAGTGATTCTGGTTTCGTCTTCGTAGCAATAAACTATCGACTTGGTGCTTTCGGGTGGCTAGGCGGCGATGAAGTTGGCGCTGATGGGACGCGGAATGCTGGGCTGTATGACCAGCGCCTTGCTTTTAAATGGGTCCAGAAACATATTCATCTTTTTGGAGGTGATAAAGATCGTGTCACAGTCATGGGTGCTTCTGCTGGCGCCGGTTCTATTATGCATCATATTACCAGCTTTGGGGGTGTTGAGGAAGCGCCGGGTTTCAACCAAGCAATTTTATTCTCGCCTGCATTTCTCCCTGCGCCAACAGACTATATTCCAACTATGTCGTTCGACGACCTGATGCAAATGACGAACGTTACGTCACTGGATGACTTACGATCTTTATCGAGCGAGACACTTATTGATGCCCATGCTCTGCAGATATACAGTCACGCTCCGTATGGAAGCAATATGTACGGGCCATCAGTTGACGGCTCTTTCGTGCCTGCTTTGCCGGGACAACTCTTGGCGAAGGGTTCATTTCACAAGAACATTAGCATCATGGTCTCGCATAATACGCTTGAAGGGCTCATATTCACTAAGCCATCAATCAAGACTACTGAGGATTACCTTGATATGCTCCGCGAAGCCATGCCCACGATCTCAAATGAGACCCTGGGATTTATCAGCAATACCTTGTATCCGGCTGTGTTTAATGGTACCTATGGTTATACAGACCAGTTTCAACGCGCTCTTGTTACTATCCAAGACAGCACTATCGTCTGCAATACGCGATATTTAGCTGGCGCGATGAGTGACCGTGCTTATGGCAGTAAGTCATATGTTTTCTTGACATTTTTGGGGAGTACTTTGCTAACCGGCTGAATAGTCCAGTTCGCGGTTCCTCCCGGGATTCACGGGGAAGAAACCGCGTACATATTTCAGAATGGTGCAACATCTGGTGTGGCTCAAAATGTGGCAGATAACCTTCAGCAATACATCGTCAGTTTTGTCATGAACTCGGTTCCTACTGATGTTAATGGGTTGCGTATGCCTCTTTATGGAAATGCAGCACAGTTGACAAGCATGGATGCGTCTGGTTCTACTGTGGTTAAGGATGATACTGCTAATTCGCGATGCTCCTGGTGGCAACAAGCGCTATACGCCTGAGAGAGTCGTCCAATTTAGGGGATCAAGGATAGGTTTAGGGGGGTTCAATGGTGTTACTAGCGTGATCCATGGTGCTAATAGCGCTGATAGGAATCGAACCTATCCCCGCTAATAGCCCCTAGTCTCTCCCAAGTCCAGCCCCTCGGGTGATTTGTGGGGGTACTTTTGTCCCCCGCCCCCTCTTAATCCCCACCATATAACCCCGCTGTCAGCCCTACGAACAGGGTCTAATTGCAGAATACCCAGTAGGCTTCGGCCTCCGCGGATTATAATGGATATCTATAGCAGTGGTTAAATTTTTAGGCCATAATGTACTGCAGGTCTAAATAGAGCTAGATTATGAATCTTATATAACCTCTTCCTTTTCCCATAGCCCTCGCATCTCTTTTCTGGCATCTACCAAGATAAAATAAACTTACCTAACTCTATTACATATCCCCTACCTCATCAAAAGTATCAAGGATGGCTCACACCTCCGAAGAAACTCAAGTCTACGATTCAACCACATTCTGGGTTGCTCCAGCACGGAATTTCAGATCCTCGGCGCGCCTACACTTGCAACATCTCCTCTTCCAGAACACTCTCGGCCACATCTTAGAGCCGAACATCCAAACCGCCGTCGCAGACCATAAGGAACTTAAAGTCGCGGATCTTGGCTGCGGAAACGGCGTCTGGTTGAACGACTTAGATCGTGAGCTCTCTAGCAAGGGCGTATCTGCCCAACTAGATGGCTACGATATTCATCCCACTAATTTTCTTGCACCTGCATTTCTTCCGCCGTCAGTCACTTTGAAGAAGTTGGATATCCTCGCCAGGCCTCTGCCTGAAGATATTATAGGCACTTATGACATCGTCCATGCCCGAGCCTTGACGAGTATTGTCGTGAAATCAGATCTCGCACCCATACTCTCCACCGCGCTAGCGTTACTGAAACCCGGCGGTTGGTTGCAGTGGGAGGAGTCACGGGCGGATACGTATTTTATCGAACCACCAGCACCTGAGATATCGACTTCTGCATGCGACACGATCGTCCAGCTACTCCAGGCCGCAGGAAAAGCGAGGGGCTCCGGGTTTGAATTTCTGGGGGAACTAGGACGTCACGTTGAAGAGTTTGGCTTTAGCGATGTTCGTTCCCTTTCAGCTAAGCTCCGACGGCAAGATTTAAAGGCTTGGACTGAAGATTACCTAATGGTCTGGGAGGAACTTTACGTGTTCTTCCCGCCTAAGGCTAAGGAGCCGCAGGCGCCGATGACGAGAGAGGCGTGGATAAACTTGTTTGCGAAGGCGGTGGAGGAAACGGAAAAGGGGGTCGTGGTTCATCAGGGGGAGATTGTGTCTGTTGTGGGACGTAAGCCTATATGATGCCAGTAGGTATTTAATCCCGAGCGCTGAATTCGGGCTAGATGATAGGGCTATCCCCACTGTGGTTTAGGCTAATCAGCGTAAATACTCAACTAGATACATGTAATAGGCTCTTTTCTGTTTGTGATTTTGTTCGTAGTTATTGAGTTACTCAAGTACACATTTGAAGATTAATTTGAAACTTCTCGCAATCTTGTCAGTTATGAATTAGTAACCTTAGGAAACTGATAATTCAATCAAGTAATAACTTGGAGGGTTCTGTCTAATAAGGCTGAATGGGTGCACTATAACAACAGGGAGTTCTAGTGATTCAATGCGCTATATTTCGGCTCTAATGAGCTCCAGGGCTGCTTGCAATGGACCTACCTGTACCTAGCGCGACGTGTCGCTAAAAAAAAATCTTACAAATATAGCGTCTTTCGGGGCTTAATGCGCTATAAAACCACGGGTTCCAAACACTAAAATCAACACCTCAAGGGCACTTATAAAATTTCAATAAGCCTATCTTCTTTTCTTAAACAAATTTAATCAGTTCAAACATTGAATACTACAAGAGCTGTATTAGAAAATTCGAAACAGGGATAAGTCTGCTGAGGCCCTCCACCATAGGGTTTTATTACCGCTGAGGGTCACTGTAAACCCATAGGTTTTAGTTGGCTTATAGGAGTGTACGTCAAAAACATTAAAAGACCACTAAGCTACCATACCAATTGTAGATACTTCTATAAAGTTACATCAAACAACATGAATCGAAGAAAACGCTTCATAACCTTTTCAAGCCATCCAAGGAAGGTCTCTCTGCTGTCAAAAACACCTTTTCCTGAATCCTCAAAGGTGTCAGCCCAAGATGTTTTCCTTTCTTCTCTTTTCTGTTCTGCCTGAGGTGTTTCTTTTGGTTTAGGTTGTGACCGAGCTTGTTTTCTCTCCTCTCGTTTCTGCCTCAACTTCTCTTGCAACTCCCGTTCCCGCTTCTGGAAGCATGCCTCCATTTGCTCGTACCCGCAACCCAATGTATAATCGTACATGCAACGCTCCGAATTGTCCATGAGAAAATCGTAAGCCCGATTTATCTTAGTCATTTCCTCGCTTGCATTTTCCTTTTCACTCCCCGTGAACTTGTCGGGATGCCACTGGAGCGCTAGTTGGCGACGCGCGGCCTTGATATACTCGTCTGATGAACACTTAGGGATGCCGAGAATCTCGTAATGAGTTGGGCCGGCATCCAAATCGAGATTGCTGGTAGTGGAGTGATGGAATGACATCCAGTCATCTGGATTTACGAATAGAGAGATGTTCAACACCGCAATGAAAGCAAAGATTAGGGCCAAGGCGACGCTGATAATGCGGCAACACATCTTGAAAGAATGTGATATGTTTGATACAGATCTGATTAATGAAGAGATAAGAATGTACCTGTGATTTGGAGATTGGAGATTGAACATTTAATGATGGATGCTGGCTATCAATGGCATTATATAGATGTTTCTTGAAACAACGATTTGTTTGTGTTAGAGGACAAAGGCCGCTCAATACTTCAGCTTATCAACTTTGCGTATGTAGAACAAGGACAACTGCTTTGTCTAGTGAGCCGAAATCACACTCGAAATTTGACTGAGGTAATATCGTTATGGAACTACGATCTAACTCGAAAGCTGTTTCATCTTTTACAATTTTCCTTCCAGTACCTTCGGTCTGAAGTTGGCCCCGAGAAATATCTCGGAATCAATACCTGCATCATTGAATCGGTTCGAATCCCTTTGCCAGCTGAGGCTACTACTAACTGCTTGTGACCGAACATATCGTGAAGCGATATGAGAAGCAGTCTCATCACCATCACTATTAGCGTCATAGAGTAGAAGGATAGAGCAACTGATCGTCTCCAGATATGCTAGAAGGTCTCTGCCACGATACTCCAAATCCTCCGCCGAGGCCCCCTGAACGAGCGCAACAAGCGCCTGCAGCTTTTCTTCAACGACTTCACATTCCTTCTTGAAAGATCCTTGACAGCGCCGCAGGACCCCTAGAGCCCAACGGCAAAAGATGGCTTCGATGACATTTCCGCCAGAAATGCGCTTGTCTTTGATGACACGGCAAACATCTTCAGCCATAACGCTAGCAGTACCCTCCCAAATCGTATTAGCGATACAATCGCGAAATAATTTGGCCAGGTTCATTGTTCCGCCATCCTCGTTATTCTCGCAATATCCTACGCCCCCAAGACACTCCATCGTCTCCCGGAGTCCGGTGGTGCTAGCCACAGGAACCCGTGCTTTAACGACGGGCGTCAGGAGGCGTAATAGGGCTGCCTGATGGGCAGGGTCTTGGGGTATTAGGGGCGCCGATGCCGTGTTTTCAGCGGTTGCTTCCCACCCCTGAGCTGCACAACCCAATAGCGCGACGGCGAAAAAAGTAAAATGAGTTGCCGCCCAGTATTTCACAGTCTCATTAGCCATCCAGAGGACATGTTGGGGGTGGTCGTATAGAAATTTTCCTCTTGCTTTGCGCACTTTGGAGAAGGCTCTGCAGACGGCTAGGCCGCGGGACCAATACGAGATACTTCCAGCGGCCGAGTAGATGCGTGTGATATTGAGGATGGCAGATATTTCTTTGATTCCCTTGCCCTCTTGGCCGATGAGCCATCCGCGCGCTCCCTTGAGCTCGAGTTCGGCGGTGGGGAGGCCCTTGGTACCGAGCTTGTCTTTCAGTCTTTGGATCCTGATACCGTTGAGCCCGGTCGCATCATCTTCAAATACACCTGCCCTAGGCTTATTTGGGTCGTGGGCATAGGCCTTGCGCCGCATAGGAACTAGGAATGCACTTATTCCCAAAGAAGTCTGCGCCAGAAGTACCACGACGTCTGAGTCAGTGGCGCTGCTAAACCATTTGAATCCATCAATACTCCAAGGTCCCAGTAGCTGACCTAGACTATCTTTATTGAGCCCAAGCCTCTCTTCCCTAGCGACCTCATCCCTGGCGAGTCTACGAGCGACTGTCTCTGTTCCGCTTACATCACTACCCCCTGTTCTCTCAGTCATCCATTGACCACTTGTCCAGCTCTCCTTGGGGTCGCGGGAGACCAGCCGGCGGTATGTCTCAGCGAGAACAGCTTGTCTACCAGGCTGATCACCGTCGGGATCTTGCAAGTGCCGAGACAAGAGCGTTGCCGCTCCATCTGTCATGGACATAGGACACATTGTCATCGCTGCCGTATGGCCCCAGACGTGACCTATACCGAACTGTGCAATTCTACGGTTGTAATTCGTTATGGTTTTATCATACGCCGTGGAAACAGTACCTTCCTCGATACCTATTGCTTTGAGGACCCTCCATCCTTCGCATGTGCGGAGTGGATCGGTCTTATTTACCTCACCAAATGTAGTCAAGGGATGTAGAGTAGGGACATTCGTTTCGGCCTCAACGGAATGTCTCAGGACAGCGGGCTCAAGCACGCGGCGCGATAATTTGTGAATAGATGCACCGACTTCTTTTTGTGCTTCTTGGGGAAGATACAGACGAATGATTCGAGTGAGCACAGGATCGTCTGAGAGTTTCTGAGACGATTTTGAGGATCGAGACTCCAACGACTTTCCAGATGTATACTGAGGTTCGAGAACCGGATATGGCTGGAAGAAGCCCTTCGTAGACGATGAAGCTTTCAATGTATGAGCCATGATACGTCGACGATAAGCACCTATCGTAGTCAAGACTACATTTTCGAAAGCCTAAGCGCTACCAAGGACCATTTCAGATACATGGATCATATGAAGACGATGTTCAGCTTGTTCAGCTACCAAGCCGAGGCAAATCACCCCCGATCTGTGAAAAAAAAGAGGGGCGTGATCCATTTGGGACCGGTATCGAGATGGGGTAGAGCTGAAACCGGGGTAGAAACCGGGGTAGGTCCATTTTATCACTGTATACTTGGGGATGTTCACTGTATGTGTACTGTGTTTTTTCCTGTAAATCACAGGGCGTTTAGGGGCTACTAAACGCTAGCCTTTTGGGGGTTTAGCGAAGTATGATACTACCTAGGTGCTGCTATAATGAATGGGTTTCAACCAATGGTCTTGCTAAAGTCTTTATAACTTTAACATCTAATACTCCTATAGGCCCGTGAACTTCCATTTCGGCGACGATAATTCGACAATCAAGCAATTAATATATAACCGAGTATGACAGCATTCGCCACAACACCTTTTAGGACCAGATATCGACGATTTCCCTAGGAACGTCCCAATATTATTATGTCAGAATATGTTAGAGTTACTCAAGGGAAGGAAACGAAGTAGCCACTATGATATCATCCGGGTTCTACCCTAGAACAACACTCCGATATTACTACCTTATGTCGTCGCAGGCGACTGCAGCAATAATAGTCTCCAACTGCATGTAGCAGTTTATAACACATCTGATCTGCACCTAGCCATCTATCCACCTCTTAAATCCAGCAGTTTCTTGAATCATCGCCCAAGAAGCTCGGTAGCAGGTCGGTCGATGCATCGAACTGCCCCTCACTCACCGGCGTCTATGCCCAGACTGCCGGAGCACCGTTTTCAACATCCAACTCGACTACGTATCCTCATTACCTATGTGCTTGTGACACGGCTTTATGCTGTTGAAACTCTACTCTACGCTCTGTAGTGCATAGGTAGTTCCAGCTCAGCCATGCTAGTCATACTCTTCGACCCGAAGCTTGCATATCCATGACAGCGGAGAAATCGCTCTTGGAGTCTATTTGTGGTGGCCGGGAGTACGACGATCGTGGTAAACCGGTGTAGGTATAGGTATATGGCAAGAAAACGACCTCTAAGTTCTTGACCGGTTTTGAAGCTGCAACTTAGTTGTAGTAACACGACTTATATTGGAATTTCTGTGGTCGGCAGAGAAGTGATTGGCAGTCGTAAACATAGGTAGGTATTTCAAAAGATGTAAATTCATTATAAATATAACGCCAGGTGAGATCCAATATGTCCTGGGTCGCTGTATTCTCATAACACTACCTACTTGAAAGTGTTCTTTTGACCGGACAAGCATCATGGGTGACTCGGCCGATTTCGCGTCTATATTCAAGACTCTTGTCAATGACATGAAGACCTTGGAGCGCCTTCCGATCGGTGATTTTTGCAACCGTCTACATAATAAGTCAAGGTACAACTACAACGTGAGAGGCCTGTTCAAGTATATTCCTGGTTCGCCTGACTATCCCCCTGAGTCGGATCAGGATGACTGGCATAGTCAGATACTGGATGGGCTCGACAGAGCCTATGTCTATTTAGGGCTGTTAGCGAACTTTTCAGTTGCCAATGCCATAGATAATCTCAGCGGTATTCCAGACCCTCATGGGTACAAGTATTGGGTTTTATCTGTGAGTTGTTTGCCCCCTTCCTATGGACTGTGGCTAAGCTCATTTAGGATCATGTAACGGTTCGCTATGGAGAAGTGATGACGATGTTGATGGCATATTGCCTTGGCGAACATATCAATACCCATCTAGCAAAGCTCGGTCATCTTACGCTCAAAGATCTAATTGATCTTGACAAAGATGGCGGCGCAGATGGGAATACCACCTTTCATGAGTACATGCGTGATAGAATGGAGGACGATGACTTCATCGACGGCGAGATCATGGTGGACCAAAATAACAAGGATCATCTCTTTAGCATTTCGCTGCTCTTCATTGTCGACTATCTCATTTACCAACCTGGTAACCTACCTGGTTATGCCGACGGGTACATAGAGAGACCGAGTAATCAAATCCTCCAGCACTGGTCGACCAACATTTGGAATAGTCATATACAAGACGATGACTCCAAGACTGATGATCTTGTCGAATTCTGCGGGAAGCTAAGCACAATCAGTTTTGCGCCCTCAACTCCATACAATCTTGCCCAACCTACCCCGACATTTACCGTGCTAAAGGCATTTTATGACATGGTAACCGACACTTCTCGAAAGCAGAACGGTTCATCGAGTACAGAATACGTAAATGCGGTACATTCTAGCATCGATCGTCTGCAGGCAAAGGAAGACGTCATCAACGAGTGGAAGACTCATTGTGAAGAACTAGCAGATAACTTCCGTACACTGCAGTCCGACAGATGGCAGCAAGGTATCGATAAAGCATTTTCTGTGAGCGATTATGATGGTATCCATGAATGGGCTCTCTCTGGTAAGTTTCTCAGGTTTACTTCTTGCCTAAATAGATACCTATTACCTAGGTACTGTATGATAATAATACCTACTTGTAGCCCATGATGACGATGAATCATACGAGACGGCACCATACTACCAATGCTTCTACGGGAACCCCCCTGAGCCTTGGCCAAATGGAACTAGGTTCAGTTCTTCTTTCACGAAAGACACGGATATCCAGCTGGAGAATCAAGCTACACTCCCAGTGCAAGAACTGAGAAACGAAGGCCGTATCCTGAGTTCTGGGTTTCCACCAAGATATGTGAGGGTTGGGGCAGCAACCCAAACCCGACGGCATACAGCACTTGTAGGATTCAGTAAGTCAAACAAACCTCAACCTTCAGTCGCGTTTCGCTGACGGTTATAGACGGCGGCGTTCCGTTCACGACGACCTCACAGGTTTTCATGACGCCAACGGGCCTACGTGCCGTAGATCCCCGTGCGGCCAATTCGATAAACCCATTCCAACGGATTCAACCCCTGGATGTGGGCCATTGTATCTATCAAATCCAAGGGGAATCTTACCAAGTAGTGGAGATCAAATCGATTGAGTGTACGAAACACGGGATACAGACCCTATACGGGCTTTCAGCTCAAGAGGACGGCCAGTTTCATCACGCCAACGGGTATCTAGTCGCCTTCAATGATCCAGCTCAGTCACGTAACTCAGCAGCAGCCTTACTACGTGACCTACCAGCAGATAAGAGAATCCCGTTCCTGGCCAACCTTCCCGGAGTTCGTCGGTTACTTCGAGAACATGGAACTCAAACTGTGCAGGATAAACTCAACGAAGAGCTTTCTGGACTCCGCAAATACGCTTCCAGATCGACTTCCATTGACCGAAAGCTATCTATTCCGCCTGCTAGAGGGATTCCTCTGGATTTGATCGAGAATACGTACCACACTTATGCACCTGATTCAAATTCCCTTCCCACTGGATATGAGCTTCCTTACCTACAGGTCGTCGATGGATGTCTCATCATCGATAACGAAGTTCAGTTGAAAGTAGCTACTGACAGAAATTCAAGAAACTTTCGATGGACTCGCCATCTGCCCCGCCTTTCACTCTGGGAGCATGGCCTCCTAAAGGTTTACTCACACGGTGCTGGAGGTACCGGGGCTACATATCTAACCGCGGAGTCAAATCCTAGAAGTCTTGCAGCGAATGGCCGTCTCTGTCGTTTCCTTGCACGTGCTGTAGACCCAACTCAGTCAAAAACATCACGTCGTTCTAGCTTGGGCTCTTTTATCTCGACGAGTTCGTACAGCATTACTTTTGACAAGGAAATCTGGCCAGCGGACCAAGCCGACTGGGATAATGTGAAGAACCCGGTTGTTGGAGGGGAGATTATGACAGGCTTCATTGAGACTGATGAAGGATATCAAGTACCCACGGCTAAGGTTCCGATACTCGACAACCTCCAGACACAACTCAACCAAAAATATGGCAAGAACATTGATCCACTGTACCGCGTTTTGCATTCGATATCAGCCCAGGGAAATCCCATATTTACGGTTCAGTTCCATCGGGCTTCCATAATCCCCTTTCTGTCCAACCAAGGCTTGAACAACGGCGTGTTTGAGTTGGGATTCCAGTCCCAACTAGGTATAGATCTAACTCTTCCTTGTTTATTCCGGGAGCTCCAAATCGAGGCCGATCTGTTGTTCCCGGAGGATAGCACTGCTGTGGCATTTGAGTATGATCCTGCTATGCGCGAAATGAAAGGGAACAGGTATGTATATGAATAGGTACGGATGGAAATACACCGTCGTGCTAAACCGTACCAGGCATTTCGTTTCAGTTTCCAAGGGAGGTTCCAGTGTAGCTCACCTCCAGAGCATGCGAGCAAAGGTCTCCTATGCCTTTGCGTTTTCCTCTAAGCTTGGAGACATCAGCTCAGGGGAAAATGGTAGTCCACCGGCCGACATCACCAAGTACCTTGAGCAAGAACGAACCGCCGATGTATCGGACCTTGTGGACTTCCCTGACTATGACGACCAAAGTGTAAGCTACTCATAGAACCCCCTCGTACTACAAGTATCACCAAAGGTACCTAGGTGACTAACGATGTTCGCCAGGCCCACGATGCGTCCCAGAAGCTGATTCACAAGATGATGCTGTATCATATGAATGACGACGATCGTCAATCATTCCTAAGTGCCAGTAAGCCCAACGATCTACCAACCGAGCTCGCCGATGGATTAGACAGTGAGCTCAAAGACTTTCTCCGAAACAAATACGCGGTCGCATTCCTGTGCAACTCATTTTCAGGGTCGGACAAGTATAGCAGCTCCTTCACAGCCCAGGAACAGAAGAACCTCTGGTATTGGTGGCAAGGCAATGGGAAAAGCTGCTTGTCTCGCTCAAAGGAGTATAACACAATCAACGACCTCACATCTGTACAAGGCATGAAGAATCTCCACCAGTCCTTTTTGGCTCCGTATCTAGACAGTAACCCCGGAGACTGGGCGCAGCAGATGCTGTCTGTGCTGCAAAACGAAGCTGTCATGGATCTGCAGCTAACAAATCCGATGCAAAGGGTCAGTGAGATATTCCCCCAGAGACATGCTCCTATTTAGCTAACAAAGCACTCTTTTTCTTCTAAACAGGGAGTGAATGTGATGAACCAGCAGTCATGCATGATGCACACCCTAGCACCGGACAAAAAATTCGCAGACACCTGGTTCCAGAAGATCGTGAGCTACACAATCAAGCGCGGCGCCGAATTCCCCACAATCAGCGCAGACAAGAGCGAAGCGCGGGAGTACCTCACCGAGTCCATCCGAAGCCTTACCACACAGGCTCTCGGAGGAAACAGTGCGCTCCCAACCAACATCCAGTCAGCACTATGCGAAGACGTGGAACAATTCGAAACAGACAACGGCTTGGATCAAAACCAGTCGGCGGACACTCGGGCCCAGCAGATCATCGACGCGACGCTTGACATGACGGACGAGCTCACCGGCTGGCTATTCAGCGAGGATAAGGGGCTGGATAAAGCGTGGGGTGGCACCGCTTTCTACCAGTGGATAAGTGAGGCCTGGGACCAGGTTTCTGAGAAGTACCAGGCGAGCAAGGTTCTCAAGGGGCTTTTCACAACTTCTATGGTACGTCCACCTTCCCCTACATGACCTACTCCTTATATTCTGCAACCAGACTAATAAAAGTGATAGGCCGCCTACAAACTCTTCCGACTTGGATACAGCCTCGTCGGGCTTGTCCAGGATTGGAATAGCATGGACGGTTCGGATCGCGCAACGGTCATCATGGAGATGTTGATCACGACAGCCGAAGGGCTGGAGTACGCCTACGACTCGTGGAAGGTATGGAAAGGGAGGACGGGGACGGTTATTCTCGATCATCTGGATACAGCGGAGATGGACCAGGGGATCTATCGATCGCTCGACGACAATGCGGCTAGTATGGCTGAAATGTCAGACGATGTTAACCCTGAAGGTGGTTTCCACGAGTCGATAGGTGAACATGTTGGAGGAGATGGGGTGCCGACTGGTGAGGAAGGAGAAGGCGGAAGTGGGTGGAACGAATCTGTCGATGAGATGCCGGAAAAGATTCCTCCCGGGGAAGCAGAGGCTGCCGAGGAATTCAGCATTGGTAGCACCGGACTGAAGGTCTTCAGCGCCGCATTGGGGATTGGCATATCGATAGCCATGACCTTCAGCCTGGTCCACGATTGGGATAGTCTCAGCCTACCCGACAAGATTATCAACACGTTGTCCGTGGTTGTCCAGGTTCTTTCCGTAACTCTCGAATTGGTCGATCTCGGCGCCGAAATTGGTTTCTGGGCCGTCAGCGCGACTCTCTCCGCGGCACTTCCGGTAGTTGGCGTCGTATTGGTCGTGGTCGGGGTGATCCTAACACTAGTCAGTCTCCTCATACACTTATTCGGTAACAGCGACCCTCCGGACGACCCAGTACAGACGTATATCAAAAAGACCGGGAAACCGGTGATCGATCAGTTCGACGATGCGCGCGACCCACAGCTAAAATACTCGGTCTCGCCGACCCAGCCGTCGGCAGGTAATGTAGTGAGCATCACCGTCTCAGCCGCGAACAATACAAGCAGCGAGGTGACCTTAACCGGTCTGGAACTCACCATCCTGGGTGGGAAGATTGATTCTTGCCTATTCACCGACAATGAGAATCTTGAGCTGGTTAACGACAACGACGCGAACAAAACGGACGCTGGTCATGTCTACGTGACGCCAAGCCAATATGTTAACGGCAAACTGCCCGTCCGGACGGCTTTGGAATCTACTAATTCCACTTACTACCAGTACAACCTACAGGTGGGCGGCCCGAAAAAGGGAAAGGAGAGCCTCCTCCAACGGCTTGTTCTGGGGGCTTACCAGAGCTTCTCTGCTGTTCTCACGGCAACAGTAAATTCGAAAGGCTCTAGCAAGATTGATGTGGTTGAAAAGTTTGGCAGTGATAGGAGCCATGTGGCACTCAGTCTCACTAGGGTATAACCAATTTGATAAGGTATTGTTTACGAGCCTCTCGGTTAGTTAATATACTAGGTAGTCTTCTAGTTTCAAGGGTTTAACCTAGTGCACCATCTCGAATATCGCCTCCTCGACTTCCTTGGGATGCGATACACTCAAAAAGTGAACACCGCCTTCAATGAAATTGAGCTTGGCCTCGCTTGAACCAGTAAAAAGTTTGATATGCTCTTGCGGGACGATTGTGCCATAGATTGGGTCCTCCGTTCCCTAGATAATATTAGCTTAAACCACTTCTCGAAATTGAAATACACGGGGACAAAGAGAATGAGAGTTGATTACCTGATACCAGTGAACAGGGCACTTAATATCCCCGATCCTAAAAAGCAGCCCATCCCTCTCCGCCAAGTTAAGAGTAGCCATCCTCAACCTCCGACGCCCCTGATCACCCGAGTAAACTTTTCGTATCGATTCGGACCAGTATTCAACAGCGGCGGGTGTAGAGGCAGACCCGAGCCCGAGTCCAAGCACGGGCTGGATCCAATCATCGCCAACGACGAAATCCGGATTTGGCGTAGAGCTGCTCCATTTCTGAAGGAAAGGCGAGGCAAACGGAGCCGGGTCCCTATCCGACACAGTTAGCGCCTACGCCATCAACAACACCACAAGTGTATTCGATCCTCCAGCGTTGAGTTGAAAAGGCGACCCCCTCTTACTACAAAACCTAACAAAAAAAAAACATAAACCTACCAGCACCCCTTCGTGCGCGAATCGGCAGACTCGGAATCCATCGACGTAGCCATAGCAAGAATCCCCAAAATCTATAAACCCATTAGCCTCACCTCCCTCACCTAGGTAGATAAACAACTCACCCTCTCCGGCGCCAAAAGCGCCATCCTCGCCACCACCCAACCCCCCTGACTCAAGCCCAGCGCATACGCCTTACTAACCCCCAACCCCTGCATAGCCTGTAGCGTCACCAGCGCAGAGTCCCAATACGTGAAATGCTCCGAAGCACAAGTCGTCGCGCCATGGCCAAGGAGTTCAACAGCCAGGAGGTTAATCTTCTCCGTCAGCTTCGGGCTATCGAGCTGCGCGCGGTAATACTCGACCGTAGCACAGAACGGGACGATGAGGACGAGGGTGGGTTTCGCGGGGTCCAGTTTTCCGTTGGACAGTTCGAAGCCGACGGTGGCGTCGAGGTGGGGGACTTGGATTGTTTGAGTTGAAGCCATTTTGATGTTCGTTTCTAGCGGGTAAGGATAAGTAGGCTGGGCTGTAGAGCTTAAAGCGTAAGATTCCGTTGCGAGATAGAGGTAGCTGGAGTGTAGCTCGGAGAACCATGACACAGCTGTGATTCCGAGATGTAGAACCTTGGCGTTCCCTTTGATCCTAAATACCGCATAAAATCAAAGGGCTTTGACATCCATGTGCCTGCTTTGATGAACGGGGAGTTCTTTCTTTGTGCATTCCAGCCTTGTATATATAATATACTTACCGCGATGTATCGGTTTGAGGTTACACGATTATGGTATCATTATCGGCTATTAAACGGCGATATTGAGGAAGGAGTTGTCAAGTATATCGGAACTTAACCCCTAAATTTAAATTTCGACACTATCATCCAGGCTTTGGTTTGGGTAAATAACCCAGTCGTAGAGATCGATAAACTTGAATAAATTCTCGTTATAGTTTAAGAAAGTGTCATTTATCGCACGTAGCCGAAATTCTACGGAAGCGGCAGTATCTTTCTAACCATTTGAAAATGCAGGTTTACATGTTTCTCTGCGCATTTAGGGGGGCTCCCGAAATTCGGGGATCATTTCGATTCGATAAGGCATAATATGCCGAATGAAACCTCGAAGCTCACCACATGACTACGACCTATACAGTTAAAACGAGGTCGCGGGCTATGATCGAGGTTTGCGATTCGGCCTAGCCATCTTACCGCCCGCCTTTTTCGGCCTTCATCTCCTTCTGAGCCTGCGCATTTATTTGGATGGCTTCCTTCAGCTTAGCCACGACTTCAGGCTGGCCGCCAAATGCAGTCAAAAGCTTCTCATCTAACTCTTTCTCGGTGGTCGCAAGGCTCCTAGCGCCACGTTTACCACTCCTCGCTGCGTTGATCAATGTTCCCCATCGCTGCGTGAAAGCATAGATACTTTGCCGGAGCAATTCGTCCAGCTTATCATTTACATCTTGCTCCGGCTGGGCTTGATTCCTAGGTGGTATAGCCTTTCCGTTCGTAGGATTCGCAGTTGCTGATGACCAGAGGCCAAGCGTTAGTGAGCCGCCGATGATGCCGCGGAACAGCCCCAGCCAATTTTGAGGGCTAAGAGCGTCCCATATCTGGCCAAAATGCTGCATCGCTGTAGGGTGAGGTCTGACATCACCAAACTCAAGCGATACCAGCCCATTCTTGAGAATGAGTAAATTCTTTATCATAAACAAGTCAGGGTCAGGGTCGGGATTAGCCGCTTTGTTAGACTTTAGTCGAGACTCTGCGCGTTGCATAGCAAGGATAGTCTCGTCTATGATTCGGAAGACAACAGGACTCGACTTTAAGATGAAATGTTAGCTATTAGCTCTTTAATAAAATGAATCTTAAGTTCTACTCACGCTTCGCTCTTTTGGCATTGCTTGGTCATACATAGCCAAGAGTTCGAGGGCACGTTTCGTAACCGGATGGGCATTGGACGATGCAACACCATTTATGACCTGAGTAATCTTGAGAGACTCGGGTGAGATGGTAGCCCTTGATATAGACTTGGTGACTTCGGCATCGAAAACGCCATCTGTCAAAGGCCAGAGGTGTTCAATGAGGAGCCGTGCAGTTAGATCATGGCAATGAACAGAATATTGCTGAGTTTCTTCCTCGTCGTATTCTAATAGCAAGTATTCATTCGTAACCCATCCAAGAAGATTGCATACTGTTTGAAGCTCGCTTGTTTGTAAAGTTGACTGTAATGTTGTCGCAATCGGCACAATATTTGCGACAGAAACCAGCGCTTTTTGATGACCCTTCAACGCCACATAAGCGGATTGGGGGTCCGCACTATACTGCGGCTCGATAGAAAATATCTTGGCAAATAGATTGGCTTCATCATATGATCGTTCGTAACATTGCTTGATGAAGTTGCGACAAGCAGTTTCTACATTAATATCCTTAACGTCTTTCCTAAAAACTTCGAGGTCGTGTTGAGTCATAGGGCGAAGATCACGGTCTCTCACGTCCGAGTAAGACGAAAAAATGCTAAGGGCGGTATTCGAATAGTAATCAAAGTTCTTCCCAGGTATCGCATTTCCCAGTTGATCATAGCAACTGCTAATAACGCGTTGGGCATTTGTTACCAAACCATCCACCTCTAGTACCATCTCTTCAAACCGGTCATAGGCAAGAGCATGCCTGGCAGATTCTGACTGGGTAGCTGTAATTTGTTTCGATATCTCCGAGGAAACACGGTCAAGATGGCCAGTAAAGCCAACTTCAAGCAAATGGAGAGCTTTAGTAAGTAAGGATTGATATCTTGCGAGATACGATTCAGCATCTCGGTAATCAGGCTAATACAGGTTAGCAACAGTATTCCAAAAAAGGGGTATATCGACTGACGTGTTCTATCATGAACTCTATGCAAGCGTCTAGATTCGTCAAGATTTCGCCGAAACTCTCATGGTTTACTAGACGGCTGGCTCCAGGAGCATTCAACCTCCTCGTAACACCATCCAGATATGCATAGTAATGCAAGTCCGTGCCAACCTCGTCGGCCAACTTCTGTAGTCTCCTCTCCTCCACCAACAAGTCGTCACACTGGGCTTGGAAAGAGGAGGTTTGCGACTCTACCGCACGAAATGAATCGGTCAAGGAAGTGAGTAGATCTAGGGCACCATTGGCGTCGCTAATCAAGGTGTCTAGATGACGTTCGGTCATTTCTAATTGGTCTCTGTAAAGTCTGTGTTCCTGTTAACGACCGTGTTGTCGCTTCATTCCAGTATTGGGTACCATACAAATATTGTTGCTGGCTAGCCTCGATCAATTCATTATCGAAAGACTCCAACTGCGGCAATGTTCGATGACGGTCGACATTCTCGACTTTTTCAATCATCAACGCATCGAGATTTCTCTCCTTCGTTTTCCTCCGCTTCTTCTTTGCAGCTGCGGCATCTTTGGAAATCTGCGCACGAACTACATGGTAAAAATCGGAGTATGACTTTGCTCTTCGACTTAATGTGGCTTCAGGAGGGCCAATTATCGTCTCGGGTTCTTCGAGTAACCCTTCTAAAGGTTCGATCGGATCGGTTTGTTTGCTTCCCTGGAACAATTATTTGTTATTACCGTGTTAAAGAGACAATAAAAAGTAGATTGATACTAACATTAGGCTGTTGGAGGAGGGATTCTCGTCTCCTGTGTCCCGTGGTCGAGGTTTGTGGTATGGAAGGGTTCCTCTTATGAGTATGATCTGGTACGAAGTTGTACCAGGAATCTTCATACATGGTCTATGGTGGTCTATGGTCTATGTTGAATGTGGGAATGTGGGAACGTGAACTTGATGTGGAAATTGTGAAATTATTTATTATGTATTCTTTCTTGCGGAAGCTTCCACTGCCACATACAAATAATACAAATAACGTCAGTGGACAATTCAAAGTTGCCAGCTGCCTGCTATCAAAATGCGGGTCGGAACCTAAATTGAGCCGCGATTTAGTATGTACATTGGTACCTAGCACCTTCATTTTCTGGTTCCTGTCTCTCCGTTTTTTCAGGTATGAGGGTATTTTAGACGCTAAAATTTCAACAATGTCGCAAGGTCCCATAGCTCAGTTGGTCAGAGCGTCGTACTAATATTCTCTTCTTCTGAAGAAGAAATATTAAGTAATGCGAAGGCCGAGAGTTCAAGCCTCTCTGGGACCAGCAGTCATTTTTTTAACCTCACAACAATTTACCCGCGTACACAATTCTTTTTTATCTTCCCATTCCCATGCTGTTCTATCTCTATGGCATACTACTTCCGATAATTTCTCCATTTTCTTTTTCGACCATGTGAAGATTCGACGCTTCATGAACACAGAGAATTTTACATACTCAGGTAAGTGATTTTTATCCTCACCTTTGTCTTTGGTGTTCAAACTAAATATTCTGTATCACCATCATACACATGAAATAAAATAGTTGACCATATTTTGCTATTCCATGTGGACATGTTTTTTGCAGTAACTGTATGAGGCGTTGGCTTGTTTTCACCGGAGATAGGCCGTATTGCCCCTATTGCCGTAGGTATCCCAGATGCGGCCATATTCTCGCAACCGGGCTCTCCCTTCCTAGGGTTGACTTACGATCACCATCCTCAATATGGCGTTTCTGACCAAGATGCGGGCTTGAACATGTACTACGATTCATGATCCCCGTGGTTACCAGAATATGGTAGGGCGTGTGTATCCTTTACACCGATGAGATACGTTAAGAACGACGCACGCTCCAATGGGAATTTCCCACGTTGATCCTACATGACGAAGTTCGTGACGAGTGCTTCGCACTGAGGAGATGGGTTTGCAAGCGAGAGGAGCTTCGAGATCGAGTTTGCGTTACGTTGTATCCATGCTAGATCTCCGAAGTATTCAGCCCGGAGGAGGATTGGATACCTTGGAAGGCGTGTATTCCAATTCTCCGAAAACAACCGACGCTTTGTTTCCTTGGATACATGTCCTACAATTTCAGAAAATAGAAGAACATCGCACAATAGTGGTTCCCGAAGGAGAGTTGTATAACTTCCTAGCGTCCAAAAGGAAAATTCAGATCTTTAGTAGCGCCTTCAGCGAATTTGTGTATGCGTTAGATTTCACCTAGGCAGTTCCCTAGAAGCTTTTGCTGGCCAGCTAACCACCCCACCGCTAGCCCCTTATAAAACGCCCCCTAAGGAAAAAGCATGCAGCACTTCCAAGGTTCTGTCAGGTACAATGCTTAATAGTAAAACCCTCCTAAGCATACAATCCCATAAAATAACACGCAGAATTTAGATACACGAAGCCACGTTGTTTTCGAAGCAGATCATCCAACCCTTAGGTCTCCGGTGTTGATACCTACTAGATACCAGGTAAGTATGATATGATTCCTAGATTCAGTCTCTTTGGCATCATTTCTTCGTAAGGGGTGTATCTCTCGGAGGTGCGATCGAAAAGCCGTACGGGCGCATATCAGGGGAAGTAAACGACCGATTCAGTGAATAACCGCTGCCAGAACCAGAGCTACCCGATGCTGATTTGTCCGAATCGGAAGATGTAAATGATCGCTTCTCTAACCACTGAAGGGCAATGCTTAGGGAACTACTAGAACCAATACTTTCAGAAGGCATGATATTTCTGATATCTTCGATAAGTCGTTCATTAATGATTTTCTTGATGGTAGCTTGAATGCCTAGTAGCAGGTGTATGAGTGGGTGAGGATGAATAAGGGGTAAAGTCTTTGAGTTGAAGGTTGGCATTTATGAGCCTTGCTTACTGTGAAGTTTTCGTAAGCTTTTCAATATGATGTTAATAGTCTAATACGTGCGATCCAAGTCGCCGATTCTCTTTGTGTACGTGAGTACCTGGTTATGGTAAGGCAGGTAAGTACCTGTAGGCTGAATACCAGCACTGCCACATCACGAGGGGTAAAGTGACTCTTCCCATAGACCATTGATATGAACGACAAATGCTGTTTTTGGAATCGTTTCTTAATCATGATACACGCATTGGTTTTAATGAAAATGCTTGGTGATGGGCCGAACTATGCCAAGCTGTCGTTCTAAGAATGACCTGTTACAAGTCATCGATACACTCTCACAGTTCATGATTCCTGCCCACCTACTATGTATGTTTCGAGCTATATGCATATAGTCCATGTGAGTCTATTTCCAAATATGTATAACATCTCTTCGTCTAAGAAGTTGTATCCGATGTTTTCATCGTTACTCATCTCAACGCTGGTGTATCCAGTTTGCTGATAACTCGATGTTCTCTTTTCATCTGCGGGCAGAGTGAACTAAGCCAAAAATATGTGCGATGGCAAGGAAAATCATGTTACACATTTGTGATTCGGAACCTTGCTTGTTGTCTTCTAAGAGGGAGTGGGTGGCAAATATTTGCCTGCCGAGAGAGCTGTTTAAATGTTATCCAACATCCAACATAGGACGACGTGAGTTGTACGCATGGAAAAAGTATCGAAACTCACTTGGGTACCCGCCTACGAAAACTACCTAGTAAGTAAAACTAAGTAGGAATGCTAACGAAGTTGGCCTTGGCGATACCCTTTATACTATCTATATCAGGAAGAGAAGTGGAAGCGAAGTAGAAGCCGGTTTAGACTTCCAAGGTAAGGTTAATATTAAGGTTAGCGGCAGCTGGAGATGAACCACTATCTCGGGACGCCTGTCAGTTCTAGGGACCTTCCATGGAAAGTCTTAGACAGGTAAATGCAACGCTTTAGCAGCTGCAGAATTCGAGGATATCCTGGACGATAGGTCATTTCGCACGGTGCGGGGTAATTTGAATCGAGAAGTCCAAATGTTCATTCCCAGCTGAACAATAGAGGTACTTGGGTACCAACTAAACGCTGTTTAGAATTCTGAATTCGAAGATCATGTATTGTACATTCATCACATGCGTATGATACATACCTAGTACGTGATATTTAAATTTCTCTCTCTTTTTACCGCCTTTCAACATGTAACTCTTTTCTAACTGTGAAATGCCTGTTAATTTACCTAGGAATTCAAAATCCTTTTATTTTAGCAAGTTGGGTTTTAGACTAAATATAACATACCGAAACTAATCCGTCACCCCTTTTTCACAATATCGTCTTAACATCAAGATCCATCCTCTGGGTACATATGGATGAGAATGATCAGCTACATATCTTAGCAGCCCTAGTCTTGTATCTCGTACTCCCATAGGTACCTATATGTACCACGTGTACGTACCAGGTCATCCATTGTGTGCAACCTGAGACATCCACTTGCATCCAATGATGACCCACATTCTGATTTAATTATCCCAATGCCCCTGCCCTCGTCGCCTCTCTCCAAACTCAAGTGAATGGCATTCGTCATTCTTAGACGCAGACGCAGCTACTCTGTACACCACTTTTACTTTTCAAAAATAACATTTAAGATATTCTAGACTAGCCTCAATATTTGACTTCGTCCTCACACCATACCTCTTGTCTACTACCCGTATTCACATCCGGCGATACCGATCATCTTCTTCCGCACCCCACCACTTACTTCCCCCGTACCACTTTTGCGACGACTCAAGGCCTATCTTAACCTTGCTGTGCCCTGCCTCACTCTACACCTCGAGAACTGCGCAACGATTACCACGTGCCAATCATTTCAAGCTCGTGGCCAGCTCCGCCCCTTCTCTTTTCGACATAAACTCTTCCAACCGTCCTCAGTACAATATTTAATCTTGGGCAACGCCACATACTTTTCCACTCCCAAAATACCGTCACCCCGAAATCTACTCTACTACGCTACCACTCTACCATCTTTGATATCTCGTCCGAAACCTCTCCGACACTCTTCACATTACCCGATTACGATGGACCATCTATCTTCGCGCTTCAGGCGCAGTAAGAGAGGTCCTCCCACAACTCCTCAGCTGGGATCACCAGCTGGCTCACCTCCGGATAAGTCATCATCGGAACGCAAACTTGGTCCTACTGCCAACCAACGCGAACAGCCCCCATCTCTCACCATATCGACCACTCACCTTCCCCTTGATAATATGCCACCGAAATCACCCTTCCGACGAGGGTTCCACTTTCGCAATTCTAACAAGCGTGCACGATCGCCTACTTCAGCCTCGTTGCCGGCCCCAGTCTCACCTGCCGTCGTTACTCAAGATGGCACAGTCGAACCGGACAAGCTTACTCCAGCGAATGGCGACGACAAGAATGGAACTGAAGCAGCTATGGAAACGCCTAAGCCGAATATCCCGGCTTTTCTCACTCTATCCGAACAAGGTACATTTGCTTTATATCTCACCCTTCTTATTGACTAAGCCTTAGCTACAATGATACCCTAATGTGTAATCGCTAACCCCTGTCGCTTTATAGAAATTGATGCTAAGTTCATCGACCTCAACTGGGCAGAGCGCTTGCGTCTCCGAGAAAGCCAAGAAAACCCGTCTCCCAATTTCCAATTCGCTCGCGTAACTGCGCCCGAGGCTAGAATTCTCGACCGATATGCGAACATCCAGCCGTGGGCCAATAACCGCATCAAGCTACAGGTTCCAGAGGGTCAAGTTGATTACATCAATGCATCCCCCATCGTCCTTCGCTCCCCTCTAGATCCCGAAGGCAAACCGGCCCACCGTTACATCGCCATGCAGGGACCGAAGATAGCAACAATGGACCACGCTTGGAGAATGGTGGTAGAGCAGCTGGATAACCCAGCCGTGATTGTTATGCTAACAGAGACCCATGAGGGTGGCATGGAAAAATGTTACCAATATTTCCCCCGTAATGTCGATCAACCACCGCTGGTGATCGGAGAGCACGATGAATTCGGCGACGGTTTCCGAGCGCAGATACAATGCGTTAGCGTCGAAGAACATGCCGAGGGCGCCATCGAAGCGCGACAGCTCGCCATTCGCGTCGAGGGTCGTGAAAAGGTGATGACGGTGTGGCACCTCCTATACTGCAAGTGGCCCGATTTTGGTGTCCCCGCCCTTGAAGACATCGACAGCTTCTTCGAGTTGATGCGCCTATCCCGAGAAAAGAACGCCTGCGAAGACAACCCTCGAATTATTCACTGTTCAGCAGGCGTGGGACGAAGCGGAACCTTCATCGCTCTAGAACACCTCATGCGAGAAATTGAGTCCGGCGATGTCGACCGTCGCAAGGAGAGCGAAGACAAAGATGAAGGTGACATCGTGTACGAGACCGTCGACGCCCTCCGAGTACAGCGCAAGCAGATGGTCCAAGCCGAGTCACAGTATCTTTTCATCTACCGCGTTCTCCGCAAGCTCTGGTTAGAGAAGCACGGTCTTGTAGAGCAAGACATCGAGGACCAGGAGCCCGCAGCTAAGAGGTTGGAGGTTGACTGTGATGACCCCTTCCTTGACGATTAAGGAAACTAACGTGACCAAGATGAGAAAACCGGGCGATACACACGCTAAACCATCCTTATAAGCATTGCGCCGGTATTAAAGGAGAAGCATGCATTGGTCCTCGATACCCTTTTTCCCCGCCTGACGATTTTACCACGAAGGCATAGTATACATTAGGCATCACAACAGGCATTGGAACTGTAGGAAATCACAAGGTCGCATTGGAGGTAGCATACGGAACGGCGTCTAAGGCATGATACGAAAAATGATAAGAATCCCACCAACTCGACTTCGGGGACGTGATAAAGGCATGCAATAAAATCCCCGCAAGGTCTACGGTTTGGGGGTTCTTAATCACTCGAGATACCCATTACATTGGTGGCGTATAGTAGCTAGCATTTGGTTTTTGTTTTTTTGTCTCTTCTTCAGGGACATTGCCGAGGATTTTCATTGTTGACAAGGATCCTTATTATCATTAACAGGTGTCCATATCGCCGAGGACCTTATTTTACTTCATCAACAACTCAACATTTCGGAGCCGCGCACGACGTCATGAGTCCCGAGTGCCATTCTATAATGACACATAGGAAAAATATGTGTCGTAACCGGTCGTAATGGATTGGGTGGATGCATATAAATACGGGCAGGGAAAACACATGGTCAGAACCTTCACTGGAGCTGGAGCTGCGGTTACCCCGCCATTCTTATTCACCCTGCATATCTACATGTAGGGGTACATAGAATTAGGGCGAGAGGTAGATACGTTAATGTTTAGTGTTAATGAATACCTTAACCCTTAAAACATGATCTCTTTTTTTATTGTGACGTCAAAGTTAAACGTTCAGCGTAGTTCAACGGCTATTGTCTAATTAACCTTAATTGTCTTTTAATATCTAGTCTAGCTTTTGCCACTTCTCTTATTAGATATACCGAAACACCAGCCTTGATATCACCGTTGAGCATCACGGTTGAACATGGCAAGCCCGCATATAAAGCAAGATCTACTTAAACTTGGTAAGAAGTTGGTGGAAGAAGGACCTGTCAAGACTCTTCCCACATCTCGCCGAATACGGATCTTGTTCGATGGCGAGTATATCGTAGATACGACATCTGCGTTATACGTCTGGGAACACCAGTACTACCCGTACTACTACGTGCCACGGAGCTCACTCCAGGAAAGCCTACGACTATTACTTCCGCAGTCCCCATCTCCCTTCTGGACAGCACGGGTGTCCGGCGCGACGCGGTCTACGGATCGTGTCCTCATCTTCGGGGAAGATATCGGAGAACGCGCTAAGGTCCTGGAGAATATGGTGCGTGTTGAGTTCAGCGCCGCTGACGCCTGGTTCGAGGAGGATGTGCCCATCTACGTACATCCAAAGGATCCGTTCCGTCGCGTGGACGTGTTACACTCGCTGCGGCCTCTCAAAGTCCGTGTTGGGGGCCAGTTGGTCGCGAAGACAAATTCGTCCTATCATTTATACGAGACGGGACTGCCGTGTCGGTATTATGTACCCGCTACAGCGGTAGAGCGCAACCTGCTAAGAGAAAGCGAAACAACAACGGCTTGTCCGTATAAGGGAGTGGCGAATTACTATAGTGTTGAGCTCACTCATCGCGGTCTTGAGAAATCGAAATTTGAGGATCTGGTTTGGTATTACAAGACTCCGACTCTTGAGTGCGCGAACATTGCGGGATGTCTGTGTTTCTACCATGAGAAAGAAGGGGTTGAGATTACGCTCGACGGGCAGATATTGAAGCAGCCAAGTACGCCTTGGTCTTGAGTGAGGAAAGTTCGTCTGATTGATTGAGAGGGGGCTCTCAGGGGTCATGAAAGGTTAGGTTATTGGCGAGGATCTCGTACGACTTGATATCTATATCCTGGGAGATTTGCTGAGACTTCATAGGGTCGGATAGTTAAAAATGCTAGGTGTTCCAAAAGGACAGTAGTTAGATGCAAAGAACTTCAGTAGTAACTATTACCTAAAAGAAACATTATAGGTGGACTTTCATGAAACAACATGTTTCCGCTAGCAGTACCACCCACAGAGTTCAAAATTTGGAGTCATGATCGTAGAAATCGTCGAAAGATTATGTGAATCGAAAAGTTACCCAGGTAACTATTCGAGATCTCCCACTAATGGGGCGGTGGAGACGCTCACCCTCGTCGTCGATCCACGCGGGTTGGTCGATCCTAACGCGGTGATCCCTACTAGTCGTATGCTCTTCCCCATTCGAGATAAAATTACTCGAAACCGCTAACTTATCAGGGAGCCCACCGGGAAGCTAGTGAAACAGCATCTGGAGATATTCCACAAATGAGCTCCTATTGAATGCACAGTATTCTGCGATGCTCACCACCAAAGCATTTAGCAAGCCAAATACTCGACCGTGCTCAGCTGCGCATAGTAATACCAATGCAAGTCAGGTTCAACTAGATTGAGGCTGCTGAACAAACGAAACTGTGGATATAGCCCAGATCGATCAGATCGATCAACTTTTAAACTCTCGAATCAGAATAAGAGTATGATTCCTAGGTACTCAGAAATCGACCTCTAGGTAGGTAAACTTCGCTCCTAAGAAACGCCAATAGATATCTTTGCCTAGATATCTTCATAATGCAAGTCCCACCGAAGTACGAACTCGTCGAAATTGTTAAGGGAGGCTAAGTAAGTCAAAGCCAAAGATCAAACAAACCAATCTCGGAGATGATTTACTGAACACCCTGCCCGCCACCCTTGGCATTTATGCCACTATTCCAAAAGTCCTTCTCGAACACTTTCAAATCAACTACCACCTTCTTTCAAAGCAGTATACTCATCGTAACTCAACTGCATTAGCCTATGCATCGCGAAGTAGGAGAGGCTACGTATAGGAGGAATAAATGCACAGATTCATCCCGCCTGACCTACGAGGTGAGATTATTCCACTTCGGAATAACTTGAGGGAAAGTAATAGGGAATGGTGTAGCAGTATAGTGGATTCGATTACGTTGTCTTGTAACTATAGAGACTAGGTGTCATAGAGTTAGTTTCCGCTTTCAGCGACTATACCGCCTTGGCAGGAGTATCGCCAAGATCATGTTCAGCTCAACATCGGACGAGTCCTCACCAGCTGCGATGAGATCTCATGTTGTCCGTCGAGGATATATCTTCTATAAAAGGTCAAATATGCCGGCGTTGACATCGAAGAGAAGATACACCATCCTCAAGGCCATCCCCCTTACCTCATCGTCGCCTCTTTTTCCAACCTAACTTGGTTCTACGTTCTTTAACCCAGGCGGTTCATTCGTTATACATTTTCAATCGTTATTCCAATACCCTCACATCTTACCAACCAACCACCAACCGCAACCATGAAGTTCACTCTAGCAACAACCCTCCTCCTCGCCTCCGGCACCCTCGCCACACCGGCCCTCAACGCCCTCCCCAACACCTCAAACAAGCTCTCCGCACTCACCAAACGCGCGACCTTCCCCATCCCCGCCTCCAAAGGCTCAGTCACCTTCTCCGCCCCCCAGAAAGTCCCAGCAAACAAGCCCTTCGACGGCGGGCTCAAGACATACGGGCGAGGCGTAAGCTGCACAGGGCAAGCCGAAGGCGGGGACTCCGACGCGGTGTTCCTGCTCGAAGACGGAGCGACGCTGAAGAACGTGATTATCGGCAAAGACCAGATCGAGGGCGTGCACTGCAAGGGCGCGTGCACGATCGAGAACGTGTGGTGGGCAGCCGTATGTGAGGACGCGCTGAGCCTGAAGGGGGATGGGAATGCCAGTGTTATCGGGGGGTAAGTCTCCTACATCCCATCAGTACCTACCTAATAAGAAGTCAAAGTTCCATGCTGACAAAGCGATAGAGGAGCTACGGGTGCAGATGACAAGGTCATCCAGCACAACGGCCTGGGAACCGTGACGATTGACGGGTTCACCGTCGTCGACTTCGGGAAGCTGTACCGCTCGTGCGGGAACTGCAAGGTCATGGGCCAGCGCAATGTTGTGGTGAAGAACGTCAAGGCGTATGATGGCAAGACTCTGGTTGGGATTAACTCTAACAAGGGGGATATTGCTACCATTACGAACACTTGTGCTACTTCTGTTAAGAAGATCTGCGTTGTAAGTGCTTGCTTTCTAAATATCCGTCTTTGTTCCTTATGCTTTTGGTGTCAGAGGTTTGGCTGTGAAAGATGAATAAGGGTTTGCTAACAGACTGTAAAGGAGTTCGAAGGCACCACTCCCGGAAATGAGCCTAAGGAGATCGGCTCCGGCCCTAGCAATAACTGCAAGTACACCACTGTTTCGACTTGTTAAACGAGAAATGGTTTGAACGAACTTTCACCTCGACTCATCGTTAGTCTCTCGGTTTACGCTTAGGAGATACGATGTCAGGAATGAATAACAGGTATTAACCTACCTAGTGTGTATCCGGTTTATCAGTGTGCGAGTTCATACGCTTCAATTCTGCTGTTCAAGTAACAATTCATGTATATATTGATTGAGCACATATCTTCCATATCTATGAAATAAAATCAGTAACGCCAGCAAAGTTTGTGGTTTCTTTTTAAGACCATCCGCTGATATAACTCACTGTCAAACTTTAATACAATACATGAGCTAGCAATAACATTTGAAAATATCGAAGTAATGTCATGTAGGCACCTATTATAGTTATTATATGAACCTTGGAAAGTTTCGGTCGTTAAAAATAGGAGGGTTGGGGTTGGAGTTACGTGCCGAATGTCAACTCAGTCTATGTACTCATATTTTATGTCCTTTTTTTTTCATTGAGAAACAAATTATATCTTCAAACATTAGGTATTCACTCTCAAATCATATTATGAGCCAATTTAAGAATGAAAAAGGCAAAGCTTGCCTTCCCATCAAATGAAATAGGATGGTTTCCAAGCATGGGGGAGTTAAACTGTGAAGGCTAAGTTACTAGGTAGGTACCTAGTCCATAATATACGTAAGGCGATATAAAGCAAAAAATATGAAGGAAACTAGATGCCTAGGTAGCGAAGGGGGTAAAGGGCAAGGTCTCTGGCCTGCTTATCTAGGTATAACATGCTCATACAAGTCCTACTTAGACTGAGAAATTAGCACTTACCTTAGGTAGGTAAGCTAGAAGAGCACCACATCGTATACCAGGCTTCGCGCGTATATAAACGTACGTTGTTATAAGATATCTATCTTCTCATAGTTCTAGAGTAAACTTAGACAGAGTCCTCTACTGCTAGAAAATACGAAAGTGAAGAGGGAACTCGCAATCATGAATAAGAGACTACGTACCTGAGGAATACGTTAGAAGGCGGAAGGGAAACTTCGAGCTGAATTCCAATGATATTCATCAAAGAAAGTGGAAACACTCTTACCTCTCGCACTGTTTTAGGACTCTCTGTTGACCTTATTTTTAGACAAGTCTGTCTATTACCACCATGGCCCAATGGAGAGCTTACTGTTGCGGTTGACCGGACAAACAGCATTGCAACGTCTTGACCACTCGTTGTAAGCTATTATAAGAAACTCGAACATGTCATAGAGGTCTAGAGTTATAAAAACATACGATGAAGTCCAAATCCTAGCTCTGACAATCGTTTAGGTAGGTAGGTACTCTTGTGATGAAGCTCCAAGTCACAATCCTGTATCCTCACGATACCTATTTCATTTAGGCGGAAGTTAGAAAAGCGAGAGAGACGACATATGCATTAAATGCAACTTGATTATTCAAGTGCCACGGGAAAGAGACGAGTGGTTGCTAGGAATTCCAAGTCGAGTTGCTCAATTTGGTTTCGTAAAGCGAGCTTAGTGTACGAAAGGAAGTGATCCTTAACTGAGATTCTGACTTTTTATGCGAAGTTCAAAGTCTTATCGCCGCAGTAAGAACCCTAATTAGTATTACAATCTAGAAATAGACTATAATTCGACCAGCTGACATATAGGTATGCTGCAGACAAGTACAAGGTAGTTAAATTTGACGTGCCTTAAGTGTCTATAACAACCTCAATCAGTCAAACTGTAACCTGGGACGTTCCTAATTCGACATCCCGTTTCCTAAAAGAGAGGTCAGTATAGTAGACTTTCGTAATTTAATACGTAATGATGTCTTTGATGGGCTCGTCTGATGCATTCGAGATTATACTCCAGCGGACAGATATGGGTCATCGCATATGAGGTGTTTCCATATCTGTCGACTTATGGTACGCAGATGGTTTAGGCTAATTAACAATCACAGTAAGGGATTTTGGAGATGCTCGAAGCGTCCATTGGAGGCGACGTTGTTGGCGAGTTGATTTAAATACACACGACGTCATTGGATGAAACGCGCCGCTAAGTCTGATATGTAATTGCTGGTTCGTCCGATCTTGATCTTGTCCGAAGTCTGAGAAGCGTGGGTCCGATATCAAAGTAAGCGGAGATTGCGGGATTAGAAACCGAACCGGCTGAGGTCGGTTGTTTAGGGACCCTGAACTGACGGGCCGGAGTGGGAGAAAAACCCAAAGACCCGGAATAGAAGGTGCCTTTTTAATGAGGCTTGAAGATCATCCCGCCTTTAGTCGACGATTATGAGACCCTGGAGCACATGACGGAAACGGGCGGGAGATGTGCATAGGCGAATGCATCGAGCCGCGCCGTAGATTAGAGTTAAAACGTACGGGCGTAAATACGCACGCGATGGGAATGACCTCTGCGACTAGCCGCTATAGCTAGGGCGAACGAGAAGGTCGCTTCGGACTACGCACCACAGCGGAGCGGGACGGCTCGCTCTGCATGTCAAGTCAGTCTTGCGCTACATAAAGCATACAACACAGAGCTGGATGGGGTACATACTCGAAGATAGACTTAAAGCGAGAGACATGCATCTAATCACTGAAACTCTCCTTCCGAGCGCGATGGTTACATCCTATCCCGTAGGATGCGCACGTGTGCATTGCTTGATGCTTGATGCTTGATGCACCCCAGACTCGGTGAAGCCCTGGACTTTGCCCAACGAGCGTTTTAAAACGACCGGGTCGACATGAGATCGTCGTTAAGCAAAATGATTTGCGGAATTAAACATAGGTATGGCTAATTCCCTCTTCTGCTTGCTAAGTAGGTAATACCTGGATAGGTATTTTGTCATTAATGACGACCCTTGAAGTTGAGACGACAAGTCGGCTATTTTGTATTGGACGGTTATGATGCACTTTAGTGATACGTCACTGCTACCCTACCCAACACACTGGTTTGGCTGGTTCGGGGCTACCATGCAAGAAAGACGAGCGAGATTAGAATCCCGGATCCCTGAAAGACCATGCGCCGATCTGGGACTGCACGGGCACTCTCGTCCGGCGGAGTCACATCGATCAACCATTTCTGCCCACACTGGGTTGAACGTTTTAGAGACCGGTGAACGGTCGGTTGTGGAGAGGTGAGCGCGATACCTCGGTGTCTAGGTACTGCATGATCCCTTGTAATAAAATGAGACGAACTCTGAAGGTAAAAGGATAGCCGGCGCAGACCAATGAGAACGGACCGTTTAATAATGTCTCCGGGGAGGTATGAATTATCCGCTTCGCGATAGTAGATAGGCAATATTACGTTGGATAGAGAAGAAACCGGGGAAATTCCCATGATCTTAAGACCCAGCACAGCATTCTGTTATAGGTGGAGACAGCAAAAGACATGGATAGGTACTATTACCTAGTATGTATGTTGCTGTCGACATGGAGGCAATAAAAAGATACACCGACGATAACTTATGCTCTGAATACTAAGCAGAGGGGACATGGAGAAGTCTAGCTGAATATCTATTAGTAGATTGCGCGGTGTTCCCGAGCATCCCGAGAACTGGAGTTAGTCGGGCCATTTGTCGCGATGGAATCTATTCCTAGCATATAGAAACCAGGGGCTAAACAGGAGGCTAAGCGTGGAAATGAGGGTTTCTAGTGTGGGTGTGTCGGTTCATGTATGTCAGAGTGTCGGGTGCGCTGTCATTTTAGAAAACGGTAGATAGCTTCTCCTTGATGTGACGCAGTTGAAATAGTAACGGCAGTTCAGGTGTATCTTGATGCTGTGCGTGTAATTAATCGACCAAAGGGTTTGCTACTGAATATAGAATGTATGGGAGGCATGTGAAGGGTCTGACATGCACGGAAATATGTGCATGTACATGCATGATGTAGGTAGTAGACTCGCTTAATAAATTAGTTGGAGTCTAGATGGGGTGATGTAATGGTAGGGAAGGTAAGGAACTAAGGTGACGGTGTGTTTCTGTAATGGCCCGTAAGAATATGATAAATCCAAAGCTATGCATGCTTACCAGTAGTACAATGAATGATAATGATGTGTCGTAGGACAGACAACAGCTAAATTGCTAGTATATAGCAGTTCGGAAATTGTTTCCAACTTTGCCAAGCCTTGTCGTCGACATGCTGACATCTGTGAGGGTTGTATAGGTCTCACGCTGAGATCTAATGCTGTGTTCCGATTTGTCGAGCAGGTCAAATTTATTGATTGCGATGCTAATAAAGTGTTACCTATCTGACCACAAACGGCCAGGAAATATTGAGCCTTTGCGGCATATTTTCTTCATGGTAGTGCCCCTGGAACAAACTCCGACGAAAAGGAGTTTGAAAATGTCTGTAGTAGTCTTCGACAACGATCCGGAGTTGATTAGTTGCTTTCCTGTTTGAGGGTTTTGATACTTGACCTTGACTCCGAATTCCCTGTCGTGGACAGGGAGATGCTCCGACTTTATGTTCTCCATTCCCCAGGGTTTACCATCGACTCAAGACCTAGATCGCATCCTCCCAGCGCTCTGATGTTTGGTATGTGAGGTACATGGAGTACACTCTCCCTGAACAGCGATGACGCTAGATGGTACCCAAATAAAGCAGGGGGAGGATATCCGAAGGCCAGGATGAATTGGCCAATTATAATTAGCGGTTATAATCGTGGTGGATATTCACGATGCGACACCCGACGAAGTTCCCCATGTCTGTTATATTGTCCGGTGCTAAACACCTACAAGTATAATCGTTTTCGATCAGGCCTCATCTTAACTGTCCTTGGCTTTTCTTCAATGTCTACGTCGGTGCGACTAGGCGTAAGTGGCATAGTAATATATCTGTTCCGTCCAGCCACTGACGAGGCATGGCTTGTTTGCTTGTTAAGTCTTAACTTTTAACTCGAGTTTGCTCTTTTCACATGCTCTTTCGAGATTGATCGAGTCAGGACCCTGAGTTTCAACTTGCCGGCAAACTCCTCGAGTCTCCATATTATAAAAATATCTTTGTGCCAAGTACACAGAATTCCACCGAGATCTGTTCCGACTTGACCCAGCGCCGTCGGCAAACCTCTGCATACGCGGTAATTGGTACGCAAAATACGTAATAAGTCAACAGCCCTAGACAACTGGGTCAACTGGATCAATTTTAAGCAAATAATTTTCGGACAATAGCTGGTTTCGAGACTCGGTTGATTCCCTTACACAAACCAACCTTTTCGGACGAATATTTGGGGATAGATAAAACATCTCTCTGGATCCCTATCCTCGTGTATCCAACGATTGGAATAGCGAAGGGAATCCTGCGCAGACCCAGGTGGCCTTCTGACTTAATTGTCGCAACCCCGGTCAAGGCCGACACGCGACAAGTGGACCGAAGAACCTGGTTAATAATAAGCACCGTCTTGTCGGTGTGGCAGTCCCACATCTGCATGCTACGACTAGCTGTTCCTAGCCAGCCCAGCACTGCATTGCGATTCTAGTGGTTCTTCTAGAAGACCACCCCTACCGGCTGGGGCATCCGGGAAAGCGAGACTAAGACGATTGAGGTGGTATCGACCACCCAGCGAATCTTCCCTCCGCAACCAAAGACCCAGGACCCGGCAGTACCACGTCGTAGCGGTCCCTCTTAATCGGCTAGGTCTTCTTCAGGATCAGCGAGCAACGGTGGTAATACATGATTAAAAAGGCAGAGAACCCCATTGGCGATTAAATCCGAGCCAACTTTCACGAACTGGTTGTTGTTGAAAATAATTATAAAATACCTTCAATTTCGACTATAGGCCATTTTTAGGTCGATCAAAAAGGAAAAGAGGAAAGTAAAAAGAAAAGAAAGGAAAAAAATCTAATAAGAAGAGAGATGGGCGACATTCGGTGTTAGGTTGAAGTTGCCTTCAATTTTTCCCAGGTTGTGTGCGATCTTACCTGCCTCATCGTGGCATTCCTTAAGGTTCCGAGGGGTTTAAGGAAAGAAAGAACGTCGAAGCAACTGCAACCTGCAACACCATTGAACACCCAGGCAACCGGACCCAAGCTATTAGACTGGATGTATAATTGATATTAGGTAAGTGCGTCGTACTTATGACCTTTCATACACAAGTTTCAAGTTTTTTGAGGTTGGCCCACGAGGTTTTTCAGTTACGACCTTGGTTGCCTTAGGTACAACTTTGGAAACAGCTTTGGATACACATGTAACCTTGGAACTGACAACCTGCATGAAGTTGAATAACTTCAAGGTTCTACTGGATTTACTGTTTTAATGTTCTTCCTATTCCTCTTCATTCAATAATGATCTACCTAGGTAACACTCTACATCTAAGGAATTCAATAGCTAACAATATCGTTGTCTTCCCTCCAGTACTACGAGTTCGTCACAAATCTGCTGTCACGATCCTTTGCAGCATCCTAGCACCCAGCGTCCAGCATTCAGCATCCGGCATCCTTTCCGCGCATGACCACCTACCATAACCTGCTTCCTCACCTGGATCCCCGCCGTCATACAACAAGTTGGAGGTCAGCTTCGCAGCCGTTCTTTAGCGCTATTTCTTTTTCCTCCAATCCGCGAAAGTCTTCCTTTGCGACCGCCCTGGAAAAAGTGAGCCAACCAGGACGAAACACAAGGATCAATATTACAGGACTAAGAGCCGATTGGTGACATCTTTGCTGTCTCTTGTCATCCTGTTCCGCATTTACTTGGATTGTGGCTCGTGATTGACTGCACAAGCCATTTCGCATTTCGCGTTTCGCATCACTTTCCTGGAACTGGATAACACCGACGCAGAGAGACGCAGAAGCAGACGCAGCCGCACACGCAACCGCGGGCACCAGGAGGGATCCGAGAGTGGAAGAGAGAGCCCGACCTTACCAGCTTGCTTGCGTTGGTGCCCTATCGTTCCTGAGGTCTTTTTCCTAATGAGATAATACTTTTGAGTATCATACAAAAGGTCCCTGCTTGGCTGGCTTCCGAAGTTGGATAAAAGACGGGAGAGCAAGGAGCAAGAAGCAAGGTGCCAGGGCAGAACGCGGGACGCGCGTGGGAGGGAGATTGGAATATTTGGGGGTCACTTCATTGGCCCTCTGCATCTTTTGAATTGGTACCGGTACTGGGTTTCAAATTTCGCCTGGGCACTTTCACGTTCGGTGGTTCGCTGAGCTGGAAGTCGAACAACCCCGCGGTGCAACGCTCCACAAACAGCAGCTGTGCGCTGTGCGTTTTTTAGAAGCGTCATGACGTCCATAGTAAGTAACCTCGTCATCTTCTACACTCTGATCTCTTTGTCTTATGTTTTTTATTACCTCTACCCCTTTTCCCCTGCTGCATCTCTGCCATTCAAATTTTAGAAGATCAGGACATCAAAAACCTAATCTTGATTCTGATGCCGTGGTCGCGTCACGCGTCGTGTCAGCTTCCAAGGTTGTCAGCTATCAAAAAGAAAACCCAATTTACCTTGCGCACAGAAGCTGGTAAAGCTCAGATGAAGGCCCGTTGCCACTAGTCTGACTTGCATACCTTAGCTTTTCAGGGCTTCCGTTTGCTTCTTTCTTTGAACACATGTGTCCCACACCTTCTTGCTCCCACTATTCCCATCCATTCATCCTCCCCGGCTCCTCTATCCTCCTGGTCGAACCCCTTCACCGCCTCGCCTTTCCAGACCATCCTAGAAGCCTCGTGTCCCCCACACTCTTCCATCTCTCATCAGCACCCCTCCAAGACGCCCCTAGACCCCCCGGGTCTTACTTGCTTTGACTGCTTATGTTGGACGGTCCCCCCTATTACCATCGCAACGGCACGGAGCGAAGCGATGTGCCGCTACGCCCCAAGTCAGCCAACTGTCGACCTTGATTGGTACGGGTGCTATGATTGTCGCAGATGCCCAAGTTGCCAACTTGAAATTAGACTTACCTTAATTCCCCCCTTGCGCGACGGTGACGTTTTTACTCATAAGCATTGCCTTGCGAAACTTCCGCCTCCTTCCTGTTTGTCTCTTAAAACTTACTCATATCCTACCCTCCCTTGGCCTCTAGACCGACTCCTTCTAGTGAACTTGACCCCCACTCTAGATCAACATATTATGGACTGCCTGATCGTTGCGAGTGCTTCACCATAAATCCGACTGCGATACACTATTTTGGCACGTGTATTCTACCAAGTCATTTGTGTTTGATTATATTGGTCGACCATGACGGTGTCTCCAAAGCCGGCAATATTGCCTTTACTAACCCATATCCAGCTATGTCTGGCGCATTACTGCGATCTACATGGGCCGACGCCTCTCATGGTCACCGAAGGTTTACCGGTACCGTGTGGGCAATGTTGCGATGAACCTACCGATCCAATACGACCACAAACGAGTGCTGCAGCCCATGGCGTGCAGACCACTGTTACCGATTCTCTACGAAAAATGACAATCGGATCTCCGCGTAGTTCGTCGACCCCCGGTACCGAGCACGAATCGCAGACGCACCGCGCATCATTACTTCGAGCGTCGAAACTCGGTCCCGGTAGCGCGGCTCATTCGGCATCTCTTACGACAGCATCTATTCAAACGCCTCCCCAAAGTCCCCGAAATGCACCCGAAGGGTTTCCTGAAGCGAACGGCAAGGGGAATTTACGCCGCGATTCTAGTTTTCGCCGAACCTATGACGACTATGTCACGAAACGAGCAAACCCATGCCAGAATTGCGCACTGACGTTACCTAAGCGACAGGACTCGAAGAGCGGGAAGAATGAGAACATAGGTGCAACCGCAGATTCAAAGTCTGATCAACGAGGTCCCGTATTGCGTACACGTGCCCCATACGCTCGTGTCTACGGAGGAAACGGCGAGCTTAGCCCGCCAAACTCGAACCCGCAATCTTCATATCCCTCTGACGCGGAAGAGGATGTTTTGCCTAGAGATCATACCAAACGTTCTGCCTCGCGACGCCGACCGACCACATCGACTTCACATTCGAGCGTCTCATCTAGATCTAGTGTGGCGCAACATACACACTACTTAGACTATACATCAACCCATGAGTCGGTCGTTCCGACTACCTACTCTATAGTCCGTGCCTCGTGTCTACGAACCCTCTCGTTTGAAACGCTTCCACGACGACCGGAAACCTCACAACAAGGCCCACCACTCTCTTCACCAATATCTAGCATTCCGCCCCAGTTCCCATCTGGGCCATTCAATCATGGCCCGGGATATATCACTGCGACGCCAAATCCCCAATCCGCAGCAAATGGCGGCCCAATCTTTTTTGGCGACCCCTTAGCAGGCTACACGACGGCATACATATTCCGAATACCGGATGTGCACGCCCGTGGCCGCAAGAGGGTGTACGCGTTTCTGGCGCTTAGTACGCACCGTGAGCGCCTCGCCATGAAGACATTTAGCTTCATATCCGCGGCTTTCCGAGATCTGGTAAACTGGATCCAGGAACTTGCCGAGGCGGAAGCCGAACGAGAGCGCGAGCGAGAGGAGGCCAACAGCCCCGTCGCGGCGCTGAATGCGGCGTATAGCCAAAGTGGATTTGGTGGCGATGGTCCACGTGATAGTGGTATTGGTCTGGGTCTTGGAGGTGGGTTTGGTGGATCGACCTTAGACCGGGATCGAGGGAGGGAGAGGGCGAACGACACAAGCAGCTTCCTTACTGGTGGTGGTCGCGGCGGCTTCGTGCAACGCATGGGTGGGTCTATGGGTCCCGGTGGATTTGCGCCTAAGGCACGCGGGCTTGCAGAGCTAGTGGGCCTCCCCGACTTCTTCATCGAGTTGCATTCACGCTTTGTGCAGCTATTGTTGGAGTTGGGCGTCGTTCTCTCATGAACATGGTCGTCCTGTGATTATATGACACGAACAAACCTGATCCACGGCCGTATTCACATGAATTCTGCGAGATATTAAGACAGCTAGCCAGCTTACTGCGTCCGAGTATGGAGACAGACGCATCGACGGAGGTAATTCCTGATTTGTTTGAACGGAGGAGATACCCTAGCAAGCGTCCTTCGATTCCTTTGCAAATTTCTCAGTCGTTGGTCATGGCGCTTCCCCCACGGAATGCTTGCCTTACATGATACCCACACGTTGAGTTGAAGCAACGCTCGCCATTTCCGTCTGTTGGTACTTACGTGTGTTTTTGTCGTTTTTATTTCTTTCATTTCTTTCTCCTCAAGCCTCGCTTAGGAAGATACCCCACCTGTATTATTACCATTTTCTGCATTTTTTTTTACTTGCTTCCTTGCTATTTCTTCCCCTTTTTTCGATATGGGTCTACGCTTGAGGATATGTGTGTCCGTGTGTGTCTCACTCTCAGATGGGTCGTGGAAATGCATGGCGTATTAAAAAAAGGCGCACAAAAGAAAAAAGGGTTTCCAGGGGTGGGTAAATGCATTTACCGGAGGGTTAGCAAAGAGCCATATAGAAGGGACGGGTTGGGAATGGTAGATGGGGATTGGCCCAAGGCAAACTCAGATAAACGACTGGACGACAATGGACGGTGGGGTTTCATCTTCTCTTCACCTTTTTTTTTTCTCTTCTTCTCGATTAGTAGATCCCCACCCCCCCCCCCCGGCCGAGTGTACTATG